ATTCCGTACAGTTTTTGAAGGCCTAATTTCAATACTTTCAATTCTAAAATAATTGCCTAATTTCAAATTCTCTCCTTAGGAAACTGGATGTTGTATACCATAGTGTCATCCGTTTTGTCACCAATGCTCCATATAACACTCACCATTGCAACCTTTACAGTTTAATCGGCTGGCCTTCATTACATACCCGGCGTCAAAAACATTGGTATCTTTTTATCTATAAATGCTTACTGTGTAAAACCCCACCCTATCTACAAGCATTCATTTCGAGAGCGATCCCCTCTATGAACCTTCGTTCTAGCAGGTATATCACTCTGGTGGCTATAAAGCTCGTACTTCGTTTGGACGCCTCTCCTTCCAGTTCTCTGCTGCTAATGATTGGAATACACTTCAAAAATCTTTGAAACTTGAATCCACTGTCCCACTAATCACTTTTAAATCATTGTTAGCAAATTTACTGTCAGACCATTGTACATGCTAACCTGATCTGTGCACTGGATCTGTATTAATCTACTATGTTAATTATGTACTACTTTGTCTTGTAATTTTATGTGTAACTTATGTTTTTTGTACCTCGACGCTTTTTTGGCCAGGTCGCCATTGTAAATGAGAATGTGTTCTCAATGTGCTCACCTGGTTAAATAAAGGTTAAATAAATAAAATAAAAAAGAAATAAATACAAGAAATTAGTTTCGATACATTTACACTTGACCAATTTCATTTGGAATGAGGCCCAGACCTCCTCCTGAAGTGGTTTGAGCGATCGGATTCAAATTCTTCTCAATGCATTTCGGAGGGCATTTACACCTGGTCTTTTCACAAATGGATAGCTATCCGATCACAGAAAACGCATGAAGTTGCCAGGTGTAAGCAGCCACTTTGAGGAGTTTAATTATTTTCATTGAACATATGGCATGTGTGAAACAACAATAGTTTATCAAATATCTTTCATATCACAAACAACTTTGTGGGGAGCAGGGCGAGGCCGAGGGCAGTGAGAGAATGGCTGCAGGCCGTTGGCGTGATTCCTGATGAGCGACACCTGTGCGCACCGGTCTCGTATCTCTCACGGAGGAGCGGAAGCAGAACAGGAGGAGCGACGGCGGTGAAGGACGAGAGAGCCCAGGGGTCTGTTTCAGTAAGGAGGAACCAACTCTGAGTTAAAACTTTAACTCTGAGTTGATTTCAAGAGACTAGTTGTCCCCCTTTCACATTTTAAAACTAGGGGGGACCGTTCATTCCAAGTTGTTGCACCCAGGTTGTGGAACGCTTTGCCTCCTTCCATACGCGGCTTGGATTGTGTGGAAAAATTTAAAAATCATCTGAAAACTCTGCTTTTTAAAGAGGCTTTTAACTAGATTGTAGGGTGGTTAGGCTGGTCTAATGTGTACGTATTGTTTATTTTATTTATTTTATGTATTTTAATTTGTTTTGTGATGCAATGTATTTATGAGAGTTGTAAATGCTTTCTTTTGTTGTGAAGCACTTTGTGATCTTCATCTGAGAAAAGTGCTATACAAATAAATTTTACTTACTTACTTACTTACTTGATTTACCCTGAGATGGGAAAGAGTTTTCTTGAGTTTAACAGCTGAATGGACTACATGCACAACTACTTCCGCGTTCTACTTATTACATACCGGGAGTTTCCGGTTAAAGTGTTCATCGCACGTCCTTACATGAGAATGCAGATTATCACTATGTTTTATGGATGCCAGTTGATTAAAACAATGAAAAACGATCTCTGTATTAATTATCTTGAGCCTGCTGAAATGTTCCTATAAATATATTTTCTTTCTAACTGTTCGATTCTGAATAATAAATAGGCTAAATATATTTAACCTGCAATAGTCTTCTGTCTTCTCATTAACAACAGTATTAGCCTACTTATATTCTATACTTGAGTTTACATTTTTTTAATGAATTTGACTAATAAAAAGTGTGCGTATTAATTATAACTATCTTGTGGCCTCAAGATAGAAACTCGTGGCCTCAAGATAGTAACTCGTGGCCTCAAGATAGTAACTCGTGGCCTCAAGATACTAACTCGTGGCCACAAGATACTAACTCGTGGCCTCAAGATACTAACTCGTGGCCTCAAGATAGTAACTCGTGGCCTCAAGATAGTAACTCGTGGCCACAAGATACTAACTCGTGGCCACAAGATACTAACTCGTGGCCTCAAGATAGTAACTCGTGGCCTCAAGATAGTAACTCGTGGCCTCAAGATACTAACTCGTGGCCTCAAGATAGTAACTCGTGGCCTCAAGATACTAACTCGTGGCCTCAAGATAGTAACTCGTGGCCTCAAGATACTAACTCGTGGCCTCAAGATAGTAACTCGTGGCCTCAAGATACTAACTCGTGGCCACAAGATACTAACTCGTGGCCTCAAGATACTAACTCGTGGCCACAAGATAGTAACTCGTGGCCTCAAGATAGTAACTCGTGGCCTCAAGATAGTAACTCGTGGCCACAAGATAGTAACTCGTGGCCACAAGATAGTAACTCGTGGCCACAAGATACTAACTCGTGGCCTCAAGATACTAACTCGTGGCCTCAAGATACTAACTCGTGGCCTCAAGATAGTAACTCGTGGCCTCAAGATAGTAACTCGTGGCCACAAGATAGTAACTCGTGGCCTCAAGATACTAACTCGTGGCCACAAGATACTAACTCGTGGCCTCAAGATAGTAACTCGTGGCCTCAAGATAGTAACTCGTGGCCTCAAGATAGTAACTCGTGGCCACAAGATAGTAACTCGTGGCCACAAGATAGTAACTCGTGGCCACAAGATACTAACTCGTGGCCTCAAGATACTAACTCGTGGCCTCAAGATACTAACTCGTGGCCTCAAGATAGTAACTCGTGGCCTCAAGATAGTAACTCGTGGCCACAAGATAGTAACTCGTGGCCACAAGATACTAACTCGTGGCCTCAAGATAGTAACTCGTGGCCTCAAGATAGTAACTCGTGGCCACAAGATACTAACTCGTGGCCACAAGATACTAACTCGTGGCCTCAAGATACTAACTCGTGGCCTCAAGATAGTAACTCGTGGCCTCAAGATAGTAACTCGTGGCCTCAAGATAGTAACTCGTGGCCTCAAGATAGTAACTCGTGGCCACAAGATACTAACTCGTGGCCTCAAGATAGTAACTCGTGGCCTCAAGATACTAACTCGTGGCCTCAAGATAGTAACTCGTGGCCACAAGATAGTAACTCGTGGCCTCAAGATAGTAACTCGTGGCCTCAAGATAGTAACTCGTGGCCACAAGATAGTAACTCGTGGCCACAAGATAGTAACTCTTGGCCACAAGATACTAACTCGTGGCCTCAAGATACTAACTCGTGGCCTCAAGATACTAACTCGTGGCCTCAAGATAGTAACTCGTGGCCTCAAGATAGTAACTCGTGGCCACAAGATAGTAACTCGTGGCCACAAGATACTAACTCGTGGCCTCAAGATAGTAACTCGTGGCCTCAAGATAGTAACTCGTGGCCTCAAGATACTAACTCGTGGCCACAAGATACTAACTCGTGTTCTCAAGATACTAACTCGTGGCCTCAAGATAGTAACTCGTGGCCTCAAGATAGTAACTCGTGGCCTCAAGATAGTAACTCGTGGCCTCAAGATACTAACTCGTGGCCACAAGATACTAACTCGTGGCCTCAAGATAGTAACTCGTGGCCTCAAGATAGTAACTCGTGGCCTCAAGATAGTAACTCGTGGCCTCAAGATAGTAACTCGTGGCCACAAGATAGTAACTCGTGGCCTCAAGATAGTAACTCGTGGCCTCAAGATAGTAACTCGTGGCCTCAAGATACTAACTCGTGGCCACAAGATACTAACTCGTGGCCTCAAGATAGTAACTCGTGGCCTCAAGATAGTAACTCGTGGCCTCAAGATAGTAACTCGTGGCCACAAGATAGTAACTCGTGGCCTCAAGATAGTAACTCGTGGCCTCAAGATAGTAACTCGTGGCCACAAGATAGTAACTCGTGGCCACAAGATAGTAACTCGTGGCCTCAAGATAGTAACTCGTGGCCTCAAGATAGTATCTCGTGGCCACGAGTTAGTATCTTGTGGCCACGAGTTACTATTTTGAGGCCACAAGTTAGTATCTTGAGGCCACGAGTTACTATCTTGAGGCCACGAGTTACTATCTTGAGGCCACGAGTTACTATCTTGTGGCCACGAGTTACGAGTTACTATCTTGAGGCCACAAGATAGTTATAATTAATTTTTTTTACCAAAGTGGGACTAGAGGGGCTCTGTAGACACTCTATTCGCGTGAACACACCATGAGAGTTGGAAGCAGCAAAAACTATCTTTCACCACTCAATGACACATAAATCAGAGACCAAAGAGTTCCAATCAAACATAGTGTATTATGATTCTGAGTTGGACTGTAGGTTTCTGTGTTTTATTTTATGTATGTACTCTGACTAAAAATGACAATGGAAAATGGCTGCAGGTTGTCCAACTCAAAAACATTTTTGATAATGGCAAAAAAACATTTGGAAAACACTTGTTTAATAATTGCTTGCAGTTTTCACAGCTGTACAACAAATTGAATAAGTCACAGAAATAGAGGTTATGAAATTGTTTGTTGCATAAAATGTATCACGTCTAGTGATAAGTCCATGCACAGGAAGTATAAAAATCATATATATATAGTAGATAACTATAATAAATTGGCAAGATGTAAACAGTTCATACATATGTGCATACATGACGCCTGCGTCAGAAAAACAAAAAACCCAACTGAAGGCAGCAAACGGTGGGATAGTCCATGAAGAATCGTCCAGTTTACATGGCGTGCGATGAGTGTTTTCATGAAGTCATAACAAACTTTACACAACTCTTTCCTAAACTGACCAAAACAAACAAGGCACTTTATGACAAAAAAAAAGTTTTACAGGAGAAAAACAATCCCATAAAGATTCGTAACTAACACACAGCCCAATACTGAGGCCATCAGTGTGTTTAGTCGCACCTCACCAACCTCGAAGGTCAGAGAACGAATGCCATTTTCTCTTCCTTAAAATGTCCAAGTGCTTTGAGCCAAGTGCTTCAGCTAGCAGAAGAGCTAACCTGTAAACAGTAACATGGGAATGTGTGATCCTTCTCATTCGGCCTCTTTCTCAGGGCTCTTGATGCTGTCTGTCCTCACGATGCATGTGGGCCGATGGCGATTGAGCATCAGTATGAGCTGCTGTCGTTCGTGCTTCAGCTCCTCGATCTGTGACTTCAGCTCCGAGTTCATCATCTCTAGGCGTTCAGATTCCTTCAACGGAAGAGTTGAGGCACGTTAAAGGGATAGTTCACCCGAAAATGAAAATTACCCCATGATTTACTCATCCTCAAGGTGTATATGACATTCTTCTATCAGACAAATACAATCGGAGTTATATTAAAAAATGTCCTGGCTCTTCAAAGCTTTATAATGGCAGTAAATAGCCGTCCATAAAAGTGTATCTTAGAGAGAATGGAAAGATGAACTTTTATGATGGACAGATGCACTTTTATGATGGATAGATGCACTTTTATGATGGATAGATGCTCTTTTATCCTGCATAGATGCTCTTTTATGATGGATAGATGCACTTCTATGATGCAAAGATGTACTTTTATGATGGACAGATGCACTTTTATGATGGAAAGATTTACTTTTATGATGGATAGATGCACTTTTATAATAATTAGATGCACTTATATGATGAATAGATGAACTTTTATGATGAATAGATGCACTTCTATCATGGATAGATGCACTTTTATCATGAACGGATGCACTTTTATCAAGGATAGATGCACTTTTATGATGGATAGATGCAGTTTTATGATGAAATATTTACTTTTATGATGGATAGATGCACTTTTATGATAGAAAGATGCACTTTTATGATGGACGGATGCACTTTTATGATGGACAGATGCACTTTTATGATGGAAAGATGCACGTTTATGATGGACGGATGCACTTTTTGATGGATAGATGCACTTTTATGATGAATAGATGCACTTCTATCATGGATAGATGCACTTTTATCATGAATAGATGCACTTTTATCATGGATAGATGCACTTTTATGATGGACGGATGCACTTTTATGATGGACAGATGCACTTTTATGATGGATAGATGCACTTTTATGATGGACATATGCACTTTTATGATGGATAGATGCACTTTTATGATGGAAAGATGCACTTTTATGATGGACAGATGCACTTTTATGATGGAAAGATGGACTTTTATGATGGATAGATGCACTATATGATGAATAGATGCACTTTTATCAAGGACAGATGCACTTTTATGATGGATAGATGCACTTTTATGATGATGGATGCACTTTTATGACGGAAAGATGTACTTTTATGACATGATGTACTTTTATGATGGATAGATGCACTTTTATGATGAATAGATGCACTTTTATGATGGAAAGATATACTTTTATGATGAATAGATGCACTTATACAGTGGTATGAATAAGTTTTGGCACCCATGCTAAAGTTGCCTAAAAAGAGGAATAAAAAAATCCCTTGTGACCCTTCGCCATCACACACCTTCCACCACATCTAGAGATTTTGCATGGGGTACTTTCTATAAGATCATCTTTCAATGCAAATCAAACCAGCTATTAGGCTAACTGAAGTAAAACCATGCCAATCTCTAGGTGTAGTGGAAGGTGTGTGATGATGTGGGGATATTTTAATTCCAAAGGCCAAGGGAACTTTATCAGGATGCATATTATCCTGGATCCATGAAATAACTGGCTTTTAAAAATAAAAATCTGCCTGACTCTATGGGAATTTAACATAGGGGTGTCCTGACTTATGCACCCTGTATTTTAAGGAAAAACATTTATTTATTTATGATACATTATTCATTCACAAAGAAAATTGGTGTCCTTAAAGGTTGGACTTTTCCTCATTTTTCTAATTAAGGCATTAAGATCAATATCCAAAAGATGATTTTTTTATTCCTCTTTTTAGGCAACTTTAGCATGGGGGCCAAAACTTATTCATACCACTGTATGATGAATAGATGCACTTCTATCATGGATAGATGCACTTTTATGATGGAGAGATGCACTTTTTTGATAGGCAGATTAATTTTATAAAGTTCAAAACAGAAACAGCCATTAACTGCCATTATAAAGCTTGGAAGAGCCAGGACATTTTTACTCTGATTGTATTCGTCTGAAAGAAGGGGATGTCTAACCTAGGATGTTTTCATGGTGAGTGAATCATGGGCTAATTTTCATTTTTGGGTGAACTATCCCGTTGGCTCTGCATGTTGACTCTTTCACATGAACCACTTACCCTTTGGAGATACTCCGTTCTCTCTTTCTTTTTGTTTCGACATCTTGCTGCTGCCACTTTGTTTTTCTCTCGCCTTCTTTTCCTCCGGTCTTCCTCTTCATCTTTCTGGCAACAGCAAAAATGAAGGCTTTTAATGAGTCTGCCAAATTTCCTACAATCTGCCATTAAAGTAGGTAATTTGTTTAGGCAACCTGTTTAAAACATTCAATATTCACCTTTAAATTCAAGGAAGTTGAATGCAATATTTAGAAAAAATAAAGAAAGAAAAGAGTATTATTAGAGTACAAATATAGTTGCAGACTATTGACAATTTTTAAGAGCTTTATCATTTTTGACCACTAGGTGACATACATGCATTTAAAGTGTTTTGTTAATTTTGTTAATAAAGCGCTGTTGATAATTATTCATTTCTGGTTGGAATTTATATAAACATGTTATCTAAATCAAAGATGAACAAAAAAAGGACAGAAAAGTAAAAATGTAATCATAGTATTCTGCAGGCTAGAGTGAAAAAGCTTCCTGTTTGCCATCAAATTGTGAAATGCATTAATAAATTGAAATATCAACAGACTTTTGCAGAATGAAAGCTACAGTATAGCATAAAAACGTTATAGTATAACTAGTAAAAAAAAAAAAATCAGTTTTACTGATCACATAAACTGAGCCTGAACATATGGCGATTATGAAATGCTTGTTGTTTAATAGTAAAAAATAACGCACAAGTCATGTATAAGGGTATAATACAAACTTCTTTAATAAATTACATTCAGTCAGTCTGCATTAACAGTAGCAGCTGTTCAGTCAGCAACATCTGCTCAAATGAACACGTATCGCTCTGTTCTTTATAGAGCTATGCTTTGAAAAACACGCTACTAACATCGCCAATATCAAACTCGATGAAAAGGCAGAAAATGTAATAAATAGTCCGATATAAAATATTTATATCTCAAATAAAAATATTTACAGTCCAGTATTTATAATAAAATAAATATTTATGAGTACCACTTTACCACCCTTTAGTTTACTGTGAGTGCAGCTTTAAGTGTGTGACCATATACTGTGTTTACCTGATAGTCTCTATATCACCAATGTAGAGGTCACTGTCACTGCAAAAATAGCCTGATATAGTTTGGGCCAGATGGCATTTTGCTTTTATGTTTCATTATATAAATTTGTTTTTATGATTTCACAGTTTGTTTAGTTGAAGCAGTGACCGCCTGTCCACTAGATGGAGTCAGTGCAGTTTGAAAAGTGCACAGAAAACACCACCACCGATATGTTTTAACACTGACTGCACAAACACACAGATCTGCCTGATCTTCACAGGTACACACGGGTCAGGCAGTGCTGCTCCAAACTCACACACCTGTAAAGAAAGAGCTGCACCATCAAGCTTTCTGATTGGCTGATACACTGGAAGGAAAATTGGTGCTGGGTTTACTTTGAAACAGTTTTGAATTAGAAATTACTTATCAAATATAAAAATAATTACAAAGAAATGGTAAAATGTAACATTTTTAAGTAGAAAGACTGAAATTAGATTTTCTTGTAAAAACAAAGTCCAATATTTATTTTTTTTATTTAAAACTTTAAAAAAAAAATTCAACAGCTCATATGCATGTTTACATGTAGTCTAGAGACAAATGTGATGCCAACATCAGAGAAGAGAAGAGATGTCGCTGCAAGAGGGAGGGGAAGTTATTCTGATTAAAGATCTAAAGCAATGATTTGTTTATAATAAACACTGCAATATTCAATAAAAAAATAAGAATGGTCAATTTAGATTTTTAGCAAAGCAGTTACAGCTCCACTTTTTAGTTTGCCTGCAGATTATATAGTTCAAGTAAATAAAGTGTTGTTTCCGTCAGATGCCCTCAGATTAAAGCATTAAGAAGCTCACCTCTGCTTTAATGGTGTGCGGCCGCTTGCCCAGTTTCCCCAGTAGATGTAGAGGCGACAGCATGGCCCCGAGGTTGTAGAGGTCGGCGTACTTCAGGTGTTGGGTGAGTGTGGTGGCAGAGATGCCCACCAGAGGGCCCAGACTGGGCAGAGCGCCCGCCGTCCCCGAGGGGTCCGGGATCTGTCCGGGCATCACGTCATCAACACCCCTGACCACAGCTGGAGGACACAAACACACTTTTGCATGTGAGACTAATGAGCCGTCTATTGAAGTCGAGTTATCTCTTGAATATCATTCATTTAATATATCTTTTATAAACTTTAATTATATTTGCAGCATCAGCTCTTTTCTCAGTGTATGAAAGGATTAGTACAATCTCTCTAAGCCCCTCCTTTTTGAGAGTTTACTTTGCTCTGATTGGTCAATGACCCAGTCTGTTGTGATAGGTCTACTCTGATCTTTAATCACAACAAACTGGGTCATCTGACCAATCAGAGCAGATTAGACCAATCACAACAGACTGGGCCATCTGACCAATCAGAGCAGAGTAGACCAATCACAACAGACTGGGCCATCTGACCAATCAGAGCAGAGTAGACCAATCACAACAGCCTGGGCCATCTGACCAATCAGAGCAGAGTAGACCAATCACAACAGACTGAGCCATCTGACCAATCAGAGCAGATTAGACCAATCACAACAGCCTGGGCCATCTGACCAATCAGAGCAGAGTAGACCAATCCCAACAGACTGGGCCATCTGACCAATCAGAGCAGAGTAGACCAATCACAACAGACTGGGCCATCTGACCAATCAGAGCAAAGTAGACCAATCACAACAGACTGGGCCAACTGAACAATCAGAGCAGAGTAGACCAATCACAACAGACTGGGCCATCTGACAAATCAGAGCATAGTAGACTCTAGAGAGGAGGGGTTTAGAGATCTTAGGGTTTAGGGGTCTTGATCGAATTGTTTCAGACACCGTCAGATGAAATCAGGAACCTTTGAAATAGCACATTAGGGGTACTTTAAAGAGCCCCTATCATAGCATTTGAAATGTTCCTATTTTTGTTTTAGGAGTTCCCAAAAACAGTTTAACATGCATGCAAGGATAAAAAACACTTTATTTGTCTTATAATATGCATTTATTTTTAACTGATTTGCTCACCGACGCCCAAATGATTCGTACAACGACTCATTTTTCCAAACCACTCCTTTGCGTGACGCTAATCGGCGGTGATTGGTCAGATGACGGACCCAGTCAGTTGTTTGTTAGCATAACGCGTAAACATATTGACAAAGCACTGCAGTACTACAAGACGCTCTATTCTTTATGACAACTCCTATAACAGCGACAAACATTTCACATATTTAAAAAAAATTGACATTGGAGACCTAGAAGCTGCGCTGAGCGTAACTTACACACACATGCGCACACACATACTGCCTCGCGCCCCGACGCAACAAAACCGTTCAAAACCCATAAAAAAGCAACAATTATTAATAATACTTACAGGTTGTGATTCGAAGGAGGAAGCTGATCCATATACACTGGGTAAGTAAGTACTGAGCCCTCCTTCAGGAACAACCGCTTGCGAATCCACATTTGAATTCATTTATTGAACTAACGTTATTCGTCAATAAAATGATGAGAACACAATCGGGCTATACTGTTGCAAATATGAACTCTGACCACCGATTCTTCACATGCTCGTCCCTGTAAATGAAAACAAAGTGGCTGAACTGTCTTTGCATTGTGGAACACAGTGTCTTCTCGACATGATGCTATGATCAAGTATTTGAATGTGTAGACTTCAAGTGTACACTTCCGTCTGTGCGCAGTAACTGGACGCGGCCAATGACCTCTCTACGTCACGACGCAACAGCTAATGACTCGTTTCAAAAACAATTCATTTCATAGACTCAGAGTCGACTCTCACTTTTGAAAGACAATAACTTTATATACGGTGCACTTTCAGATTTAAATCTTTGCAGGATGTTTTCATTCCCTTAGAGCTATAGTCCACACCATATGAACAGTCATTTTCAAAAATCCATGATAGGTGCTCTTTAACCAACCAGTCTCCACAAGTCTCCAGTTATGGTTTGAACGCATGTCCAGTGTGCCCATGCACTGTCTATTCTGCACATTAGATATTCAATAGCTTACATGTGTATAATACGGCCACTTACAGACCGCCCCCCCCCCCTTTTTTTTTTACGCGAGGCACAAAACTAGACCCAGACACATTCTCCTCAAAGCCGCGGAGAGAAGAAGTGAGAACCGAGCCAAGATCCGCCCGCTGCCCGAGTTTCCTCCGTCCCAATCTGAGTTCTCCATGTCAGCCGAGAGGAATGTGGCCGCAGAGCAACAGGACAATGTCAACGGCCTCACGTAAAAAAAAAAAAAACCCTTCAGATGTTCTTTCTACAGCTTGAGAAGAACTATTTTAAAGAAAATTAAGTCTTTCCATTCTTACAGAGAGATGAACTGCAGAAAGTGACCGGCATGAATGAGCCTCTTGAAGAAACGCCCTCACTTTGACACCAGAAATCACTGCCACATGTGAGCCTCTGCATGGCACACACACACACACACGTTATGACTCGGGAAGTTTCATTAGTCTTTGCCCAGACAAGCTATCATTGCTCATACTGAACGTTAGACATTTAAACGTTAGTCATTTATTTGTGATTAGATCTGAGAGCTGGATCACTCCCCCATAGGCTTCTACGGGATTGAAACTTGCCGGCCCAGAAAACGTATTAAAGACATCGTTAAAATAGTCCGAGTGACGACAGTGGCTCAACCTTAAGTTTATCAAGCGACAAGAATACTTTTGTTCGCAAAAAAACAAAACAAAAATAACAACTTTATTCAACTATTCACTTCCTTCTCTGTGGGCCTCGAGTGAGTTCACGTAGTGTAACAGCGCTTCTGTGTCGTACGTCAGCGCTTACTTTCGATTTGGGGTGAACTATCGCTTTAACTATACTAACTTAAGCACATTACTCGTCGTGCACTATTTGAGAAGTGTTACTTTTGCAGGAGACTTTTGCCAGGCTGACAATACAAAATAAGAAGAAATACGTCTTTTTAAAGGAGGACTAGATTTCATGATAAAATGCATTTAATGGGTGCTTCTCTGCACATTTTCTCCAACTATTTTGTGCACAGTGCGGATAAACTGTAGGAGGTAAACACGTGGACACGAGACGATATATAGATTTCTCGTTTTTAATCGATTGATTTTGATGAAGCGATAACTTTAAGTTTATGCCGTTTTCAGTTGATGCGAGACCATCCAATATTCTCAAGCTTTGTGCTCTGTTACTTTTGATAGGAAACAAAGTTTCAGCTCTTCTGTCACAAATATGGCTTTGACGCTCTTCAGGCCACGTGTCCACCATAGCCTGTTAGCCAGCTGAAAACTTCTGAAAATCTGCGCAAGTGTTTCCGATATCTGATTTCACAGAGAGTTAGTTTCTGAGTGATGTAAAGTACATGCTCTGGTAAGTTGTTGTGTTTGTTATTGTCGTTGTTTGCTTGTATGTGGCCGGTGTGGTATTTGTCTCGTGGCATTTTTAACTAAACGCTTCCATTGAAAACAATGGGGTAATCCTTTGGTGGACACATGACCTTAGCTTGGATTCAATCTTTAATTTTAACTTTCAAATGTATTTAAATGACTATAAACTCAATAGTTAGGTAGAAATTTATTTTAAAGGGATAGTTCACTTTGAAATTAATTTTTGATATGTTTTATCTTACCTCAAGGGCATCCAAGATGTGGGTGTCTTTGTTTCCACAGTAGTTTCAATTTTGATATTTTTCGGTCAAACCGTTCTTGTCTGTCAGTCATATAATGGAGGTCTATGGTCACCACCTCACAGAGCATGCACAGAGAAGTTTTAATGATTTTTGATTTAATGACTCGTAAATGTAAGTACACATTGATGGCCTAAGACATGAAACGAGCGGTTTGTGTGAGAAAACGAACAGTATTTATATCGTTTTACCTCGTGTAATCACAGTGACGTCCAAGTGATCTGAGGGAGAGGGCGCACCGGAAGTGATCTCTCGCGCGTGTACGTCACTCATTGTTTACACAGAAAAAAATATTGTAGGTAAGACGCTGTGCTTACAAGACGTAAAACTATATAAATACTGTTCGTTTTCTCACACAAACAGCTCGTTTCGTGTCTTAGGCCATCAATGTTTACTTACGTTTACGAGTCATTCAATCATGTTTAATTTGGACTTCTCTGTGCATGCTCTTTGAGGTGGTGACCATAGACCTCCATTATATGACTGACAGACATGAACAGTTTGACCTCAAAATATCAAAATTGAAAATACAGTGGAAACAAAGACACCTACATCTTGGATGCCCTTGAGGTAAGATAAAACATAGCAAAAATTAATTTCATAGTGAACTATCCCTTTAAGGTGATCCGTGATCGATTGATCAGATGATGATCGTTATCGCCTGATAACAGCTTTATACAGTTTAATCAGTGGTCTCTGTAAAGGTGTCTGAAAAGAACAATACATTTGCAACGTATGTGTGGAGTGGAGACATTGCCACGACAAAAACTATGACGGCAAGAAACTAGAGCTGTGCGATATTAGTGCATTTCTTTCCTTCACAGATCTGCGCTTTCATTCCTCCTAAAAGCCCAAACTTGACATTTAAATCAGCTAGATTGATTGTTTGACAATTTAATTGTGGTAAAATACAGTCTGTTGTCGATGATAAAAAGAGTTATTAAACACCGTCGGTTATGAGGTAACATAAACAGATGGGAAATAAGTCGCATGTGTAACAGTATATTGGGATTCGGTCTTAAAGTGACAGTAGCCTAATAAACCTAATGCTGTCATTAATGTCAATCAAACAACAAAAGACAAAGAAAAAAGTCAATCACTGCTCTTTAGTAGATTTATTAGGATACAGTGAAGCCTAAGCAGTGTTGTTTTACATTACATTGACTGTCTCTTTGAATTGACTTTCTGTTGATGAAGAGTGTTCTGTTTACTATTATTAGTAGGGTTGGGTATCGTTTGAATTTGAACGATTCTGATTCTGATTCCGATTCCTTGTTTCGATTCCGGTTCCTAACGATTCTGGATTCCGATTCTTTTAAGAGGCAGGGTCAAAAAAGTTTAGCTAACCTTGCTAACCAACGGCCTTTCTGAAGGAAATACTCCTTCTGTAAAAATTCTCCTTTTGTCACAAATTTTGCATTTTGCCGAGATTTCGTTATTTTTAGAAAAGTGAAGCCACACTTTGGATCGCCGACGTAAGGTACTCATGTTCGACTTGCGTGGTTATGCCAACACTTCCAGTAGACGCTTCTTCACTGGTGTTCAGCGGTTTCTTCTTCCGCTCGGCGGACTGTGAATATCGAAACTTTTTTTTTTTTTGTTGTGAATATCGAAACTAGGAATCGAAATTTTAACTTTTGAACGATTCCGGGAAAAACGAAAAGTTAGTCTCGGTTCCAATCGATACTCGATTCTCGATGCCCAACCCTAATTATTAGGGTATGGAATAAGTTGCACATGTTGCTTGTCAATAATTAACAAGATGTGACACGGTTCTCTCACAGATATGGACAAACGTACTTCCAGTAACAATAGCGTTTGTTCAAAGTTAATAATGTTCTCAAAAACGTTAGCACAAAATTGTTCATGGAAGGTTTTTTTTAAGAAACATTTTAGTTGGACGTTTGTTTAATGCTTTTAAATGTTACAACTGGTTTCAGAACGTCCAGAGAACATTCAAAAGTAACATTCCATAAGAATGATGAAACGGAATGTTCCCTAAACGTTCACATAACCAAGAAAAAATCTTTGTTTAAAATGGATATTTTGAACATTTTGTTGATTTGGTAAAAATTTTTAAATTTTAAAAATTAAAAAAAAAGTCTATGTATCACTATTAAGGCTACACAATACCAGACAGACATGGAGGGATCTTTAGTATTTGCCAGAAAGTTCCCATCAGCAAAAAACACTAAAAAAACCCACAACCTCAAAGAAAAAATACTCACAAAATACAGCAAGCTTATATTCCCGTATAGGCAAACACTGAATAACCCGATGCTTAACTGAATCCCGTCTGCAATATATTCATCAGGAACATTTTCAGATGTGATCAAGCGTGTTTCATGTTCAGAAGGTGTGTGAGGCTTTTCAGTCGACAGAACCACAGACTCAAGCATCTCACTAAAAGCCCCAATGGAAAAATGATTTCCACAGTAAAAAAAAAAATCACCATCTTTTGAAACTTTTAACACACTTCCAAATAAAACCGACCAGTCCAGACAAGTATGTATTGAGGGAATGACAGCATGAAGGATTTGGAAAAATAAACTGAATAAAACACTGTTCTCTTTGTTTAGATTTTCACTGGAAAGTTCTATAGAGCGCTTTAGTTTAGACCGTGCAAACCGACGCTCTCTCCGCTGTGACCGTTACCACATGTTATATTAATGTTTTGATCCATTATTACAGATAAAGTGTTGCTCTAATTGATTGATTGCCCCGTTCTTCAGTAAATATCCAAGTAATGCTGCATGTCTAATGCTACAAATGATGAAATACGCCACACTTGATTATGTTGTTTGTCCAAGAATAATATGGACAACAAGCAAAATAAATACAATAATCAATCTATTGTCCACATGTTCAATTCAGCACAACCAGGCTGAACAACACATCCATACAAATCGAGAAAATGTGTTCATCAAGTAACTAAGTCTATAAAACCCATAAATAAAAAATATAGCTGCACAAAACTGGATAAATTGAGAAATTGAGATTGAGAATCACATTTATTTATTTATTTTTTTTACTTTTTTTCAAACTAAGATTATGATACTGAACAAACAACTAGCCTAAACAAAATAACAATTGCTGCCATCTTTTTAAAAATCCAAGTCAATAATTTTACCCTTTAAACTCATCTTTAATCACCAAAAGTACATTTTTTCCTACCGTATAAGATGACGTACTGATATAGCCGGAGGCGCAAAACGTTCTGTTTACAAGCAGTACGTCATCTTATACGGTAGGGGGCGGTAAAACTCCTAAGCGGTGAGCAGCCGGTAACAAAAAGTAGTCGAAGAAGAACGGTCTCGTCTCAGTTCTCGCGCATGCGCCCATAAGGAAGTAATGGAAAGTCGAATAAAGTCGTTATTTACGTGTTTTTTTTTCGCACAAAAAGTAGTCTCGTCGCTTGATAAAGTTATAGTTGAGCCACTGTAGGCACATGGAATATTTAAACCTTTTCTTTTAATGACTTTCTGGGCCGTCAAGAGCCAGTCCCTCAGGCTGTCTATGTAGGACTGATCCAGCCCTCAGATTCAATCAAAAATATCTTTATTTGTGTTCCGAAGATGAACGAAGGTCTTACGGGGTTGGTACAGCATGGGGGTGAGTAATTAATGACTTAATTTTCATTTTTGGGTGAACTAACCCTTTAAGTACTGTACTCAAGTAAATGTACTCCATTACTGTCTGGCTCTGACTATGTACCAATGTGTTATTAGACCAAAGGTTCATTTTGCGCTGGAGTTCTCCTTTAATAGACAAATCGATGTCATTTTGTGTGTTTGAATCGAGATCTCATCTTTTAATAACGATTAATCGTGCAGCTCCTCTACAGATTAGATTCAGAAGTTGTTCGGTCTAATTAAAAACATATTTTACAAATGTGTGTGTGCTGTCTGTGTATTTGTACACTGTAAAAATTTTTTTGTCTGTTTAACTTCAAAAATTAAGTAACCTGGTTGCCTTAATTTTAAGTTCATTGAAATGAAAAAAAAATTGAGTTAATACAATGAAGGAGATTAATTTAATCATCAAAAACTAAAAATATTATGTTATCTGAACCACATTAGGCTAATTACTTAAAGTCTAGTTCACACTACATGATTTTAAGCCCGATTTGCAAATCGTCGAGCTCGCCGACAGGTCAGGGTGTTATCGCGGGGGATTAGCGGACGAACGCTCGCCAATCTGTTAGTATGAAAGAACCAACAACACATCAAGGACGCTCGCAGACACATCGCCGAGCCCACAATATCTAGCATGCTAGATATCCACAGCTGTCGCACGACTCAACCTCAGTGATGTCATGAGCTCCAGCCAATCAGAGCAAGGCATGGGTTAAATGGGTTATTATTTTTTTTTTTTTGCATTTTTTTTCTCAGAGCAAATTATCGCGCAAACAGTTTGATGCACTAGTTTCTGTCTGACGTCCATATTAGCTTGTTTTGCTGTTTCGCGTCATTTCCGGTTTGTTTTATCGCACGATTTTTCATGACAAAACGTGGTTTATAGACAAGACAGAATCGTTGGGTGACAGAGTTGTTGTCAACTGGTGTAGTGCGATCAATCACGTTGTGTCGTGTGTGTGAACAGCTCAACAACTTGAACACTCCTGATTTCACAGAGAGCAAGTCATAGTGTGAACCGCACACTTCAGCCCGACGTTTTAAAATCATGTAGTGTGAACAAGGCATAAGTTGATTTGACAACAGAAAAAATGTTGTGAATTCAATTCATGAACATATTTTTTACAGTGATATGCTTGCTGCAGTATCATATGTTAGCATAGCAACAATCTGATTGTAAGCCGCTTGATGTGAGTCGTGTTTAACAGCATTTACATGAACCATGCGGTTTCATTTAGTCCAACAAGGCAAAGATTTAGAGAGTGCTTCTAATGATAAAAGTCACTGAAATATCATCCTAAAAACGACGCTTCCGAACGGACAATCATCAATTTAAAGTTTTTTTTAAACGTGTTTTAAAGTGTGTTTTAGATAAATCTTAAAACACTGATGCGTTGAGGTCATGTGCTGTTTAATTAATCAATAGTTTATAGTCATTTCATAGCAGTATGTTACAACGTGCACGTTTAACACTAAACACATTTTATAATGTTAACGAATATATCAATACATTTAGATCATTTTACACAGTTAATGCCCGAGAGCGTCATAATGCACACTGATATCATCGTGTTCATTGACAGTGACATGGAGTTATTAATCACAGCATTACGCGTATATGAGCTGTGTGTCATGTTACATTCCAACATCTATAAAGGTCAGTGTCATTTCGTTGCATTATGCATGCAGTTATAATAGCAATGCAATGAGAAACAGTTTCACACACTGCTTCCAGATTTTATCGCCCACTTCTTTTTGAGTGGAAGTGAAACCCTTTTCTGAACAGCTGAACATGCTGATGATCTAGAGAGCACCAGTTCATTGAACTTTACTGTGATGTAACATGCAAATGTGAAAAGTTTTTACATCATGTTTTAAATAAACTGAGGCGAAGAGAGACACTAACGCCACATTCGGGTGATGGATATATCCAACTGCATGTTACTGTAAAACCGCACTTGAACACACATTTTAAATATAGGCATTTTGAATCTAAAAAAGTTAGCGTTTAGGCTACACTATTGCAGCCCATTACCACTCATGCATCCGTTTCGTTACAAGCTTAATGTATTGTGAGTGACACCGGACAATACAGTGAAATGATAAGATAAATTGAATGTGCATTTGCACCACGCCCTACAGTGACTCAAAATGATCTCAAAGCGGAAGTTTCTCTTATGTAACACGAACTTCAGTGTTGAGTGAGTCTGTCTGTCCCATCAGTGAACATTCCCCATGTAGGCTACAACTAGAGATGGACATGCCTGAGAGAAATGCGTTCAAACTTGGAAATAAAGAGGTATTAAGTTGCATAACGCATGCATGCGTTGAAAGCAACACAATCTATTGTTGATTATTAAATAAACACGCACGTTGTTGATGTTGCAATGTACATTCTGTGCTTGCATACCAAACTCGGCCTGTGTCCCAAAACCAAGCCAGTTTCCTAGATAGACAGCATTTTTGCGCATCACTGAATCTGTCCATGAATGCTCCTGCGCGCGTCCGATGCGCAAAAACGCGCTCCGCTAGGCGTCTCTCTGCGCTATGAGACACCGCCGAGGAGAAATGCAGAGCCTAGGACTCGAAGCCGTGCAAAAGTTGTCAAAGTTGGCCTCTTACCTGACTTCGGTCTCGGGGTGAGCGAGTGGAGTCCCTTTGTGACGTCAGCTGGAGGTCGCGAGTAGATCTTGAAGAGCGGGAATCGTTGCATCAGCTCGAGTCGCGAGCGCTGATCCCTGATCGGGAAGAGCGAGGAATGCGGAAGTCAGACGTCAGCAGGGAGGATGAGAAATGAACTGCAGGGAAAACACTCATGGAGAAGTGGAGAAGTGAGGAGCAGAGACTCGCTCCACCCCTTAGAAACCAGAAAACAAACATTCCGTTCCCCGTCCGTCAGCGTCAGGAGCGTTTCTAGCCGTTCGTTCGTCAGTAGCTAACGCATCAAAAAGGGTCCTCGTATGTTGATGCTCTTTTTTTTAATGGATATGGTTTTATGGCTTGACCCTGCAATGCTGGAGGCTGCAGTTTCAGGAATGCAAATAAATAGGGGAGAGCGGGCACAACGTAACACTTTTTGACTTTGTCAATTTGTGCATAAATATACTTTTTTTTTTTACCCCACATTAATTTACCACATGTCTAGTACAATTATGTGGTTTCGTTTTATTAATACAGTGTGGCTACTTTTTTCTTGATTTACCCTGAAAGAATGGAAGTGAAATGTGACAACATGCCCCATAGGTGGGGTACATTGTAACATGTGAGGGGCACATTTTGTAACATCACAATATGACAGCTTAAAATACAATTATTAACTTTTTCATATAAAAAAATGCCATTTTTAATAATTTAAAATACGAATTTTTGAGTTTGACAACAAACACACCGGAAAACACAGCTATACAGCGTAGTTCAAAACAAAATAATAATGAATCATTTCTGAACATTGACTCTCAGTCTTAATTTACATGTTTCTCTTGTTTTCTTAATAGAATCCATACAAGTGTAGAATATAATAGCATATTTCTAATAGGGGCACATTGTAACGCAATGTGACAACATGCCCCAACTGCTGCACAACTGGGGTTTAAACCCTGCTAGTGTCTTATGCTAGTTAGCTAAGCATTAAATAACTATATCAACTGTTAAACAACAGATTGGAGATTAAAATAATATCAGATTTGTCTAATTTTAAATAAACACAAAAATAGAGATGAAAAATTAACGCAAGTAAGAAATGTACTTTTGCTATAGTGAAACAAATGTTCAGTGATATCTTACAAAGATTTCGGAATTTTAGTGCATTTTTTCTCTATATAGTGTTGGACTGGCAACTAGTAGGCTAAATATACCAAGTTTCGTCATGCCAGCATGTGTGTAAGTATTTAAAACAAGTGTGTTACAACTAGCCCTGCGTTACGTTGTGCCCCGCGCTCCTAGGACAATATCTTTTCCTTTGATTATGTAGCTTAGACCGGGGACAGTTGCAGCTCATTTTGCATTTTGTTCCTCAGAGACAGTTTGGATTAGACAAACCAATTGTTTATACAATAAACTTACTTCTGTATGTTAATAGTCTAATCCATTTAAAGATAATTACAGAATATACATTTTTCATCATTTGCATTTGAATGTAAGCAGCCCCGGGCCACAGTTGTAACATTGTTTGCGGATGGTTGCAACAAGTTACAAATACAATATATTCCAATATATGTCAGTGTTAGCAAAAAAGTTATAAGAATATTAGTGTTATATGTTCAGCTTTGATTAGATGACAATTTTAGATTTGTCTTGATAAGTATAGGCCTTATGTGCAGATGTCAAATATTCAAATTGATAGGCTTTTAGTGACAGGAAGAATGGAACAATTTTTGAGGCAATTAACTTTTATTTAGCCTATTGTAATGTAAAACATTTTTTTAAACTATATTTTATATCATAATTTTCCATTTTAACAATATGTTATGCATGGTCACAGGCACGTGCACACACACATAAACATAAACCTCCTGTCCTGCTCCAACTTGATGATCTATATTGTATTTAAGTAAAAACTTTTGAAAAAAATGGTTAAAAATACTGCTATGTGGTCTGTTTTAATATTTTCAACAGTTGCAACAAATCCTCGTTCCTGTCAGCCATGATAATACCTCATGTGCTAGCTAAACATTTGACTATACTATCTTAAAGTTAAAGGATTAGTTCACTTTTGAAAAAACTTTTGCTGATAATTTACTCACCCCCATGTCATCCAAGATGTCCATGTCTTTCTTTCCTCAGTCGAAAAGAAATTAAGGTTTTTGATGAAAACATTCCAGGATTTTTCTCCATATAATGGACTTCAATGGGAACCAAACGGTTCAAGGTCGAAAAGACAGTTAATAACAGTTTCAGATGCAGCTTCAAATGTCTTCAAACGACACCAGACGATGAATAAGGGTCTTATCATGCGAAACGATCGGTTATTTCAAAACTTATTCCAAAAATGTAACTTTTCTAAGGACAAATGCTAGCCTTGCTCTATTCTGTGAGGCGCGTTTGCAACGTCACGTAATACGTAATTACGTTCAAAAGGTCACGGGCGACGTAGCCGGAAGTACAGAGTCAGTGTTTACAAGTTGAACGCATAGGTTGAACGTGCAAACTAACTCAAACGCCGTTTACAAAAAAAGGAATTAAAAGGTAAAACAACGATGTCGGACGATTTTGATTCTGTACTTCCGGCTACGTCGCCCGTGACCTTTTGAACGTAATTACGTATTACGTGACGTTAGAAACGCGCCTCTCAGAATAGAGCAAGGCTAGCATTTGTCCTTAGAAAAGTTACATTTTTGGAATAAGTTTTGAAATAACCGATCGTTTCGCATGATAAGACCCTTATTCATCGTCTGGTGTCGTTTAAAGACATTTGAAGCTGCATCTGAAACTGTTATTAACTGTCTTTTGGACCTTGGACCGTTTGGTTCCCTGGTTAATGAATGTGGCGTTATCTGAAAACACAAACTTTTAATATACAAAAAACAGACTATCAATCAACTTAAATTTTGTGAGTTATTATTACTTAATAAAAACAACCCAACTGCAGTTTGATTGATATTACTTCTTGAAATATGCACACGATTTATGAAAATGTACAAATCTGTTTTTGCAAATGAACTCTTCACATGTCAAATATTAAGCTGTACTTACTACTTTCCATCAGTAATTTATTTAGAAACAAAGGACACAAGAACACCAGTGCATGATTGTATATCGTGAATATTTAATCAGCAATCAATGCTCTTTCTGTTCTTTTCATTTGACAAACAAGTCAAATTTAAAATGTAGAAAAATAAATTATCATAAAATACATCTCCATCGATATAGCACTGGATGTTTTCATGGAAAACTCTAAACATTGAAGAACGATGTGAAAACCCAGTCGAATGATGACACTGAGGTATGTGATAACTCTGATCATGACTGAATATTAAAGCACAACACGAGTCGATAATCTATTGCCATAGAAAACAAACACAAAACTGCAGTCAATTCCACAGAACTTAGCACCAGATCAAACAAATATGGAACTGATACATATATACTATATATGTTGTATATATTTATATATATATATATATATATATTCATGATATCTTGTGCATGCTTTTCAAACCAGAACATTCATAGTTCATATCTGCTCGAATAAGATAATTGTCCATGCTCTTGTATTTGGGCTACATCAAATGTATCTGGAAGAAAGTATTACCCCGACCCTCACATGTACATGGAACGGCTGGCTTCAATGGGAGCGTGTTTCCGCAACAGCATTAAAAAAAAAGTAATTGCGACTTTTTAATCTCAATCTCGCAAAATTCAGACTTTTCTTCTCAGAACTGAGAAACAAACTCAGGAATGGCAACTAACGTCTGAATGGCAAGATATAAACTCACAATTCTGACTTTTATAACTCACAATTGACTTTTTTTTAAAAAGTCAGAATTGTGATATATAAAGTCACAATTGAGGGTTATATAAAGTCAGAATCATAGATATAAACCTGCAATTGCAGTTTTAAGGTGACTTTTCGTCTCAGAATTGATCAATTAACCAGTAAAAAGTAAATTTAATAGTAAAAATTACTTAAAATTATAAAAAATTATAAACTACTTTATAACTCTCAATTCTAATTTTATAACTGGCAACTGACTTTATTTGCTCATAAATGTGAGATATAAATTTGCACTTGCATGTTATATGCAGTCAGAATCGCAAGATATAAACCCACTTAATAACTTAAGTTATAAAGCCAGAATTTTAAGGTCATTTTTTCTTTGGCATCTCGCAATTTGGGCAATAAAACTCGCAATTGCGAGTTTACGAAGCTTTGTAAACACGCAATTGTGAGTAAAAGTGAGCAAAAGTGTTGGAATTGTGGGCTACTTTTACACTAGTGCCGTCCAGTTTTTGTAGAAACCCCTCTGGAACATGATTGGCCGCTTGTTTTGTTGTGCAGACCTTCTAACCCTGATTGCGGGAGAAAAAGTCGCAATTACCTTTTTAATTTTTTTTATTCCGTGGCGGAAACAAACTTCCACAGGCTTCACACCAACATCACACATCTGGACGCCATAACACTGCGATATCCAATAGATATTAAGAACAATATCGTGACATTACATCATCTACACTTGCATTTATAAGGCAAGAAGGGTTGGAGAGTTGAGGATGTCGACGCCAGATTCTGCTTTGGTCACGCCGCCTTTGCAGCCGTCCAGTCCCTCGGCCGGGGAGTCCAGCTCGGGGCAGGCGAAGGTGAACACAGACAGATAGTTGCTGCAAGAAGGTGTGGAAGAGGTCACCACAGGGGTGCTCAAAGGTTCGAGGTCATTGGCCACGGACTTGTATAGGGTTTCCCAGTCTGTGATGCCCAGCGAGCCGGTCAGGTCGATGTCGGGGACGGAGCGAGCCGAGACCCGGTCCTCGTCGACGGAGGAGAGGAACTCATCCCTGACGTCCAGAGAGGGTTCGAGGTCACACAGACTGACCTCGGCGCTGGAGCACAACAAGATGTTGGAGTTCCCGGAAATAGCGGTGGACGGCACTGTTGGGATCTCCAAGTCCTGCAGAGAGGAGGCGTCTTGCGGACTGTCCTCGGGGAGTTTGCTGGCCGTTTCGGGAGTTGGAAGTGGCTGAGGAGACTCTGGGAACAGGCAGTCCAGCTCTTCAGGCAGTTGGCAGAGAGGTTTATGAGTGGCGAGAACGTACTCAAGCCTCTCCTTTTCCTTCAGGAGGTTCTCGATCTCAGTCTGGAGGGCCGCTTTGTCCTCTTCCAGCTTGTCTGTTTCCTGGGGAAAACAAAACTGGGTTATTCCACAAACAGACAGATTTAAAGGAGATAATTCACTCGCCCTCATGTCGTTCCAAACCTTTATGGCGTAACGTGATCTTTAAAAAACACATTTAAGAATCATCAAACACTTAAATTCTCGTATAATTATCATGCCATTCCAACCCTGTGCGGCTTTCGTTCATCTTTGGAACACAAATGAAGAAATCTGAGAGATTGAAAGTCTGTTCACCCAAAACTCTGACGCTTCAAAACGTTTAATCCCAGTCTTCAGAAAAGACACAATCACTTTATATGATGAACAGATTTAATTAAGGTTTTTATTCACGTATTAACATTGCTCAGGGAACATCAACAGAAGCGCGACCTTACAGACACGCAAGAACAAACTTCATTGGTTCTTATGCTTGAGCTTCCGTGACCAAATTTGAATACTAAATGTAAGTTGAAAATGTACAAAAATGACATTTTTTGTCTATTAACATTTAAAGGGATTGTTCACTTCGAAATTAATTTTTGGTATGTTTTATCTTACCTCAAGGGCATCCAAGATGTAGGTGTCTTTGTTTCCACAGTATTTTCAATGTATTTGATGTCACCGCATCAAAATGTAAGTACACATTGATGGCCTAAGACATGAAACGAGCGGTTTGTGTGAGAAAACGAACAGTATTTATATCGTTTTTACCTCTTGTAATCACAGCCACGTCCAAGTGATCTGAATCAGTTGTGCAATATCCAACTGAAGCGAACTGAACCGTGTCCAACGTTCCGCCGGAAGTGATCGCTTGCGTGTGACATCACTCATTGTTCACACCGAGATTTTGGAAGTTTTACCTTTCACTAAACATATTTAGATTTATTGAAATCGTCTTCCATTGCGATTTCCTGTATATCTAAATATGTTTAGTGAACGGTAAAACTTCCAAAATCTCTGTGTAAACAATGAGTGACGTCACACGCAAGCGATCACTTCCGGCGGAACGTTACAAGAGGTAAAAACGATATAAATACTGTTGGTTTTCTCACACAAACCGCTCGTTTTGTGTCTTAGGCCATCAATGTGTACTTACATTTGCGAGTCATTAGATCATGTTTAATTTGGACTTATCTGTGCATGCTCTTTGAGGTGGACCCCCATAGACCTCCATTAGATGCGTGATAGACAACAACGGTTTGACCGAAAAATGTCAAAATTGAAAAAACTGCAGAAACAAAGACACCTACATCTCGGATGCCCTTGAGGCAGTGTTGTAGTCGAGACCACCTCACTCGAGTCCGAGTCGACACCGAGACCAGAGAGAGTCGAGTCCGAGTCGAGACCGAGACCAGTGAGGGTTAATTACCTAATTTACTTTTATTTACTTAGAAAAATCTTTTTTTTTTACTGAATTTACTTAGAATTTACAACTTTACTTAAATATGATCAGTTAAGGGTAAAAAGGCCACATAGTAGGTGGTGTTAAAAGTAATTTTATTACAATTTGTCATGCGCAGTTGCGCACTAGAAAATCACCAATCACTGGGCGTGTCAATCAATTTAAAGAAATATTTTATTAACATACATTAATAATCATGAAAAATATTTTTAATTGAACTCGAGTGGACTCGGGAATAATTCCGAGTCCTAAAAAAAAAATGTTCGAGTACGAGTCAATTCCGAGTCCAAATGGACACGAGTCCATGACAAGACCAAGACCATTAAAATATGGTCTCGAGACCGAGTCCGAGTCTCGACTACTAAAACTCTGCCTTGAGGTAAGCTAAAACATATCAAAAATTAATTGCAAAGTGAAGTATCCCTTTAACCTTTAATTTTGGTCTTGGTGTGTATAGGCTACATCACATGTCTTCAGGAGCCTTGGACAAGAACGTTCTCAGAACTTTAAAGTTCTGGCAAGTTTCCCGCAAAGTTATGAACAAACGATCTTCCAGTAAAATTAATAGAATGTTCATTCAAATTGATCAGGGTCTTTAATTATGTTCTCAAAACTTTATTTATACAAATAGCCCGGTTTATGGAAGGTTAGCCGCTAGATGTTAACTGTTTCGGAACATTCCAAAGCAACATTCCCCCAGAATGTTTGCAAAATGGAACGTTTCCGTAACGTTCGAATAACAGGTGTTCTGACAATTCATGCTACCCATCGAATTTCCTACTTACCGGTTATGCGCATGTGCAGACTCGCAGTTTTTTTTTTTTTTTTTTTTTACAAAAGGTACATTTTCCTGTTATAATGTATAATTTCCCTTTAAAAAATGCTTACTACCATATGAATATTTGTACGGTCAGCCAGCTGAAAAGGAATAACTGAAAGTTTCAGTTACTAAGAAAAGGTGTACTTTGACAAGTCAAAGATGAATATTTTATGATAATTTTTACTTTTCACACCGTTTCAAAAATAAAAACAGTAGGCTAGTCTACAGTACACAGTAGCTACTCATAACTTAGAATTGTATTAGAATTGTATTTCATACGACTTTAATCGGCATTCTGTGATCAATTCGCGCTACGGTAGCATTTTTCGACAAGGCAGCAAAAATCGACAGAACACCGGCAAAGAAAAAAAATAAGTTTCGAACGTTCAGAGAACATTCAGAATAGCAACATCCTACAATGTAACATTTTGTAAGCAGGACAAAATATGTTCATTTTTTTCAGTAGTGGGTGAGTAAACCGAGACGGAAGAGTGTTCGTGTTTTTGTTATGTTGTTGTACTCACTGCCTGCAGGGTGTCGGTGAGTTCTCTCCGTCTATTGCGACACTTCGCTGCAGCCATTTTATTCCTCTCTCTCCTGATCCTCTTCTTCTCCTCTTCCTCCGGAGAGAGCTAGTCAAAGCAAGATGAATTGCACTTGTCATCTCGAAGAATCTCGTTAAAATGCTTGACTTCTGTCGCCAATTATTCAAGCAATGGCAAAAGCGTCTTTCTCTGCAATGCGTCTAAAAATAGTCTATTGTTGCAGACTCGCTGTGACCTGAATATAAATTGGATGCTGCTAGTCTAGGCAACACGCCAGAGCTAGAGCTGCATCCCCATCAATCCCATCCCATGCAGGCACATGCTTCACAGACCAGCACGCGTGCCAGACATGCAGTGCACGCGCAGAAATACCTGCTCGCTCTTGCTCTTTCTGCCAGCGCATTTCCCCTTGCTCCCGGCGGTCTTGCTCTTTGCCGGCTCGTTGCTTTCGGTTCTTCCCAGAGACGGAGACCCTGACGTGATGACCGTGGGCTGGACCATCCACTGCAGGTCCGGCGTGCTGGAGATCGCGGTGACCGTCGGAACGAACGAGCCCGGAGACTCAGCATCCACGCACGAGCCCTGCGATGATGCGACGGAAATATATTATAGGCTAGCTAAACACAACACTTATTTATGCCAGGTCTCTTATTAAATTAATGCGTGCCTTTTTTTTTAAAAGTTTGCACTTATGACACTTTCTTTAAATACACTCGAGCATCTAAAAATAGCCTCCTGATCAATATTTAACTTTTGCATTGTCTCTGACGTCAATGCTTACGCAGAGCTGCTGTGGGCTCTCCTCGCTGGATTTATTTTTTCAATGAACAGCTGCATTTTTACAATGCTTTTCACTGCATTGGAAAGGATGCGCCACACAACATCACGTTCAACATCTGATAAACAAATGAAGCACCAACATTGCAATAGTGTGCTAGCCTATTTAAGATTTGTAAATATTTAATAACACTTCAGAATAATAGCCTAGCCTAAGAAACAAAGTCTCCAATAATGCATTTGTATTATGTATTAGATATTGAACTACATGCATCGATCGTGGCGTGGATGTTATGATGATGTATGGATGAAAGTGAAAGCATCATACCTGTGTGTTGCTGCTGTCCATCTGTCTGTGCGCGCGCGCGTCCCCGGCAGAAGAGGACGAGGAATCCGGATCAGAATTAGCTTTGCTCAGGAACATTTCTCCAGCACAAACAGACACAACTATTGACAGGATTCCAGCTGTTCTGGTCCGAATCCCTCGCTTCGTGATGTTACAGTCGCTCTCTCCAGGTTTATAAACCTGGTCAGTGACACTCAGCTCCGCGAGCTCCTATTTATAGTCCGCCTGAATTTTATGAATGAATCGGGCCGTACCATTCCGCGTCTGGGGAGCTGCTCTTAACGACATGTAAAGAAAAATAGTTTTCTGTGAGAGTTTTAAATGAATTGTTATTCTTTCATCCATATCCAAGTAAAATGCCGATCAGAACAGATGTTAGTGTAGTGAAGCTGCGCGCGCTGAATCGATGGCGAACCCCTGAGAGGACGAGACGTGGTGCGTGCCCACATATTCATTCATAAAATTCTGATGGACCCTGATATGCATAAAGTATTTTTGAATAATGCATGACTTATTTTAAAACGCAATTATTTCATGCAAACTGATGCTCATAATCGACACTACAGTACTGCTTTCATGTAATTCAGCTACAATAACTCTTGAGTAATGTGAAAATGATGGAGTAAAATTAAAGTAAAAAAAAAGACATCGGACCAACTTTCTAGTAGTAATTATTTTATTGATGATTATACGTCTTGCAATCGCATATAATCAGGTGTATTTTAACGTGCGTCTCTATCCACGCTAGTCTCAGCATCTGCACCTGCTCACACGTCACGTAATGACGTAACACTGTCAAACAGGAAAATGACCATATAAGGATAACTACGTGTTGGGATTCCAGCGCTGAGCGATGTGCGCATGTGTCTGGGCTGAAGCAGCTGCTTGGTGTTTTGTGCAGTGCATTTCTGCTTTTCTCTGCAAAACGTGTTTAGACGCCCATCAGTAGGCTAATACAAATGAGCATATTGCGCAGATAGCAAAACATAAGCTGAAAAGGTTCTATACAGTTGACGATATCTGATCTTGGAAGAGACATTGAGATTGTCAAGACAGTTTCTTTACTGAATGGCATAATGTAATGAATGTGAGTGATTTATGTGATTCGTGTAGAACTGATGCATGTTTTTTATAGCCCAACTGTATAATCCCTATAATGCAAACTATTGGACAAATCACACCGCCAGACAAATGCACACCACCAAAGAGACTACCTTTACCTTTAAAATGTAAAATATAAATGAATTGATTTTTTTTTATCCTGAAATGACTCCTGTAAGTGACTTCGTTTAAGTGAGACATCTAAATAAGTCATCATTGAGAATAATCGGAGGTTTAGATGTTGACGTTTTATAAAATCAAATAATGGATTTGTTTGAAGTCACCATTGTGGTGAACAGTGTTTGCTTTTGTTGGGCTCTTGACCCTTGACTTTCCAACATCACTTTGACTTTGGCTGATTCAAATATGCTTTCCAGCAGTTTTTATCGTAGTTTTTGTCCAAGTCCATTTTCTTCCTGTTTTTGGTGGAAGGCCACAGTAGTCGATTATCGAGTTCACGTGCGCGATCCTTACCAATGATCGCGCACGTGAACTCGACAATTTACTACTGTGGCCTTCCACCAAAAACAGGAAGAAAATGAAGTCGGACAAAAACTACGAAAAAACCTGTTGGAAAGCATATTTTGCAGCGATTTTTGTGTGAGCATATCAGTGAACACCCCAGACCACTCAGTGAGTTTCACGTCTTTGTAAACTAAAGGTTTATGCGTTTTTATGAATGATTGTTCCGAGTGCACCTATGCTACCATTATAAAGGTGGGGGGGTGCTAACACAGAATCCAAAAATTCTCGCGACAGGAGCATCTGTCTAAAAACAATCTTAACTACTCTATTTCATCAGGGACGATCTTAAAACAGGGCTTTAATTGTAAAATACCGAACTTGTCCTTTAAGCCTGGGCTTCAAGTCATGCCTGAACTCTCGTTTCCAGCCAGGAGGGCCACTGCCATGTCAGAGCCTGTTTTTGAATCTGTTCCTGAGCCTGAGTGCGTGCCCACAGAACCGCCCAATAATTTTTATTTATTCATTATATTATACAACAAAATAGCATGATCCACCATTTTACTAACTCTGCTAAGAAATTAATATCACATTCTCTTAGAAATACAGATCAGATGCTGAACTCGGTAATAATGACAAGATCGAATTTTTGATATTTTTTTACTAGTGTGTGCAGGACACTATAGTTCATTTATGTAAACAACATATTATAACCAAAAATTCTTCATACAGAGACTACCAGTAAATTGTATAAACTGGGACCAAAAATTATTCGGACACTTTGAGCTGATCATGTTATATTCAGTGTTTTCTGTATTTGCTAATGCTCTTTTTACACACAGAATGAACAACATGAAGCATTGCTTGGTCACTGGTTGAGCTAAACTGGTATTATCTAATTGTGTAGTTAAATTGAACAGATATTCAACATAATTCATGTGTGAGAGTCTAACAGAAGGACGGACAAAACCAGTCAAATATCCACTGGTCTGAGAACTCGAGTTCTGCTCACATTTATCACCATTTTCCAAAACTACAGTGAAAAACCGTGATACATGTTGAAGGTGTCTCATGTTGGCTTGCCTGTATATCCAGCCCGTCCAGCAGTGGTGTACGTCATCAGAAGGACTCGGTCTCGGTTAATAGAGATGTGTGTGGATGGGCCTTGAAAAGCTGCTGTCGAAATAAACCGGTCTCTGCTCTGGAAGGAGACGAGGGTGGGGAACATTCATTTCCTGGAATGTTTGGCTCTTTCACAATACATTCATTCATCTTGGAGACTTGCTTCTGGGAGAATACCAGACACGCAGGTCAATGTACATGTGAAACATGGCAGAAGAGCAAAGAATCGTGGAGAGGGGTGTTTTATGGACAGTGTCACGTCATGGTGCACCTTCAGCCAAAATCTGAATTTAATTTCAGAGAGAGAGAAAGAGGGAGATCTTTTTTTTTTTTGCCTTTTACTACTAAATTCAAAACCCATTCCTCATTATGTGCACCAATGCATCAGCGGTGTCTGCATAAGTGGAATATGAATCATATGGTTTACACAACTTAGCCAATGAAAAAATACATTTTAAGACAAAATCTAGATCACCATCTAACAAGTGTTCTAATTAAAGCATCTGATAATGATTCTGCTATAAGCATCAGTTTGAATCCATTGAAAGTAATACACAAATCCCTGTATGTCTCTACTAAACCCTTGTATAAGCTATTCTTTTTGACCCCTAAATGACAAGAAAATCCCCCCTTCATCTACACAGCATGAAACTTGAGTGGTGGTTGACATAGCTCAAAAATAAATTGGAATATCTGGTTGTTTGTTAGCGTGAAAACAAACAAACACAAAAACACTTTATTAATCTTTTACTCTCAATTCAGTGTTTAGGGGATTTTAGATTTAAGTTTTTTTATTTATATAAATCAATTAAACGTTTTTTTCCCCATAATGAGAGACTATAAAAATTGCTTTTTGGCACATTATAATAAAAAATGTTACAATGCAGAAAACACACAAAATGAAGGAGTGATCCCACAACACATACCTGATGGAGTAAACACACACAACACTCCCGAAACTCACAAAGAAATGAAAAATGTGCTGCCATAAGATGCTCTCTGTTACATTATTTGTCAAAAATAAATCTGCTATAATGCAGACTATGCTAACGCACACACAGAAATGGAGTGACACCACAACACATTAACGATGGAGAACAAATGCAAACGCACACAACATATACACATAAAGCACATATTGAACTATATTCAGGTTGACTGTAATAACGTGTCATAATTGTAGAAATTATACTTCAGTACAAAAAAACAATTGTTTTATTGTTATAATAATTGTTTTAGAGTGTCTAAACATAAACCTAAATTGAAATAAAGAAACAAAACTGGGAAAAGATGTATAGCTACCCATGAGGAAATGGCAAACTTTTTTTTTTAATTATTATTTTTTTTTTAATAAAAAATATTCATATACATTCAAAAAATACCTTAACACTTAACCCCCCCCCAACACTGCACAAATGTAGAGAAAAACATTAATAAAGTGAGTGATATTGCATTTGTTTAAATAGTCCACTATGATGTTACAAAATCACATTTTATTGTCTGAATGTTTTTTTGTTCTGAAGAGCCCAACATATAAAGAGTCTAAACTCCAAACAAGTCATTTATAGTATTATAATTGTACAATTTAACTATTTTGCAAAATGATGCTTAATAAAATTTATTACTTCCTGACATATAAAATGTATTAAATGTAACATATTATTTTTTTATTTAAATTATTATTATTTTTTGGTCCAGTGAAAATATTAGCAAGTAAAAAATATTGTTTGATTATACTTATTTTTGTCATTGTTTATATCTAATCTAAAATCTAATCTCATTCATATCAAAACTTTCCTCTAATTACATTTTTTTTTGAGACCTGAATGAGTTTTACCATCGACCGACCTCAAATATTATAGACATTAACATAACAATGTTTTCTTTACCATGGCTTTGAAATATTTGGAGAAAAAAGCACATTAGATTTGCACAAGTTAGTTTTGTTTGTTTGTTGAAGGACAAACACTTCCAACCTCCTCCTTTTTTATTCATCTTTTGTTGGTATTATTGTGATAAATGGTATTTTAATCATTTACATGGTGAAAATCGTTACACTCTGAAAACTGCTGGGTTGTTTCAACCCAACTTTGGGTCAAATATTAAATATACATTTTTAAATTACATTTTTTGAACACAAGGTTTGGGTTTGTCCATATTTAACCCAAAATTGGGTTAAAACAATCCAGTATTTTTTATAGTGTATGTGTGTATATGGTGTTTTTAATAAGCTTTAAGACACATCATGTGTAAGTTCATAAGTGGACAGCATTCCTCCTTAAAACTGCGGTGAACCAAAGAAATCGCTTTGAAATCGCTGGTGTTTCTGACGTCACAAACGACCTTGTAACCACTTAGATCAACGTGTGATCGTCAACCAGTGGATCTCTGAGTGAGTGAGTGGAGGCGGGGCTCATTTGCATATTCATAGAACCGCACATGCTAAATGAGGCAAGGGTGTCGAGTTACATTCAAGATATTTACACAGCTGGGAAGACCAAGAAATATAGTTAACTGATGTATAAACCTTTAACGGTGTGGATGACACACGCCACGCCATTATAAAACACAAACACACTGGAGTTCAGGGGGTGGAGTCTATTATATTAGTTGTGAGTGTTACAGAAATCTGGGAGAAGCTGGTATATAATGACAATAAAGGTGTTTTCCTTCATGTTTATACCAGTAACAGGCAACAGGTCACAAAATGAAACACTAAAATAAATAGTAAACGTAAATATATACTACTTGAGTTGTTCTGTCATTAACGAACAACTTTGAAGTCCTTAAAATCCAGTTTATCCACGGTGCGCTCGTTCCTGAACTCCGCTTTGGCGATGCGTGACTGCGGGCTGCCGGTGGTGCGGAGCCAGCGCTGCATCTGCTGGACTCTACCAGCCGGACCCTGGATCTGGCCCTGGACCGTCCCGGCGTCGGTGTTCTGCACCCAGCCCACCAGACCCAGCTTCTGCCCTTCTGACTGCACACACACACGCGATATTAAAGAACAATAATAGTGATGTGACATCAGTGGGTTAGTACAATGTTTTGAAGCATTGAAAATACATTTTGGTCCAAAAATAACAAAAACTACGACTTTATTCAGCATTGTATCGTCTTCGGTTCGGTTGTGGATCTGCGTTCAGTGATGCGGCAGACGTGTGTGTGGTGCGGCTGAGCTTCGGTTACAGTCTGAGGGAGACGCATGCTGTACAAAACAATCTTCACAAACATGTCTAAGGATTTCCACACAGAGGAAGACTTGCATTTTTTTGCCCAGCCATATTTATTTGAACCCGAATACACGGACACACCAGACACACGTCAGCCGCGGCACTGAACGCGGATCCAACAGAACCGGAAGACAACACAATGCTGAATAAAGTCGTAGTTTTTGCTAATTTTGGACCTTAATGTATTTTCGATGCTTCAAAACATTGTAACTAACCCACTGATGTCACATGACTACTTTGAGGACGTCTTTATTTCCTTTCTGGACAAGGACAGTATACCGTACACACATTTACAATGGAGGGACAGAAAGCTCTCGGACTAAATCTAAAATATCTTAAACTGTGTTCTGAAGATGAACGGAGGTCTGACGGGCTTGGGATGACATGAGAGTGAGACATTAATGACATCATTTTAATTTTTGGGTGAACTAACTAACCCTTTAATGTTATAAACCGGCTTTTTTTTTTTAAACCAGCTTTTAAGTAACTTCTTCCTACTCATTTTCGTACATATAAATAGAGTTTTTTTTAAGTACTAGAAAGTATGGAGTTTTATTTTGTTGTATTTTGTATTTTAAAACTTTGCAGATTTTTATTTATGCAAAGGTCCCTTTCGGGGTTCCGTAGATGTCCTCTCTGGCAGTGTTGTAGTACTCGATACTCGGACTCGTCTCGGACTCGGTCTCGAGACCATATTTTAATGGTCTTGTCATGGACTCGTGTCCATTTGGACTCGGAATTGTCTCGTACTCGAACATTTTTTTTTTTTTTTAGGACTCGGAATTATTCCCGAGTCCACTCGAGTTCAATTAAAAATATTTTTCATGATTATTAATGTATGTTAATAAAATATTTCTTTAAATTGATTGACACGCCCAGTGATTGGTAATTTTCTAGTGCGCAACTGCGCATGACAAATTGTAATAAAATTACTTTTAACACCACCTACTATGCGGCCTCTTTACCCTAAACTGATCATATTTTTTGAACTCTAAGTAAATTCAGTAAAAAAAAAAAAAAAAGGATTTCTCTAAGTAAATAAAAGTAAATTATCAACCCTCACTGGTCTCGGTCTCGACTGTCTCTGGTCTCGGACTCGACTCTCTATGGACTCGGTCTTGACTCGGACTCGACTCTCTCTGGTCTCGGTGTCGACTCGGACTCGAGTGAGGTGGTCTCGACTACAACACTGCTCTCGGGTTCTTCTCTGCGTGAGTAACGTTAAATGAATGTGTGGATGATGACAGCTCTCCTGTGTTCATTGATGTGACAACTAGCCCCAGCACACACGACACTGATATGTCCATTACCTGTGTGTGTTTCCTAAAGAACACGCCCTGCACTCTTCCATACACCTCATAATCCACGGACAGCAGCTCTTCCTCAGTGGACATGATGATGATGAGCACCTGAAACACTCACAACATCATTATAACAGCTCCGACATCATCTGACCAATGCGATTCCCAACTTTCTCAACTCTGTCAAACACAATGTATGACGTACCGGTGGATGGACGATAGCAAACGGCTTTCTAGTTTCTGAAATCCGCAGTGAAATCGACTTTATTATCGTTTCAACCGCAACACACAAGTTTCGCTCTAGCGGCGCGTGCGCACCATTATCATCACAGCGCGCGTCCTTCATCCGGGTGACATCACGGCGGCATGACGTCTGACGCAACTGGCCAATAGCAAAGTTGAAGGGAGTTTGCGTTGTCTTGTTCCTAAGCAACTAGTGTAAACACAACTGGAAACCTGAGGTGATCCAGCAGTTTACATTCACAGACAACACGAGTAGGTGAGTTTAAAGCTAAACTTACATTTAATCTTCAATAATGTGAATGGAAATGCTAATGAAAATGGACACACTATCTTACTGATATACATATATTTACAGTCAATCTGGTCAGACCCAAGGACTGGAAAATGTAAAGACATAATTTTCATTAGCTCCACAATAACCTAGTTTTTCCCGGATCAACAGTTTAATATAACCACCACATATTGGACACATATAGATGATATACGATGATTAATGATGGTTTCAGACTTTACAGAAGCAGCAACCAAAGATCTAACTTACAGAACAAACAAAAATAAATGATAACGTTAAGTTACTTGGACTATTTTTTAAAGTAATGTCACACATTACAATAAGGTTCGTCAGTTAACATTAGTTAACGTATACTAACATGAACTAACATTGAGCAATACATTTGTTACTTCATCTTTGTTAAAGGAGTAGTTCACTTTTAAAAAAAACTTTTGCTGATAATTTACTCACCCCCATGTCATCCAAGATGTCCATGTCTTTCTTTCTTCAGTCGAAAAGAAATTAAGGTTTTTGATGAAAACATTTCAGGATTTTCTCCATATAATGGACTTCAATGGGAACCAAACGGTTCAAGGTCCAAATGAGAGTTTCAGTGCAGCTTCAAAGGGCTTTAAACGTCACCAGACGATGAATAAGAGTCTTATCAAGTGAAACGATCGCTCATTTAAAAAATAAATAAAAGGTTTAAGTTTTATAAGCACAAATGCTCACCTTGTTCTGTTCTGTGATGAGCGTTCGTGACTCTCCTGTGCAAACTCGTTCCTCAAAATGAACAAATCTTTTTTCGAGTCGTGACTCGAAGGGTCCTGGATAAGACCTTTATTCATCGTCTGGTGTCGTTTAAAGCTCTTTAAAGCTGCACTGAAACTCTAATTTGGACCTTGAACCGTTTGGTTCCCATTGAAGTCCATTATATAAAGAAAATCCTGGAATGTTTTCATCAAAAACCTTAATTTCTTTTCGACTGAAGAAATCTTGGATGACATGGGGGTGAGTAAATTATCAGCAAAAGTTTTTTTAAAAGTGAACTACTCCTTTAACGTTAGCTAATATAAATACAGCTGTTCATTGTGTGTTCATGTTAGTTCACAGTGCTTTAGCTAATGTTAACATACAACCTTTGATTTTAATAATGTATGAGTAAATGTTGAAACTAATATTAACTAAGATTAATAAATGTTGCAGAAGTACTTTTCAGTTCATGTTAACTAATGAACCTTCTTGTACAGTGTTACCGTAATGTCCATATGTGTTTTCCATCAGTCCACAGGTTGACAACGCTGTTATTATACGACCAACCTCTGCTGGAGCTGCATGTGTGAGTTTCTGAAACATGCAAACGCTGCCACAACATCACCTCACACAACACTTTTGGGAAAGAGAGACCGTATCATCAAACCTACCGATATTACACAGAGAGAGCATGAGCAGACAACGCCGTCCCTCGGGAACTCATCACAGACTGGACTTTATACATAACCAAGAGAGAGAACTTCCCTGGCAACATCCAGACAACATCCACAGGGCGAAAAACACGGAGAAGAACGAATACGTTCCCTCGCAGATAGCGTTAGGCAAAATATTCCCCCTAAAACCAGTCCTCCACAAGAGAGCGTTCAGCTTGAGTAACGTCACCAAATCACCACATCAAGAGATACTTTACTCGCGTTTGCCCACACTGGCTGATCAAGCTGCGGTCAGACAGCAACAGAAGACTGCGAGGAAACTAGATCCCATCAGCTCATCCCATCGAACAGGGAGAAAAAAACAGGATCAGGAAGAGAAGCAAACACGCTTCCCGAAAGAAATCCAGATGCTCCAGCAGAAGATCTCCAAAGCAGAAGAGACAGTGCGAAGAGTCCAAAAAGAGAAGAATGGATGTTATCTCGAGGACGACCGGTTCTATGGTGAGGGATACGGCGAATGGGACGAGGAAAGGGACAGATATGGGAATGGAAGAGATTATATGGAAAGATGGGAGGAATGGGAGAGGAGAAGAGAAAGTGTGAAACGTGAGGAACGGGGACGACCTTTGGCTTTAGACATGGCGAAGGGTCACAAGCCTGAGGAAAAGAGAGAGTGGGATGACCACACCGGAAAAGGGAACAGGCGACGTGAGAGAGGAATGGGATGGGATGATCATCTGGACAGAGAAGATGAAGACGTGAGAAAACCAAACACACGTGACTCTACGAGGAGGGACAGAGCTCACCTCAAACATGAGAGGAGGGAGAATAAAGAGGGATTTGAGGAACTGAAGCGCCTGCAGCGTGTTGAGCTCACTCCCGAGGAGAATCCCGACGCCCCGCAGCGGCTGCTTCCCTGTGACGTGTGTGGTCGACGCTTCGCTCGAGACCGGCTGGAGACACACGTGAGAGTGTGTGAGAGAAAAAGGCCCGAGCGCAAGGTCTTCGACACGTTCCAGCACAGAGCCAAAGGAACCGAGCTCGAGAGGTTCATGAAGACGAACGGCAGGAGCAAAACGCCCGAAGTAAGGAGAACCATCGCGACGTGTGTGACTAGGGTTGGGTATCGAGAATCGAGTATCGATTGGAACCGGGACTAACTTTTCGTTTTTCCCGGAATCGTTCAAAAGTTAAAATTTCGATTCCTAGTTTCGATATTCACAGTCCGCCGAGCGGAAGAAGAAACCGCTGAACAACACCAACGAAGAAGCGTCTACCGGAAGTGTTGGCAGAACCGCGCGAGTCGAACATGAGTAGCTTACGTCGGCGATCCAAAGTGTGGCTTCACTTTTCTAAAAATAACGAAATCTCGGCAAAATGCAAAATTTGTGACAAAAGGAGTATTTTTACAGAAGGAGTATTTCCTTCAGAAAGGCCGTTGGTTAGCAAGGTTAGCTAAACTTTTTTGCCTCTTAAAAGAATCGGAATCGAGAATCGTTAGGAACCGGAATCGAAACAAGGAATCGGAATCAGAATCGTTCAAATTCAAATGATACCCAACCCTACGTGTGACCCTGGACCACAAAACCAGTCACAAGGGTCATTTTTTAGACCGTTTTGCAAGATGTAAACAACACTGGTCCAGAAACACTTCCTGTTTCAGTTTGTAAAGAAAATATCTTAAAGATGTTGTTTAACTTTTTGATTCAGTTTTATATGTTCTGTTGGTTGTATTTTATTTTATATGTTGTAGTGTTAAAATACTGGAACAGGAAGTGCTTCTGGACCAGTGTTGCTATCCACAAGTTTCCTACGCCCCATGAGGCCTTGCGTCAAAAGTGGGCGCGACTTCCGGTTGGAAGTAAACAAAGCGCGATTTGACATGCTTGACACTCGTTCATTCAACAGTTGACAGTCATTCAAGTTATAGCGATCCAAACTAGCTAACGATGTGGGAACACAACCTCAACGAAATTCAAAAGGGGGAAATAACAGTACCTTTACCCTCCGCAGTGTATTATAATAACATTATTAATAATCAATACTCATCAAGGCATGGTGACAGACAGTTGTGCGAGCTGACAAACAATTAAAATAAAAAATACACACTTACTCATTGTGCTCTGGAGTTTATTCAAAATTATAAATGAATGTGCTACTTAACTGGCACATTTGGTATTCTGTCAACACAGGCTTTAATCCTGAGTTTAGGTGTGACATCAGTAGCGAACAGCCAATCACATGCTGAGAGAGTTTATAGAATATTACGAATTTAAACAAATGTACACAGGAAGATTCGTCGTCTTTTGGGAGGTGATGGAAACTACAGTCGTTGGCAGGATCAGAGACGGGCTCTGGCAGGATCACTCTGATTTCGTTTTCGGCGTATGTTCAAAACAATCACGTTTAAGCCACTGAACTAGTTTAATCCGGTTATACATACAACCGCGAACAGCACATGTTGCCCCTGAGCTCCGTAACGACATCTCTCATAAAGATTTGCGTCTTTAAATAGTTAAATAATTCTCCGAAAAACAGCTAGCCTCTTCGCTAACTAACACACAAAACACCATATGAATGCTACTTCCGCCGCCTCACCGGAAGTTTCACCCACTTTATTTTTTACAGGAGCGCCCCTCGGAAACTTGTGGATACATCTTGCAAAATGGTCTATAACATTTAGATTTATACATCATATGTAAGTTGAATGGATACGCTTCCTATTCATGTATGGTTTGTTAGGATTTGATAGTATATGCAGGGCTCGACAATAAGGCTTGTCCGCTTGTCCGGGACAGGTGGATTTTTTGTAGGACAAGTAGAAGAGAAAATTAGTTGTCCGACCGGACAAGTTAACGTAAATTTCAAACAAAATAAAATGCCATGTTACGTCACGTTATGTGCCACTCGTTACGTCTATTTTACAGATTTAATTTTACCGATTTGAAACGAACACATTTTTCACGCTGCCTGTGAATGTCCTGAATGTGACTACTAAGGCGTTATTGGCAGATATTGATTTTATTTATCTACAGTTTATGTTAGGATCTGCTAAACTGTTATACATATCTCACTGATTCACATTACAAGCATCAGATGTCCCTCACAAACTTTAAAATAAAAGCGAAACAACCAATCTAATCTAAAAAAATATTCACTTTGTACTCTTCATTCATGCACATTTAACCGTAAGTGTGGGGCAAACGTTCATGACAAGTGTTCAGTGTGTTTGAGCAGAATGATTTGGTTCTGCTGTGGTAACATGAACTCTTCACTGATGTCACACTGTCTTCACCCACAGCCTAGGAAGAATACGTGGCGGGAGAAACACCAGGCCTTCATTCAGACCATGCGTCAGGGTCGAGATCCCGAGCCACAGCCGGGGTGCGATCTGCACCCGGAGTACGTGTCGTGTCCTCACTGCGGCCGGAGGTTCGCCCCGGGCCCGGCCGAGAGACACGTGCCCATGTGCCAGAACATCAGGAGCAGACCCGCGCCTCCGAAAGCCACGCAGGGCAGCGCCAGGAGGACCACGGCACGGTGACATCTGTAGGTTCTGGGAAAACTCTTGTAATAATAATAATAATTTAAAGGGGGGGTTGACTGCTTTTTTTCTTTGCATGATTGTGTTTATGGGGTGCAATATAACATGTATTTGTGGTTTTTCGTTTTTAAAAAGTCTTATTTTTCATGAACTTCACGTTCATTGTCAGCCGCTCGAGCGGTTCACTTCCTGAGTCTATGAAAACACTCCCTCAGAAACACGTAGTGGGCTCAGATTGGTTAGTTTGGCCCGGTGTGTTGTGATTGGCTAAACTGTCGCTTACGTTGTCCGGAAGGTTAACGCCCATTACCGGGCACGTCATGAGCTCCGGTCCAGATGTAAATATGCGTCGAACTGCAGTATCAGTTTAAAGGGTTAGTTCACCCAAAAATGAAAACTACCGACTACCGTGGCTCAACTATATGTGTATCAAGCGACGCGAATACTTTTTGTGCGAAAAAACAAACAAAAATAACGAGTTTATTCGACTATTTCTTTTCTTCCTTGTAGGCCAGAACGAGACTTCCTTATAGATTTCCACGACGCATGCGCGAGATTTGCGATCTGCTCACACCAGCTTCACTACTTCAGATCGCAATTCTCGCACATGCGTCGTGGAAATCTATAAGGAAGTCTCGTTCTGGCCTACAAGGAAGAAAAGAAATAGTCGAATAAACTCGTTATTTTTGTTTGTTTTTTTCGCACAAAAAGTATTCTCGTCGCTTGATAAACATATAGTTGAGCCACGGTAGTCACTTGGGATATTTAAACATTTTCTTCATTGACTTTCTGGGCCGTCAAGAGGCAGTCCTTTAGGAGCCAATGTGGTAGTTATACAGCTCTCAAATTTAATCAAAAATATCTTCATTTGTGTTACGAAGACGAACGAAGGTCTTACGGGGTTGGTACAGCATGGGGGTGAGTAATTAATGACTTAATTTTCATTTTTGGGTGAACTAACCCTTTAAGGCAGAATCAGACCGAGAAAGCGGCGATGAAGAGAGTCAAGCAGAAGCTCACCACACGGCTCTTAATAAACGTTTCTGAATGATAATTTGCTACATTTTTTTACTTTATACACGTTTGTTTTACACAATAGCAACTGACTGGCAACAATAGCAACTGACTGGCTACTAATGTTATACTCAAACAGCGTTGGCAAGTTTACGTTCTTGATCAAATCGAAAATAACGTCATAAAACATATATACATGAAAAATACGTTTAAAACATTAGTACTGATACAAAATTCATGTTTGTACTCGTTTGTCGTAGACACAAAATAGCATAACTAGTAGCCTAGTGGCTATAAAGCCAGCGCTGGCATTTGAAAAAAATAAAACACAACGGCTACGTCTGGAATTATACATGAAAATAGATTTAAAATGATGAAGTCTTTGCTTACTTACAGGTTGTGGCCCAACAACTGCTGCCTCTGGTTTTAAAGTTGGATCTGCTTCATGTTTTAGTTGTTGAATCCGGTGTTGGAGATTCTTGAAGCTGTCTTCCGTAAAATGCGCAGCACAGAGAGCTAGATTACGATCGTCACTTTCAGGAACATAATCAAACATAAATTGTATCCATTGTTGATGAAGTGCAGCGTCCGTGGGAAGCCCGAACACAGAAGACCTGACAGCTGCGTGAACAACTCACTCGACGAGTCGACGTGCCTCAGAAATATACGCATGCCATTTTCTGCATATTCTGAGGGAGGGGTTGATGCAAATGTGTGGGTTAGTGACGTACCATAACCCAGCTGTAGTCCCAATCCATTCGTTTTTGTAGGCAATATAGTTCCTGATTTTTAAAAGACGATATCTCTGCTTACATTGAACTTTCAGCGCTGCAACTTTGCAGATACTGTTCATGCACCAACAGCAACTTTACACACTATTAAAATCAAAAAAGTGAAATCGCAGTCAACCCCCCCTTTAAAGGGTCATGAAACCCCAAACCAAATTTTCTGAGATTTTAACACAGGTATATGTGTTGAACACCATTGAAGACAATGTTAGCATCTGTTAGATTTAATAATAGGGTTAAAATGGTTAAATTTTAGTTTTTTTCCGCTTTTTGCGTCTTCCGGGTTTACAATCTTCATCGTGTCGGTGACGTGGCCGTTCACTGTGAGTGCGTTGACGACTCATCGGTGTCTCATAATTATTAATGAGACTGAGTTTTCTTATCCTATGAGAAGACACGGTCTCTTAATTATTCATGACACCACGTGGAACGATAGACATGTCAAACTGTGATATCGTGTAGTAGATAAGAGGGGAAATCATGGGACGCAAAGTGTTTGTTTTCATGGTGCAAAGTCTTAGTGGGTTGAATATGTTCCCCGCGATGCTGCCAGGGCTAGACTCCAGGTACACATCTAAAAACGATCTAAACTATAGTGTGTGCCGCAAACATTTTCAAGTGGAGAATGGTGGACTTCGCCTTTTTGACAACTAATCCAAGTTGAGTCTTGCTAGTGATGCAGTATCCCGACTGTGTGTGTGTGTGTTTGTTTAAAATGAGATGTCATCCACCTCCGCAGAGCCATCTTTATTATGAGGGTTCAGAGGGCGCGTAGATCTAGGCTATGCACGGAACGACTTTTTAAGTGGAAAATTAATTTTCAAATGGATTTATAGTGTCTATAAACCACTATCTATTTTATAATGATACATGTAGCCCACATTAATATGTTTTAAATAGAATTACGATCACTGTAGGCTAATATATGTAGCAGGGCATTCAGTTACTTTTGAAAGGACAATAATACAGTGTCAGTGTATTTTATAAGACTTTAACTTTGCCAGCTATATACAATAATCTAGCATTTCCTCACGTTTTACAATTGCTTTTTAGTGACAGCAGGCGATATGCATGGTGGGACATTGGCAGTGATGGCCATACCACACACACTCCCTCCCTCCCTTCTCCTCACGGCTAGCCACGCCCATTTAAGCTGCATTTTTCAAAAAGATTGTGAGCCAGACTTGAGCTGAAAGAGGGGGGTTTCATGACCCTTTAAAAAACATAGTAAACATGTGGACACGATCCATGGCTTTGAAAGCATATCACACTTACACTCGCATCACATCTATAGAGAGAAATATAGTGCTGTTGTTCTGGAAACATGAACATGATTCATGCCATTGAACCCATATCAGCTGTACATATGAATAAAACCTTTTTATATGCTAGATAGTGTTTTATACTAATGTAACAAAACTTCATACGCAAACCACAAAGAAATTCAGTGGATGTAGCCAGTACTGTATACCAGGGCTGTCATACGATTAATCGCGGTTAATCGCATCCAAATTATATGTGGGTGCACTGTGTATATTTATCTTGTATATATATAAATGCACACACATGCATGTATTTAAGAAAAAAATATTATTTATATATAAAATACTGATATTTATATATAATATAAATTATATATAAATCTATATACATACGTAAAAATATTTCTTAAATATATACAAGCACATGTGTGTATTTATATATATAAAATAATTATACACAGTCCACCCACATATGTTATGTAAACTCAAACTTTTATTTTGGATGCCATTAATCGTGATTAATCGTTTGACAGCCCTACTGTATACATGTACATCATTTCAGTAGTTATACTGAGAGTTACAGTATGTCATTGAAGGTAAACTGATTTATGTTCATCAATCTCACATTCAAATATCTAATGTTAATATTTTTATATACAGTTGTAAATAATAGTTGGCTTTTTGCTATACCAATAGTTCTCTACTAGAGCTTTCTATAGTTTAAAGTGTTTGCTTATCATTTACTCGCCCCCAAACCTGTCGGACACAAAATAAGATGTTTTAAAGAATGTCGGTAACCAAACAGTTTTTGGACCCCATTGACTTCCATAGTATTTTTTGTTCATAATATGCAATTGTTTGGTTATCAACATTCTCAGTCAAATCATTGATTTCTATTATTTTTTATTTTATTTTATTTTTGAATTTCTGTAGAAATGATGTATTTTTAGTGACGCCACACATCCCATTGTTTTTAAATAGACAGAAGGAATAAAAGACTGGTAACACTTGTTCAAATGATTTATTTAACATTTTACTGCATTTGTTATTTTATTAACCATTTTATTTTTGTTAACTAATGTTGATGATACATTGTGACATTTGTTAAATGCTATTTATGATGATTGATTTGTCCATCCTTGGTTGTCAGTGATAAACTGACTCACTTACTCATCGCCATCTTGTGGTGTAATGATGGAACAGAGAGGAGAAGAAATCAGGAAAGGGTTTTTGGTAACCAGACACTGAAGAGGACGTAACTAACAACACTATTAAATCACATAATTAACTATTATCTTTCAAGTCATTAGTGCAGTTTTCCAAGTCATGGTACCGCAATAATAAGAATCATAGTAATAAAACAGTCACACAACAGGCCATGCCCACAGATTGGCATAGGAGAAGTTTTTTATATTTAGTTCAAACAAAATGTCACTCTCAGAAAAAAGGTACAAAAGCTGTCACTGGGGCTGTACCTTTTAAAAAGGGAAACTTTTGTCCATTTTAGGTGCTAATATTACATTTTAAGTGTTAATGTACATTTTAGCTGTTAATATGTACATTTTATGTTCTAATAAATACATTTTAGGTGTTAATATGTACATTTTAGGTGCTAATATGTACATTTCATGAGCTAATATGTACATTTTAGGTGCTAATATGTACCACTAAGGTACCAATATGCAGCCTTTGGGTACAAAAGTGTACCTTTTGAAAAGGTACAGCCCCAGTGACGGCTTTTGTACCTTTTTTTCTGAGAGTGTATCGGAATACCATTTTTTGGTCCCCATATGGAAAGCAGCTTAAAGGGGTGGTATAATACCCTTTTCACAAGATGTAAAATAAGTCTCTGATGTCCCCAGGGTGTGTGAAGAGGTTTAGCTCAAAATACCCCACAGATTTTATTTTAAGATTGCATGTTAAAATTGTCCCTTTTTGAGGGTGAGCAAAAACGCTCAACACCCTTTTGTGTCTGTCCCTTTAAATGGCGCAGGGGGCGGAGCTTCAAGAGTGTGTGTGTGTGTGTGTGTGTGTGTGTGTGTGTGTGTTCTCCAGCACAGGATGAGAGCCTAATTACGAACACGATTATTTATTTTTGCTTATTATTTTATTTCAGTTTGGGCAGAGCTGCACTGCTAACCGTGTCCACAGGGGGCAGAGAGGGTGCATCGTGGGACACCTAGGCCTCCAGTGTGTTTATTTTCTTGTTCTAACAATTTTTTCTTTTACTATAGGGTTAGCATGGATGTTACATTTCTTTCATATCTCCTCTCTTAATGTATTCGGTGTCATAACTTCTCCTTGTTTTGATAGATTGTTTATACTGCTTGTATGTATCGACTTGTTCTGTTTGTTAATATTGCATTAATAAAAAAATAAATTAATTAAACAAAAGGGGTAAGCATGGATGTCATGTGACTGAAATCACAGGCAGGGCACTTGTCAATCAAGAAGCTCCTCTGAATTGCATGACAAGGCCAGTGACATAGGATTCTGTGATATTATGTTTGTGCAAAACATGTATTCAAGTGTTGAAAATGTGTTTAAGTTTTTTCTTTCAACATATTTTTTGTTGTCCCACTTTATCAAATATGATTGAGCATGCTTTGGGTAATCTGGGACATAGGGGATAGGGGAAATATGCATTTAGGGACTTCATAAGTCTAATGACAAGTGTTTAGATCTCATTATGACTTGGGGGGAGACCAGACCAATGATATACTTTAAAATGATCTCTAATATATATGCCATAACCAGAAATGGGTGTTTATGTGCAGGGCTACTGGAGGTTTTAATATTAGCATAAGTAGCTAGCAGCTAAATCAGCTAGCTAGAGAGATGCTACAGAGATGGATTCTGGGAAATGTATTCCAATGGCAAGCAAAGGTATCAGGATGAAGTAAATGGTTAACTTCATTTCCCAAATTCCCAGTTAGTTTAGTATATAAGGGTTCAAACCACTGAGCAGGAGGGGGGGGGACCCCAGACACACACACTCATCATGTACAAATGTGAGTCATCATTAGTCAGCTAAAATATGAAAATATCCATGACCTTTAATTACAACCCCATTTCCAGAAAAGGTCGGACATTTTGTCAAATGCAATAAAATCTGCAAGAATCTGTGATCTGTTCATTCTCTTTATTTAACTGACAAAGTACAAAGAAAAGATTTCCAATGTTTTCACTGACAAAACCTCATTGTATTTTGTAAAGATAAACAAATGTAAATTTTGATGGCTGCACATTTCATAAAAGTTGCATGTTCCCCACTGTCTCACATCACCTTTCGTTTTAATTACACTTTTTAATTGTTGGGGAACTGAGGATATAACGTCTGGAAGTGGACTATTTGCCCAATCTTGTCTGACACGAGACATCATTTCCATAAGAGACACATCTGAACTGCAGGCAAGCTCTTCTCACTGTAAAACCATATTGTTGGTTTAACTTAAACAAGTACGTTACCTGGTTGCCTTCCTGAGTTACTTCAATGAAGGAGTTTGGTTTAATAAATAGAAACTCAAAATATTGTGTGATTTAACCCTTGTGCTGCATTAGATTTTTAACACCGTTAAGTGCATTAAGGACCAAAAATGGCCACATATTAAACATTGCCTAAAATATTATATATTATTATTATTTTCCACTTTTACCAAGTTAAATCTTTTAACCAGAATCAGTCCTCATCATAACTACCAAAAATGTATTCAATTTCAGGATTTTAACCCTTTAATTACCAGTTTTGTTTGCGAAACCATCGATTTGTATAAGAGGAAAAAACACAAAAATTCAATTATTTTCAATAAACTAAATGCAAAGAGAAAACTTTAGATTTGGATTATCACAGTCCCACTTTGCAAAAAATCCCACTTAGCGCGTTAGAGACCAAAAATGGCCACCTATTAAACATTGCCTATTGCCTAAAATAAGGTGCATTTCCACCCATAGGGAATAAATATGTAGTGACGTCATCTGGTGGAATACACTATATAATGCAAATATAATGCTTTTGCTTCAAAATGAAAGGATGTTTGTGCAAAAATCATGTTTCATGTATTACTGACAGCCTCGGATTTAAACAACGTTTTAATGGGTTTCAATGGGCCATTTTTGGTCTTTATGGTGCTGAGTGTTACTATTTGATCTACACAGTGTGTGTTATACATATTTTGCAAAATGGGATCACATTTTTTACATGTATCCAAAAAGTCACAATTTGGCCAAATTTCATACCATTTGCATTAAAACAGCCAAAATGGTCAAAGAAATTAAACTGCAAAAGACCAAAAATGTCCCTAATGCAGCATAAGGGTTAAACACATTTATCAGCTAAGTTGATTTGACAAAAGATAAAAAGTTGTGTAAAAAATATTTTGTCAATAAACCACTCAGTTTCATGTGCAAGATGAGGCCTGGCATCGTCTTGCTTCCCAGGAGAGATGTCATCTCAAGACCATTAAATGTCTCCTACAATCCCAATAAATGCCTCCACGACACGTCAGTGAAACCTGCGCACAAATGAAACCCCGTTTGTCCCCCAATACCAGGACAGATGTTTGCTTTTGCACCCGTCACTGAATAAAGTCTGGATGGTCCCTTTCGTCTTTGGGACTGAGAAGAACTCGATGTCCATTTTCCAGTGAACGAGCTGAAACATGGACTCGCCTGATCACAGCACACACTCCCACTGTGTTTAGGACCGTCTGAGATGAACTCACCATCGGCTTTTGCCTCGTTGGGGAGTCGGGGACATTACATTTAACGTTTAATTTAATATTCTACAATACTGATCTGCCTACAGCATTACGAGAACTGAATTGAGCTGGACGATGACATCACAGGTTTCACCAGAGCGGTTATATAGATACATTTACTAAATTAATAACTTTTTTACAACAAAAATAACATCACTGAACTTACTTAAAGTGTATGATTTTAGCGGCATCTAGTGGTGAGGTTTCGAAATGCAACCAACAGAAGTTTCGGCGGCTGACAGGAAGTGATGACGTCACTTTGTAGGACAACTCGGAGCGGCGCATGGGTTCCCTTCCCTCGGTCGAAAAGCTATGCATTTTCCCCATAGACTTTTGGAAAATCACAGAAAATAAGATCTGTGTTTAACAAAGAGTTGTGACCCTTACACGTTTTATCTATCAAGATAATCTTTACAAGTTAATCCAACATTTATACATTTTGAAGACTATATAACACAAGCAGACACAATAAAGTTTAAAAAAAACACAACCAGGTTATAACTGTGTTTTATGTCATAGATCAAAACGTGAAAATATTTAGAGGCTTATTTGTTTAATAGACTTTAGAGCGAGAGAACCAGTAGTGCTAAATGCTAACTCACTTCCGCTATTTGGCCTACAGAGGGACGTCTTAACTTCGGCACTCTATGAGGTTTCTTTACAAAGATGAAGAAATTATGTTTACTTAATTATTCAGTAAAACAAAATTTTATTGCGAATGTTATTGTTACTTGTTTATCACCGTGTCAGTGTTTTATTCGCTGACTTTAGCAGCTTTTTTATGCACCAAGAACTACAACATGGCGAAACGCGTTTGTCTGTTCAGGGCCACCGTAGAAACATGTCCCGCGGTGTGTGTAGAGAGAAATGCCTCATTCCAAGGTAATAAAAACATAATGGTTCATTAAGTAAGATCTTTATACACAACTGAAAACATAGTTACGAATATGATTTAGCATTTTTGTCAAAAGATCCTCCTAAACATTCCGTCGTAACAAATGAATACATTTCTTTTTAATTTTAAATATCACTGCTTTCACAAAATATGGAACCCTCAGATCCTTCTGACAATATGTGTGTTTTGTCAAGATTAGAAAAGGTTTTGATCCTAAATGAATGCCCAAAAGTTGAGGAGACTGATAAAATAATTTAGAGTAGGTGATTATTTCTATGGTAACACAACGTCCAATTTCAAGTCGGTTTGATGGCATTTTGTTGAGATGTCTTTTCTTATAGCCTTTTCCTACATATGGTTGATTATTCATGTTGTTTATGTTTTATTTATTTTTTTATATAATGTATTGTTATTCAGTATCCTTATGATACAGTTTACTTAAAATAGTAAGCAACAGGCTGTATGTTTGTATTATTTTTATTCAATGCCACAAGAACAAGAGGTATTACAATATCACATTAACGACAGCTGTCAGGAATAAAAAAAAAATTCAAATAAAAACTGTTTTACATAAAATCCAGTGCTTTCTAAGCATTACATGTTTTCATTGCTGTTTTGTTTTTAGTTTGTTACAAAGGATGTACATATAATGTAAAGTCATTTATATAAAAAAAAATTGGTTTACCTTGAGCCCACTTATTTTTATGTATATGGTATTTTCCTAATAAAACAAATAACTGTATAATGTGTTGTTTCCAAATTGTCATTCTGAGTACAAAAAGACATCAAAAACATATTTCCATCATACAGTTCAGTTTTCTATTAATGACAAAGGTTTTTAAATCTTTCCAAAATAATCTCGAGTAAATACAGTGAAAATACAGTCTTTTTCTAGTGCACAAAATTCACAATATGAAATATAAACATAACATGCTTTCCAAAACATGCTTAGAAGGGTCAATTCAGTAAAGTATTTTGTAAGACACTTCTTTAATTTTGTTATTGACACAAAATGTGTTAATTTCCATGCTTTAACCCCAGAAATATCAACGAATAAAGAAGACCAAAACGCTGTAACAGCAGCAGCACGTTGTGTGTGTACTTCGCAGTGTACAGTGAGTAGTGAGAGTCGGTGTGTGTGTGTAATGTGACCCTCCAATGGCTGTGCGAGAAACCCCGTACAACCGGAAGCGGAAAAAAACTCCCGCGGCATGAGTTTCGCCGCCATTTTGCACCAGACCTATTGAAAAGAGTGAGATATCAGCAGACACGGCGGGATCTGGCCACTTTATCCTCTTTCAGTACATTTCTCTCTGGATTTATCCCAACATAATCCAAGATATTAACTGACAGGTATGAGAACGCTCTCTTCAGATTTCATAAACGCGGTGAAGTGATGCTTTGGCTTTCCGTAGCGAGTAGAGAGTGATCGCACCGGCACGCGCGCGGCTCAACTCATCACATTTCAGACGAGCGGCATTCTTACACATTTTATGCATAATTCACGGACTATTGTTTGCTTTCTGTGCACGTAAAAGTAGTGAGGTAAAGTCATGATGTGGTTGCTGGTCAAACACGATGTCGCCCCCCCCTCCCTTTCCCTAACAAACACACACACACACACACACGTTGTCATTGTCAAATAAACACATTTATCACGTCCAGCCATGACTAAAGTTTGTTGTGAACTTGTTTTGTTATTTTGTCTTTAAATAAGAAAAAACGTGTGATTTCTGATTGAAAGACTCAGTGGAGGTGGTGAAACGGGCTTTATCAGAGTGTCCACGTAGCGAGTGTGTGTTGTGGCCTAGCGAGTGTATTCTTGTCATCACTGACACAACAAAGAGACACGGCCCGATGAGAAAACATGACATTTACTCATTTTATTCACCATGACTTGTGTTTGAAGTTGAAATTAAACGATTTGAGTCTGACGCGTATTATAGAAATAGACGAAATCAATCACGTTATTTAATAAAGTAATAAATTGTTAATGTGTCATAGGTTTGTAAACTGCAGTGATATCGTGACTGAAGTGACCGTTTTCTCGGTAAACGTCATGTGCTCGTGCTCGTGAAGCGGGAGTTATTCGGAACACGTGGAAGTCTGAGTGATGAAATATTCAGCCAAGGGTGTAATTTCAACTTTACTGTAATTATAATATATTAAAATATTATAGTAAATACGATTGGACATGATTGTGATTATTTTCGTCAAACCCGAATTTTCTGTACTGAATAGTTACCGAATTCGGCAAGGAAAAATAAGGGACCGTATAAAAAGGGACACTCGAAATATTTGTACAGTACCACATGGTGTATGTATGTCATTCCGCTGTCTTAAGCATTTTTGCTGAATGAAATGCTAAAATGAATCTCAGACATGAACACATTTTTGTTTAAAGTCCCCATGAAATCATACGCGACTATTTTTTTTTGTCTGTTATTGAATATTTCAGTATTTATGATTTATTCATGCATTATCATTGTTTTAAATTCATGTTTTTCGTAATCTTGAATCAGAATACCTTCCCCTCCCTCGTGCAGCGCCAGCGACATCTCATCTCTAATGACGAGGGCGGGGCAACCTATCACTCACATGAGATCAGCCAATAGCAAACCACACCCATCCAAAAGTTCCCGACGGACAAAATCAAGCCACGCCCTACTTTTTTTTTTTAAATTTCACTCATATGTCACAATATGAAAGAAAATGATGATGGCACACGATGGCAACTTTAAATTGTTTAAATTAATTGTGCATAAATAATTACTGCATGCACATGGGCTTATCAAAGCTGTTAGTATTTTAAACGTAATGTGTTTATATACAGTAAGAGTTGAAAAACTGCTTTTTATCAATGGCAATCGTCCATGATATCATCTGAGACCATCTCTGTAACTTACCGTAGTACTGCCGCTGTCTGTGTAATTCAGTATTTGGGCATTTTTCTGTTTTCTATGATTTACTAAAAGGGATGAGTAGCTTTTTGTCCTAGCAGCGGTTTGTAAGATTAAAATATTTAAAGTATGCGTGACGAGAACCAATGAGCAATGAGGTCTGTTTGAGCATCCGTACTTAGCATATTAAATGTGCACTTTGTAACAAATAACTCCTCAGTTTTTTTTTTTTTTTTTTCATGTCCGTTTATTTTTAGATAGACTAAAATTTTCAGAATATCTTGATGCGTTTGCCATTGCGTGTTGCTCTGGGTTGCGCACTTATTCTGCTTATTCTACATTAAATACGAGAAAGTTATATCAGAATACTCATATTGACATTGATAGAGTCTCTGTTTGCAATGTCTGCTATTGTGTTTACATTAATGTTTATATAATGTCTATAAACACAATTACTGTAGAAATTGTTATATTGTATATTAAAGTGATAGATACTGCTTGTTTACATGATTGAGCCATTGCAAAAGTTTGCTTACATAGCCTAATATATAGGGTTGGGTATCGTTTGAATTTGAACGATTCTGATTCCGATTCCTTGTTTCGATTCCGGTTCCTAACGATTCTCGATTCCGATTCTTTTAAGTAAAATCCAAGAATTTATCAGCCAATAGCTAACGATAGACATTATTCAGTCGCCCAGAGTGAAGATTTAGTCGGATATGTGTAATAAGACATGAGCGAGAACTGAATTTGCGATCACATGGTGTGAGACGTTGTTTTCCATGGCTGCTTGTGCTCAATAACGTGTATAGACTGTGTAAACGTGTATATAATGTGATAGACTATCATAAACACATGAATTATGTTGAATATCTGTCAGCTGTTGAATTTAATACACAATTAGATAATACCAGTTTAGCTCAACCAGTGACCGAGCAATGCTTCATGTTGTTCAGTGTGTGTGTAAAAAGAGCATTAGCAAATAGAGAAAAAACACGATCAGGGCAAAGTGTCGGTCCCAAATGTTTATAAATGTCACCGGTAGTCACTGTATGAAGAATATTTTGGTGTAATATGTCACAGTTTACTTTATTTTGCTCTCCTCACTTACATTAATTAATCTGAATAATTTCTGTTTTGACTGTATATCATCATACCGCCCAGCCCATCTCTCAGTGAGTGAAGTTTGTCCTGCATATGTTGAGATCACTGACCTTTGACCCAGTTCTGGATTAATTGGGCCCTTTCCTCCGCACAGGTCCTGGAGACATGGCCACGGAGCATATAAATGGGAACGGTACGGATGAGCCGGTGGAGTCGCCGGCTGCGGTGCCGGTGACCCAATCAGAGCACTTCCAGACGCTGCTGGACGCCGGCTTACCCAGGAAAGTGGCCGTCAAACTGGACGAGATCTACATCGCAGGTGAGACGCACGCAGCCGCCGCTTTCACACAGAGATCCCGGGAAATACATGGATAAAGTGACCCGGGTTCGTTTGATTTTGGTTCATTCACACTGCCAGAGTCACACACAACCCATAGAGACACGTGACATGTTGTGATATTATATTTGTGGTACAATTTTCAACAGCATTCTGATATTAATGGATTTCAATATCGTAGGTGTTCAACAAGCAGGGGAGAGCGGGGCACATTTATTCATATTTTAAAGGGATAGTTCACTTTGAAATTAATTTTTGATATGTTTTATCTTACCTCAAGGGCATCCAAGATGTAGGTGTCTTTGTTTCCACAGTATTTTCAATTTTGACATTTTTCAGTCAAACCGTTGTTGCAGGGCCGTCGCCAGAACAAACCAATTGGGGGGGCATTTAATTTTCATAGGGGGGCACACTTTTTTTAATGATCTGAGACAGACCAAAACAACAACCCATATTAGGCTTCAACTAAATTAGACCACAATAGTCTTGTTTTATTCATTTTATTTAAATAAAATACTTCACTGTATGATCTCAACGTCTCTGTTTATTTTCTCTTAACATTTCCACATATAGCTTGCTAGCCTAGTAGCCTATATTTTTTGTTAATCTGCATAGTTCGTCACATACACAACACAGTGCCATCTAGTGGCTTTCTTGTAAAAGGCGCAATCAACGTAATATCATTAGTCCAAAGTCCAAACTAAGTAAAACTACGCAAAAACCAAATTGATTTATGACTCTACACGTCATAAAAATGAGTCAAAAACCACCAGAATTTGATTCTCGCATCGCATGCACTGCGCAAAGGAATTACGTATAAACAATACTGTATGCTTAACTAAATAAATTGCATTGTTTAAATTATTTATTTATCCTTAAACACAAACTGCATATTGTAATTTGAAGAAGTAAAAATACTAACACAAAAATAACAAATTGAAAGGTCTGCTGCTGGAGACTTGCCATTGGCTGTTGAATGTGAATAATTAATGAGGTAGGTCTTTGCAAGGTTTGGGTGCTGTTTTGGGATGTTTTAACAGTCATTTATGAAAATAATTATATTTCAAGTTACGTTCTGTGTAATAATGCGTTGAATAATGAATTTCTAAATCATTTCTGAAGATAATGTATTATACATTCCTACCGTTGTAGAGCTTACCGTTCCTGTGAGATAAGTTATGCAGAAAGACCGAGCTCTGTTCGATATAATTATTAGCATATACATATTAAGCTCATGCGTAGGTGGGCACAGTAAGTCGTTTGGGGGGGCACTGCCCCCCAATGCCCCCCCTTGGCGACGGGCCTGCGTTGTTGTCTATCAGTCATACACTGGAGGTTTAGGGGGTCCACCAAAGAGAAGTCCAAATTAAACATGATTTAATGACTCATAAATGTAAGTACACATTCGACACGAGACGAGCGGTTTTTGTGAGAAAACGAACAGTATTTATATCGTTTTTACCTCGTGTAACCACAGTGATCTGAAATAGGTTTCCAACTGAACCGAACTGAATCAGTTCAATGTTACGCCAGAAGTGATCGCTTGCGTGTGACGTCACTCAATATTTACACGGAGATTTCGGAAGTTTTACCGTTTACTAAACATATTTAGATATGCCGAAATCGTCTTCCATTGCGGTTTCCCGTATATCTAAATATGTTTAGTGAAAGGTAAAACTTCCGAAATCTCTGTATAAACAAAGAGTGACGTCACACGCAAGCGATCACTTCCAGACCGAAGCGCCCGTGCCGTCAGATCATTTTGTCATGGCTACGATTACAAGAGGTAAAACGATATAAATAATGTTCGTTTTCTCACAAAAACAGCTTGTTTCGTGTCTTAGGCCATCAATGCGTACTTACATGTATGAGTCATTAAATCATGTTTAATTTGGACTTCTCTGTGCTGCTCTTTGGTGGACCCCCTAAGCCTCCAGTGTATGACTGATAGACAACAACGCTTTGACTGAAAAATGTCAAAATTTAAAAAATACTGCGGAAACAAAGACACCTACATCTTGGATGCCCTTGAGGTAAGATAAAACATATCAAAAATTAATTTCAAAGTGAACTATCCCTTTAAGGTGACGTATTTACATTGTACTCACTCAAATAAGTACTGAGTCATATTAATCATTTGCAATTATGCCTAATTTACGGTTTGTTAAAGAAGGGGAGAGCGGTAACACGTTTACTTTCTCAGTTTGTGTAAATCCACTTATTTCAGAGTATTTATTTTTCCCCGCATTCGTTTAACACGTCTAGTACAATTATGTGGTTTTGTTTTATTAATGCGGTTTATACTTTTTCCTTGATTTACCCTGTAAGAATGGAAGTGAAATATGACAACATGCCCAACAATATGACACAATAGGTTGTGCATTTTTCTCTCATGATTCGATCATAAACTAGCGCATTACAAACTGTTTGACTAGCTGGTGAACGATCCCGGCTTCAGCGTCATCATTACGACACGCCGTTGACGGCTTCGGCTCCGGGACTGAACGCAGCAATGTTACTGGATCTCCAATCCGGCATCAATCTCGGGTCGTGTTTGCGGTCACACAAAGCGTTCTGGGATCAACGTGCTGTGTGAAAGGGGATTAGGAGTGCATGATCCAGGGTTCCCACGGGTCTCCAGGGTTTCTCCATATAGTGTCTTCAATGGGGTCCGACGGGTCCAGATGTGAGTTTCAGTACAGCTTCAAAGTCTCGACACGATCCGGCCGAGGAATAAGAGTCTGATCTAGACTAACCAGCCGACATTTACAACAAAACACACATTTGTATACTTTATAACCACTAATGCTGACCTTGTACCGGTACGTATTCACGTTGGAAAGGTCACGAGTGACATTGTTAAACATCTGACACAAATACATATAAATATGTGTCATTCAGCATACAATAACTTTAAACAGTCCTCCTAATCCAAACTGATAAACACTGGGTCGGTTCTTCTGACTACGTCACGCGTGACCTTTCCAACATGATCACGTGATGTGTGTCGCATCACAGCGAGAGCAAGACCAGCATTAGTGGTTATAAAGTATATAAATGTGCTCTGGTTAGTCTAGATCAGACTCTTATTCCTCGGCTGGATCGTGTCGAGACTTTGAAACTCACATCTGGACCTTCGACCCGTTGGACCCCATTGAAGTCCATTATATGGAGAAACCCTGGAGTGTGTTCCTCAAAAACCTTCATTTATATTCAACTGAAGAAAAAAAACACATGAGCGTCTTGGATGACATGTGGAGAGTAAATCATCAGGAAGTGAACAAAACCTTTGAGTGAAGTGTATTGAAGGATTGCAGTGGATTAAGTGTGTGTTTTTGTGCAGGGCTCGTGTCTCACAGCGATCTGGACGACCGAGCGATCGAAGCTCTGAAAGAGTTCAATGAAGAGGGAGCGCTGCAAGTTCTCCTGCAGTTCAAAGACAGCGACCTGTCGCATGTTCAGGTACGTTTCAGAAAGCAAAACTAATGCAGTGGGACATTTAATGAACACTTTCATTTCACCGGGTTTCTTTTGGTTTGCGTTAGGGATGGGCAACGATTAACCCTTGTGCATCCTTATGGACATTTTTGTCCTTTTCAGTTTTGTTTTTTTGATCACGTTGCCTGTGTTAAAGCTAACTGCAAAAAACTTGGCACAGGTGTGTATTTTTATTGGAATTTTACTGTTTCACCATAATTTTCTTTAAAAAAAATATTTTTTGCATTAGGTACAAAAAATACTCCCTCTCAGCACCTTTTGGACAAAAATGTCCCCATTGAAACCCATTAAAACTGCCATTTTTAATCCCCGGTTCAGTTAACTATGAAAGCCTCTTAACAAAGATTGCATACTTTTATTCTGATGGCAAGGCTTCAAATTTTTATTTTTTACTATTTTTTATCAGATGGTGTCATTTTTTTTTTAAGTTTGGCCAATAAAACAAAATATTGTTTTATTCCTGTTTTCTGCTTCGGCATACTATAGAGCCAACTGGATAAATTATGCAACAATATTTGTGTGGGTGTGTTGGTATGGATGTCAGAGTGTGTTATAAAAAAATATGTGTGTGTGTGCGCATGTGTGTGTTTGTAATACTGAGAGAGAAAAACTGCAAATAATCACTGTGAGCTCCAGTGGGGTTTTGCTGCCACCCAATGGGGAAAATATGTTACCACGCCCAAACAAACTGTTTTTTGAGATATCATCCTCAAATTTGGAACACAACCTATTTAGATTTATGGCTTTGATTTTATTGCAGTTTTGAGTTCAACCTGATTTAAAAAAAATATATATTTTATATAGAATATGTTTTATAAATAATTTTCATAAAATGTATATTTATATATACAAATTAATTATACACACTACACACACACATATCATGTAAACACAAACTTATATTTTGGATGCGATTAATCGTTGCCCATCCCTAGTTTGCATGTTTTTGGCACTCATTAGGGCCCAAGCCCTGAAAGGGCGAAGGCCCTATTGTTTTCCTTAGGATTATTATTATTATTATTATTATTATTATTTATACGACTATTCGGGCACTTTTGGGGCCCTTAACATGCTCAAAAACTCTTGAAACTTTGCACACGGGTCAGAATCCGCGGCCATCAGGGCCGGGCTGAAGATGGTACCCGGGCGTGGCAGGGGGGCTAGACAGCGCCCCCTGGAACGGGGTCCGAACACTTGGTCCATAAATCAAACACGCTTGCATGTAATAATATGAAACTCGGTACACACGTTGATCTCATCGTTTCATCTATACCTCGTGCTTTTACTTTTTACCCCAGCCCAACAGGAAGTCGGCTATTTAGGGTTGTTCGTAAAACACTCGCAATGGAATTTTTAATACTCCTCCTAGAGCTTTGATCCAAATTCGACGAAACTCGGTCAGCGTGAAGTCAAGACATTGAGGATGAAAGTTTGCGAGGGGATTTTTGATATCTCGAACGGTTTGGCCGTGGCGAGGAAACAAAATTATGGCGAGAAACGTGAAACAGGAAGTGTATCATAACTTCAGCACACATCAACCGATCTTGATGAAACTTCAGCAGTGTGTTCGCTGTAAGAGGACGATCACATGGATGTGACTATTGTGAGTCAAAGTTATAGCGCCACCAACTGGCAGCAGGAAGTGTGTCATTTTCAAAATGCTTTGAAATCACCCTCTAATTTTAACTCGATTTGCTTCAAACTTCATCTGTATAATGCAAATACATGGCAGATGAAGACCTGTAAATGGATTCTTGATATCTTTGAAACTGTTGCCATGGCAACGCATCAAACTTCACCATTCTTTTAGGATGCTTTTGAGACTCTTAGCATGCTTCAAATTGCATGAAACTCGACAGACACATCACATTTATTAGCCAGTAGACATGTGCAACGTTTCAGAAACGGGTGTGGTGAGGGCTCAGTAGCGCCACCTTTTGACAAAAGTGGGGTTGTTAGTTTTATCTACAGTTACAAAAATCAGTATGTATATTGTACTCCTCGAGCCGGACAACTTTCTAATTGACACTCATTAGCTAGGACCCACAGAAAGTCAGATATCTTTGTTTGAATGTAGAGAAAATCTTAGAATTTTGCCAGTCTCTCAGTGTCTCTCTGTGTGAGTGAGAGGAGGGCGCCTGTCAGGTTAATTTTAACCCTTTATTTGCTGTGTGCGACTTCTCTGGCATTTTCGGGGGCCTTAACATCCTCTAAAACTCTTGAAACTTTGCACACGGGTCAGAACCCATGGCCATCAGGGCCGGGCTGAAGCTGGTCATCGGGCGTGGCAGGGCGGCTCGACAGCGCCCCCTGGACTGGGATTCGAACATTTGTCCATAAATCAAACACACTTGCGTGAATTAATATGAAACTCGGTACAATTATAGATCACATCAGGCCAAACAACTTTCGTGCTCTAAGTTTTACGACAATTAAAATGGAAGTTGAGAATTATGGGTTGTTTGAATAGTTGTCCTAGGAGAAATATATCAAATTACAACGCATGTGTTTACCAATCACAACCAAACTCGGTGTGCAAGAAGTCAAGACATTGAGGATGAAAGTTTGTGAGGGGATTTTTGATATCTCAAACGGTTTGGCCGTGGCGAGGAAACAAAATTATGGCGAGAAACGTGAAACAGGAAGTGTGTTATAACTTCAGCATACATTAACATATCTTGATGAAACTTCATCAGTGTGTTCCCTGTAAGAGGACGATCACATGGATGTGACTATTTCGAGTCAAAGTTATAGCGCCACCAACTGGCAGCAGGAAGTGTGTCACTTTCAAAATGCTTTGAAATCAACCTCTTATTTTTACCCGATTTGCTTCAAACTTCATCTGTATAATGTAAATACATGGCAGATGAAGACCTGTGAATGGATTCTTGATATCTTTGATACTGTTGCCGTGGCAACGCATCAAACTTTAAAATTCTTTTTTTTTTGATGATTTTGAGACTCTTAATGGCTTTTGAGGCCCTTAACGGGTTTGAAAACTCTTGAAACTTTGCACACAGGTCATATCCCACTGCCATCAGGCCCGGGCTGAAGATGGTACCTAGGCGTGGCAGGGGGGCTAGACAGCGCCCCCTGGAACGGGGTCCGAAAACTTGGTCCATAAATCAAACACGCTTGCATGTAATAATATGAATGAAAAACTTCATCTGTATAATGTAAACAGATGAAAAACTTCATCTGTATAATGATGAAAAACAGATGAAAAACTTCATCTGTATAATGTAAACATACGGTAGATGTAGACCTGTGAATGGATTCTTGATATCTTTTAAACTGTTGCCGTGGCAAAGCTTCAAACTTTGAAATTATTTTAGGATGCTTTTGAGACTCTTAGCATGCTTGAAATTGCATGAAACTCAACAGACACATCACATTTATTAGCCAGTAGACATGTGCAAAGTTTCAGAAACGGGCATGGTGCAGGGACTAAATAGCGCCACCTTTTGACAAAAGTGGGGTTGTTATTTTTATCTACAGTTACAAAAATCGTTATATACATTGTACTCCTCAAGCCAGACAACTTTCTAATTCATAGTCATTAGCTCAGACCAAGAGGAAGTCAGATATTTTGGTTTGAATATGGTGAGACTCTCTCTGAGCCTACGTCCGTGTATGGCAAGCCCTTTTAACATTTAAAAGCTAAGTTTGCCTATCCGGAAATTAACATTGTAGATATCAACAATGTCTTTCTGTCTAGTCGTAATTACATTTTGGATAGTTTGTATTATCATTTAAGATATCTGTAACATAATTGTGACTAGTCAAAATGACAGACTATGGCAAGCCGTTTTAACATTTAATCATGAAAGGGCCAAAGCCTTCGGCACCGCCACCCCGGTGCCTTTAGGTAACTAAAGGAGCCAGGGGTTGCGGTGCCACCGGCTTGGGCCCGCCATCGCTGCTCGCAGCTATATTTATTATTTAATTTCTCTTAAATTGATTTGATTTAATTTAAACACACTCCTGCTCACCTATTGCTCATGTTTTGAACAGAACAAAAGTGCGTTCCTCTGTGGCGTGATGAAGACGTACAGGCAGAGGGAGAAACAGGGGACCAAAGTGTCAGACTCCACTAAAGGACCCGACGAGGCCAAAATCAAGGCAAGTTTACTCTTCCCATCTACCGCTTGTTCAGTGATCTTCCTCTTTCTGTCGATGCAGTGACTTTAGGACCCGTCTCACGGTCCAGTGTGTTATTTGCTTCCTCTGCAGGCTTTGCTGGAGAGAACCGGCTACACGCTTGATGTGACGACGGGCCAGCGCAAGTACGGGGGTCCTCCTCCCGGGTCGACCCATGCCGGGGTCCAGCCCACCGTCGGCACCGAGGTCAGTGCTCTCGTAGTCCAGAAACAGTTTACACCTGGCCACTTCATGCGTTTCTCAGATCATCAAATCGACTCTCATTTACACCTGGGGCCGCTTTCACAAAGATAGACGTTGACTATAGAAGACAGTCAGACTTCAGATAGACGTCTAAATCAGAGACAAAGCACTTAAGACTAGGGGTGGTTAATCTGTCTGATTTTTCGATTCGATTACGATTATTGAAGTCCCGATTCGATTACAGTCGATTTTCGATTATTAAAGAATTCTCGATTACCGATTATTGATTTTCCATTTCACAACAGTAAACGAAAATACACTAGACCAACATATGATTATATTAGCAGCAGCAACATTTTGGTATTAATTGCACTTTTTATTTGTTTGATATTCATTGAAAATATAATGATGGTTAGTGAGGACATGCAAACATGCTTGTTGTCTACTACTTAGGCAACTCATTATCTTTAAATTTATTAACTTTACATTTTTTTTTTCAAAAGCAATTTTGTTGCATTATAATGCAAATGCACCTGGTTCTGTTAATTGACAGCATTAAAATGTATTTTGTGATTTCCTTCAATTGAAAATATTTGAAGCAAGTTTGAGAGAATCACCCAGAAATTCAAAAGAACAGCATTTATCTGAAATAGAAAGCTTTTGTAACATTAAACAAAAGTTTAATGAGTCGGTAAGAATTTTTATTTAATTTTTTGGGCAAAAGAAAAAAGAAATCTATACTTTTATTCTTCAAGGATAAATTAAGTTGATCAAAAGTTAAAGTACAAGACATTTATAATGTTACAAATCGATTATCTGAATCTTTTGTGTGTGACTATAAATAATTTGCTTTAAAAGTACAAAGTAATGACCCATAAAGAATTAATGCACAATATATTTTATTAACATTACAAAGAACGACCAGGAAAATAAATGTGTGCTTGAACTAGGAGCATACTTGTAGTAAATAAATAATATAACGACTGGTGCAGCCGAGTGTTTTTCCTCCTCTGGCTAGAAAGGTGTCATATGGCTTATCATATTTGTCGTGTTTCCGTCGTTGGTTTTATTCAACAAAGCGTACAACTAGTGCGGCTCTTGTCCAGCTCCTTTCCCCCTTCAACTTCAGAAGCCAAAATATTTCCACACGTCAGCTTTTAACCTAACAAGGAAGGTGTTTGGATCTCGCGTGCCATCTCATCTCTGTTATGTGCACGCCACAGACGGTCCCGCCACTGCACTTCCGCGCTTCAGACTTCCGTCTTTCGCGTTCCGTCAATATTACGTTATTATAAATACATATACATTTTTTTTTTTTTAATCGATTTTTTGACATTTGTGAATTGATTCAGGATCGTCCGCATCGCGATGCATCGAGAATCGATTTTTTTCCCCCACCCCTACTTAAAACTCTAAAGGGGTCATATAATGGCATTTTGGAACAAGTTAATGTGAATCTTTAGGGTCTAAATGAAAACTTTGTAATATACTTTTATTAAAACTTCTCATTAGTATTGTAAGAAAACACTCATTTTACCTGGTCAAACACAGCTGTTTACAGCACGCCGTTTCAGTGCATATGCCTTTAAATGATAATGAGCTGTGCTGACTCCGCCCCTCCGTTCTTCGGTGCGTTTTGATGAATATAATGATTATATAGATCAGTGGTTTTGACAACGCATGTGGAGGTGTTGCCTTGGCATATTTCGGATAAAGAACGGCAGCGGGAGTCTCTGTGGACACATCTGTGTAACCATATCAGTTTGATCCGAAGTCGGACCTGGAACGAGATGACGGCCCGAAGAAGTTTGACAGTTCGGGCTCGAACAGATCTGGGAAACGCATGGAAGTGCCCAGGTGTAAACAGGCCCTGTTAGTCTGTGTGAGTGACTCATGTCGGCTTTATTCTGTGCACGTGTTTCATTTTTAACCCTGTGAAGCCTGACATATGAAATACAAAAATCAGATTTTTTTTTTTTTAAATCAAAGTTTTATGGCTCATATATTGAGTATGGAGGAAAAAAACTCAAGTTTATTTATAGGATGAAACCGAGCAAATATATGCAAAAGAAGTGCAGGGTTCCCGCGGGTCCTTAAAAAGTCTTAAAATGTCTTAAATTAGATATTTAAAATTTAAGGCCATTAAAAGTCTTATAAAGTCTTATTTTTAGGTATAAAAGGTCTTAAATTTTAGATGACACTTCGACTCAGTCATATCTTAATGTTTTCCAAATTAAAACCATCTAATTTGTGTACGTATTAATTTTTATCTTTGTGGATTTGCTTGTTCACGTGACAATTCGCGTCACATTCGCGGCAGAATAACGTCCGTCTCCTGCACGCGAGACAGGAGAGGAGGAGAGAAGAAAGTTGGCAAATGTCAGTTAAGTCGTAAGTTAATTCTTTATGTGCGTAGAGGTGTGCGATATGTATTGTCTATTATGATACTCTATTCTTTTAACGATGGACGAGGCACTGTGTGAGTGTGAGCTGACATCGCATTTGTCTCTCGTGTTTTCACGGCGTGATGTGTGCAGTTATAGGCATAGACATGTATTTATTATGGTTATAGGTATGTCCCCAAATTAGTTTTTGCCTTATATTTATATCATGTTGTTATATTAGAATATCACATCAGTAAGAGTGCCGTTTTCCCGTGCACAAGTGTGATATTTATGTTATACAATAGTTAAATTAAAAATAAAGTGACATTGTGAGTTAGTTTTTAGCCATAACATTATCGATATTGTTTGTTTTTCCTTTATTTCGCCGACTAGAATTTCAAAATGAAACCATAGCAGAGTCTCAATGCAACAGACAGCGATGATTTCTTGAAGATAAGCCGCGTCTTGAACGAGTCATTTTAACGATTCAATCACTTGCTTCTTTCCCGTTTGAACAAATCGGTTGAATGAATGACTCCCTCAACTCGCTTATTAAGACAGCGATTTGCCGCCGCCTACTGGATGTTTTAGTTTCATATTAAAAGTAAAAAATTAGAAATCATTTCACATTTAAATATTGAATATTGATTTTTTTTTAAAAACCTTATAGCTTGATTTATGCAATTGTAAATGGAGTGTATTAATGCCACTTCTAAGGCTGCTTCTGCGTCTACTCTGCACTGCAAAGATGGATTTTTGATTGAATGATTTAATTTGACTGCTAACAGTGGTACTGTATAATTATTGTGTAATTAAATATTATTGTATAAATAAGTGTATAATTACTGTATATACGTGATGCACGTGATGCATAACTCTTAATAAGTTTAGAAAAAAAAATCTCCATAAATAGGTGAAAATGCCCTGAAAATCAATTTAAGGTGGCAAATATTGCACATTAATTAATAATTTCTGTCACTGCTGTGAACTGACCACTGCATAGAATATGAAAAATATAAATATCTCCGCGAGTCTGCTGTCAACAACAGGCCTAAACCAGCCATGGCACCAGCACAAAAACACAATCAGTAAAATATCAACTAATTATTGTTGATAATAATTAGTTGATATTTTACTGATTTTGTTTTTGTTTTGTGTTTATCAACAAAACGTGAAAATATCGAGATATATTTTTGTCAATATCGCACACCCCTAATGTATGGTATTAATTTTGATTTCTTCAGGTCTTAAAAAGGTCTTAAAAAGCCTTAAATTTTACTTTAAAAAGTGTGCAGGAACCCTGAAGTGAAGTCATGAATGAAAACCGTTGAACTTGTGTTAGTTCCTGATGATTCATGAGATATTAATGCATGAATGAATTCATGATAATTCATGTACCCTTACCGTAAAGTGTTACCAATAAATAAATATGGGGAAAAAAAACAATTCGTGGCCTTTGAGAATCGATTTTGAATCGACCACATTTTCTGTACCATCTATTACCACATAATATTATGTTTTCAATCTTTTTATGATGGCAAATGTTGGTCTGATGATATCTTCAAATGTTCACAGATTTTTGTGGGAAAGATCCCGCGGGATCTGTTTGAAGACGAGCTGGTCCCTCTGTTCGAGAAAGCGGGGCCGATCTGGGACCTTCGCCTGATGATGGACCCGCTCAGCGGCCTGAACCGCGGATACGCCTTCGTCACCTTCTGCACTAAAGAGGCGGCGCAAGAAGCCGTCAAGCTAGTGAGTGACTGTCTTTACTAGCGCTGGAACCATACGATATTATTGCCATACTACAAGACATGAGGTCAAACTGTTGATTGAAATGCTCAATTTGGTGTTGCATTGTGTGTGTAAATGAATATTCTTGGACTTGGTGCTGAAACCCAAAGCACAGGACTGTAGAGACACCACAATAACAATACTCATGATTCTGAAGCTGAAGACAGAATTATTGGTAACTAATTGTTAATTACTGGTAACATGGACACACACCATTGCATTATTATACATTATCAACATTATATATAGTAATTAAATGTAGGGCTGACACTACAACTTTTTTTGCATTTGGTAACACTTTACAATAAGGTTCATTTATTAAACATTAGTTAATGTATTAACTAACATGAACTAACCATTTGTTACTGTATTTGTTATTCTTTGTTAACGTTAGTTAACCCTTGTGCTGCATTAGATTTTTAACACCGTTGAGTGCATTAAGGACCAAAAATGGCCACATATTAAACATTGCCTAAAATATTATATATTATTATTATTTTCCACTTTTACCAAGTTAAATCTTTTAACCAGCATCAGTCCTCATCATAACTACCAAAAATGTATTCAATTTCAGGATTTTAACCCTTTAATTACCAGTTTTGTTTGCGAAACCATCGATTTGTATAAGAGGAAAAAACACAAAAATTCAATTATTTTCAATAAACTAAATGCAAAGAGAAAACTTTAGATTTGGATTATCACAGTCCCACTTTGCAAAAAATCCCACTTAGCGCGTTAGAGACCAAAAATGGCCACCTATTAAACATTGCCTATTGCCTAAAATAAGGTGCATTTCCACCCATAGGGAATAAATATGTAGTGACGTCATCTGGTGGAATACACTATATAATGCAAATATAATGCTTTTGCTTCAAAATGAAAGGATGTTTGTGCAAAAATCATGTTTCATGTATTACTGAGGGCCTCAGATTTAAACAACGTTTTAATGGGTTTCAATGGGCCATTTTTGGTCTTTATGGTGCTGACTGTTACTATTTGATCTACACAGTGTGTGTTATACATATTTTGCAAAATGGGATCACATTTTTTACATGTATCCAAAAAGTCACAATTTTGCCAAATTTCATACCATTTGCATTAAAACAGCCAAAATGGTCAAAGAAATTAAACTGCAAAAGACCAAAAATGTCCCTAATGCAGCATAAGGGTTAATACAAATCCAGCTGTTCATTGTTGTTCATGTTATTTCACAGTGTATTAACTAATGTTAACATGATTTTTAAAAAGTATTAGTAAATGTTGAAATTAACATTAATAAATGCTGAAGAAGTATTGTTCATTTTTTGTTAATGTTAACTAATGTAGTTAACTAATGAACCTTATTGTAAAGTGTTACCTAATTTTTTATTTTGAGTGAACTATACACACGATACATACTGTTGCATTTTTGTGTTTTGCTATATTGTGACACGATATATTGTTCCTCCTCTTGTCTTCACTGTTGGTCTTCTGGATTCTGATTGTAATATTTTCTGCAGTGTAACAACAACGAAATTCGCCCTGGGAAACACATCGGCGTGTGCATCTCCGTTGCCAATAATCGTCTTTTTGTGGGATCCATCCCGAAGAGCAAAACTAAGGACCAGATCGTGGAGGAGTTTGCCAAAGTCACTGGTAAGTTTTAGTGTTAACTAACATTACAGTTTTACACATTATCAGGACAATCTGTAACACTTTACAATAAGGTTCATTAATTAGTTAACCTGAATCAAGAATGAAAAGATTTAAACAAATTTATTTCATTTAATAATATGAAATTACTGCTAGTTTTCTAAAAAGATTTAGTACTATTCACATTAAGTGGAAAGCTTTTGTTCATATTATTGTTTTTAAAAACTATTAATAGGTTCTCAGACAGATTTAGCGAGTCGAGAGCGCGCGCGAGAGAGACTATGAGACAGCACGCTCAACTGTGCGCGCGAGAGACAGAAGCTGCGTCCCAATGTGTGCATACTATACCTGAAATAGTATTGACAGTTATTAATGTCGCATACTATTTAGGATGAATAGTCTGCACATTACGACGCAGCTAGAGTGTGACTTTTATTTTAACTTATATAAACTAATATAATTTATTTTACAGGACAGTTTAAAGCTCATAACCATATTTTGTTGTTACTTGAAGTACTTAGAGTAGAGTGTTGTGTTGCATCATGCAGTATTTGTCATTTTAAGAGTAAATGCCTATTTTATTTGTGTACATTTTAATCATTAACATTAAAAGCTCTTTTTACAACTAAAATAACAGTAAAGGGTTAAAAAAAAAAACTGAATTCCCAAAAATTAAAACGGAAAAAACGGAATTTGGGAAAAAATAAAACGGATTTTATAGGGCCCTATATCACATCAGTTCCTGATAGATAAAGTAAAATTGGTTTGTCTTGTCATGTGGACTTTACAGTCCTACTTTACATGGGTATGTGAACGCAAACACGGATTTGCCAAAACGAGCATCAGTTTTCCAGGAAATAATTTCCCGTCCTTAATCCCAACAGAGGGCCTGAATGACGTCATCTTATACCACCAGCCCGATGACAAGAAGAAGAACCGAGGCTTCTGCTTCCTGGAGTACGAGGATCATAAGACGGCGGCCCAGGCGCGACGCAGGCTAATGAGCGGCAAAGTGAAGGTTTGGGGGAACGTGGTGACGGTGGAATGGGCCGATCCCATAGAAGACCCCGATCCCGAAGTCATGGCCAAGGTGCGTTGTGTGTTCTAGGATTGGGGCAACACTCATCTCCCGATCCCATGCTATCACGATACTTGGGTGCCAATATGATATGTATTGCGATTTTTATTTTATTTATTTTTTTATTTTTTTTAAGTCTTGCGATTCAATATTGAAATATTGCGTTTTTTTTATTTATTTATTTATTACACAAGACCATCTGGAAAAGTTAAATCGTACTCTTATACAGACCATACATGATGTATAAGATGAGTCATATTTACAAAAACAATTACATCTTTCTGGGTTTTATTTCAGAAGCATCATATAACACTACATCTCTTGAATAAATGATTCAATATCAAATACATTTGTGTAGGCTAATTCAAACCCAGACAAAGATGGGTGAAGCATTGAAATAATACTATAATGCATATAAAAAATTAAGAATCGAATCGAATTAATCGAATCGCATCGAATTTGGATGTGAATCGCATCGAATCGAATCGTTCTGAATTTGCACAAATCGTTCATGAATCGAATCGAAAACCTATGAATCGTGAATCGAATCGATTCGCTGTCTACCCAAAGATTCACAGCCCTAATCAAAAGTGGATTTACTCTATTTTGATTCTGATTTACCTGTTTCTCCATACTTGCGCGTGACAGGCGTTTAAAATCTGCAGTCTTTCTCACAAGCCCAGGTTACACACACTACGATGTGATAAAGGCCGAAACTAGCAGGGCAATGAATAACGAAGTATACCGTACCATGATTTCTCAATAAATACACTTGTAAACAAGTCTTTGAATATTAAATGAATCAAACTTTGCATTACGGTAACGTGAATAACTGCGAATGAGAAATAAAACGAGAAAATGTGTTTAATTATTAGGAGTGTAACGATATTCTAACTGAACCGACAAACTGGGATACAGAAGTCACGATTCGAATCGCGATACTCTCATTGGTCCAAAAGTGAATTTACAAGTGAAATACGTTATTGTTATAAGTTAATTTAAATAAAAATATAATAAATCTTGTATATAAAAAATTAAATAATTTAAAGTTTTTTTTCTCCTTTTTTGTGATAATTAGGTTATGTCCATTTGTCTTTGTCCGTCAACAAACAAAACAAAACAAAAATACATGTTTCAGGACACGTACGACCTCTAGTTGAAAGATACAGTATCAGGGTTCTCAAGTTTGAGCAAAAGCTTGGAGTGAGATCACATGCGGTTAGGGGAGGAGCCATAATGAAGCCCCGCCCCACCCATCTCCGCCCCAAATTTTACCCATTGTTCATAATTAACCGGAACAAATTAAAATTATAACAATTATTAAATCTGATAAATGACAGAGCAATTCATCACATCAAATACTCTTTAATGCAGTATTACAAATATAGCTAACCAAAAATATAACAAATTGCTCCAAACAGTTTCAAACAAATCTTTAAAAATTGCATTTTGATTTTTGAATGCGTCTTCTATCTAGACGAATGATTTATTGTGTGGTGGGACATTGAGAACAAATGGACAGATTAGAGTGCACCACCTCTTCCACTGTCTCCTCCTCTAATCTGGCAACCTTTTTAGGGGGCTTACCCTTTGGTGCCCAAAATTACAAAATATCTTTCTGCTTTTTTCCTGACATCTTTGAAAAATACAAATGCAAAATTATGACAATTATTAAATATTACCCAGAGCAATCTGCTGTAATACATCCTTAATGTAACTAGAAAGACTATTAATATTACAGTATAATATAATTTAAAATAAAATCAGTAAATCTTCATTCCTTTCCATACCCACACTATATTTCTCTTACTTTCAGATAACGTAAGATAGCCAAACTGAGCCTGGTTGCAAAGTAGTTGTAGAGTTTTTGACAGCATCAATAATAATGTACGATGGGCTACATATTAAATGTTCTAGCCCAAAAATGTTAGACGAGCTTCTTCCAACTTACCTTCTTCTCCATCACGACACATGTGTTCGCGCGATGTTTTTGGTTAACGAACGTACGGTGACAGAGGATGTTCCGTCCATTTCCGTGTGTTCGCGCTACTGAATGACATGTCATGTATAGATCAGTGGTGCACGCAGCGCGCATATATATGTTGCCTAGTAACGAACGCAATCTGGCGGAGATACGCGCTGGCGGCAGGAAACTTCACTTTGTTTGCCTGCGCCTCGTATACAACGTTAAAAAGCTTTCAGCCAGGACAACTTGGTTGGCATTGCCTTTTCAGCGTGAGAAATACACAGTGTGGCGTGTGCGCGTGTGAACCGGTCGAAATGCGTGTGTCTCACGGCCAATGCGTGAGACTTGAGAACCCTGCAGTATTCTCACTGAAAGGCATCATAACTCGTTTAATCGCTCAATCAGTGTTTCAGCAGTGGAAAGACGTCAATAAAACAGCATAGCTTGTCACTATAGCATTATATTTACCTCAGCAGAACTTTGCTTCCTATAAATGAACTCTTGCTCTAAATAAATGTACCATGTTAGCCTATATATTATATTTTACTTAACCTGTTAATGATATCTTGATTATTAAATGTATGTTTAAAATATCTTTCATGAAAATGACATTATATTTCAATAACAAATAAGACGAAATAAAAACACAAGTTAAATGCAAAAACTGCCTTATGTTCAGTTTACATGTTTTCATACAATGTGTTGTGTGTTGATTATTATATCTAAAAAAATAAATAGCATCTGAATTTAGGTTAAAAGTCTAGACTACAACCTTTAATATTATAGTAATATTCGGCTCCCTATATAGTTTACAGCATTAGCAGATTTTTTTTTAATCCTTGTGAAACGTTTAATTGTAATTGAATTAATTTAAAGACAGACAATTTTTTCATTAAACCACTGTTTAAAAAAACAAACAAAAAGAGCAATTTTAGCTTTCTAAATCAAACTGAACCGAACCGAGACGTCAAAACCGTGGGAAAACCGAACCGTCAGTTTTGTGCATCGTTACACCCCATACCAATATTAATTATGTAAATGTTAGATTGGATGGTCTTCATGCAGAATATTTGTAGTTTCCTGTGATTCCCTTGTTTCTCCTCTCAGAGCATACTGACATTTATCTCGCTTGTGTCGTTTAGGTCAAAGTCCTTTTTGTAAGAAACCTGGCAAGCACAGTAACAGAAGAGCATCTCGAGAAGACGTTCTGTCAGTTCGGCAAACTGGAAAGGGTTAAAAAGCTTAAAGACTACGCCTTCATCCACTTCGAGGAGAGAGATGGCGCTGTTAAGGTAGTCGTCTCTTCCTCTGCTTCGCTTTAGAGGCTGTTGGTCAATTATGCACAGGTTTTACCCAGTGTTTTTCCACAGGCTCTTGCTGAAATGCATGGGAAGGATTTGGAAGGGGAACAAATTGAAATCGTCTTTGCGAAGCCGCCTGATCAGAAGAGGAAAGAGCGAAAGGCCCAGAGACAAGCTGCTAAAACTCAAATGTAAGACAGTTCGTAGCCGTTCATGAGCGTTGTGTCATAACTAACTTCCCCTGAACACACACGGAGAAACATGGCAGCACTTTCCAGGAGCTCAAGGTCTATAAGTGACAGTGACTTTAAAGTATCAGAGCAAAAGTCCATACGACTAAAGCCAGGGACACACAAGATGTATCGATATTCGCTAAAAAAAACCACTGCATATACTATTATAGGTATTTTTATATTATTTTTTATCTATTGAAAGTCTAGACAGTCAGAAATGCCTTCTGAAGAGATCACTTTATAATATGATAAAGGTTTTTTCCATATATAAACGTTGATCAAATATTAAATGTGCGTTTTAATGACGATTCATTCAAACGTCCGATTTGTTATCGTTATCATTTATGAAATTTTTATTTAGTGATGAAACACGGCTGAGAGTTGCTGTGAACTTTGTTTTGAAAATGGAAACGGAACAAAAACGGTCACTATCGCATCTGAAACGCAAGTGATTTAATCTTAGCTACTTCTTTATTGAGCAGTCGAATGAATCAGGGTTTCGTTTTCAATCATGATGGTGTTCAGGAAAACAGGACGTTCGGTTGTGTTGCGTAACTAACTATATGTATATTAGTGTTTCTGAACTCCTGAAACGCCTCCATTGTAGTCTTGAGTTTCTTCCGGGAACGAACACGTCACAATATTCCTCATTATAATAATTAATGCGCAGAATAAAGGGGCGGGGCCTGGTTGAGTTAGTCAGTAGTGTGTTAAACTGGCGGTTATGGAAAGGAGTGGGACATTTCCCAAACACACTCTTAAGCGCTCGACCAATCACAACACACTGCTCCAGCTGACCAATCAGAGCACAGTGTGCTTTTAAAAGGAGGGGCTTCGTAGAGACAGGAAGTAAACAGAGCATTACTGACCGATAGAGCCCGACCGATAAAGGATTTTGAAGGCCGATACCGATACAAATATTTGTTGGTTTTACAATCCGATATTCCGATATATCGGCCGATATTTTTTAATTTCAGAAACGCGCAACAAAACATTAGCAGTTTTAACTAAAATAATATGATAATGCATTTTAAAAAGAAACTTGTTTCTTTTATTGTCACAACAGAACAGACTGATGATAGTGGCATTAGCTAGCCTATGATGAGCCATAATTTAGCAATGGATTACGTCATACTGCAAATTGTAAAACATACATTTTCAATATAACCAAGGAGAGATGATACGTCTCATTGCTATTAAAGAATTACTTTAGTCACATGATCGTCAAAAGTTAAAAGGACAGTCAGTCAACTACACTGTAACAACGTAACGTAACTCGTGACCAACTCAACGACTGTTGCCAACAGGAACTGTGTAGAGTGCCCTCTGGTGGACAAACTATACAACTCCAACACTCACGACATGGTTCAAGCGTGTTTCGTCCGTTTTTATTTTATTTGTGAAATATTCATTTATCGGCCATTATAACTGCCGATACCGATAGGTTGTAACGATATATCGGGAGGAGAGGAGCCGCAACAATGGAGAATATGAGGAGAATAATCAACATTCAAGTGGGAAAACCCCAAAACAACATCAAGACTTTGTAAAAGGGCATTGAATTATGTTTTTGTTTTTTTTTCCCCCAGGTATGATGAATATTATTACTACGGCCCACCGCACATGCACGCCCCGACGAGAGTGAGAGGCCGAGGCGCCAGAGGTTATTCGTATCCTCATGACTATTACAGCTACGAAGATTATTACGATTACTACGGCTATGACTATCACAACTACCGAGGCGGATACGACGATCCCTACTACGGCTACGATGACTTTCAAGCTCACGTCAGAGGAAGAGGCAACAGAGGATCCCGCGGCCCCACACTGACCCGAGGCCGGGGCTCCAGCGCCCCCCGAGGACGGGCCGGCTTCTCCCCGCGCCCGGGGCTGGGCTCCAGCAGAGCCCGAGGGTCCCGAGGAGTCCAGCAGAGATGTCGAGTGGTACGTGATGTGTGGGTGGAGCACTCCTGCAGTGTTGGCAGGAGGTTCTGAAACCCTGTAGGCCAGACTAACGTTTTCGTAGTCTTTTTAAAGTAGACTTTATCATGACAAAGGACGTAGTGATCAAAACACATGTTTTGGCGTTTGTTTTTGCTTCCCCTCCTTTTCATGTTGCTTACATATGCAAGGCACCTTGTGGACGAAACGGACCAAAGGTTTGCACTTTCCTTTCATTTCTGGAAATTTAACTTACAGCACTTGAGTTCACTGGTTTGTGTGAGTCTGCTGCATATGCGCATCGTCTTCAAGTGCTCGAGTAGTGAGGACTGGGCGGTATAGATCGAATATCATTGTTCTCCGGCTTTTTTATGTTTGTATTTTTTGCGCTAACGAAATTCTAGCAGCTAAACAAATTCGGCTGAAAATGAACTTTCGGTTTCAGCTGAAATAGTTTTAAAGGGTTGATGATTTGTCGTTCGTTTTGATGGACGTGTTTTCAGCACACCGTTTAAATGTTTATATTTCAACCAAATGGAGTAGAAACATAATTAAACCAAAAAGTTGTATAAAAAACTGCTGTGTTGAGTGTTGATTAAATAAACTTGATCGAGTAACGTTATTTTTTTGGTTTTCGGCTAAATCTGAACTTTATTTTTGGTGCATTACTAGTATTTGCTCCTGAAAGGGCTTTGGCTGCTTTTCCTCAAGAAGCATTTCCGCAAAGTAGCTTCTCCAAAAGCAAAAGTAAAACACTAAAAATCAAGTTAAGAAACCAACCCTGTATGTTTTTACTTAAACAAATGGAAGAATATTCAATCATCATGTAAATTTACCATTTAAACAAAAGCAAATCAAACGTACAAACTTGAAGTTGAAATGAGATGCTTTTAAAACGCCTGTATTAACACACTCGTACGCTCAAAGTCAAGGATGGTTGTAAAACTAGTCTAAAGATTCAAAATTCCTTGCCAATATATTGTAAATGATCTGTAATGCATGTTAAATGTAATCTTTAATTGTAAGAGTAACAGGTCCTGCAGCTGATATTGGGGTACACTTTATTTTAAGGTGTCATTGTTACAGTGTAATTATACATTTAAGTACCGAGTAATATTAAGCAGCTACATGTGCTTACGATTAGGGCTGTCACTTTACGTCGATCGGACCAACCAACACAAGTTTCGAAAACGAAAATAAGGAGTCTATTTGAGCGGCCTTTTTTTTTTTTGACCAAAAAAAAATTTTTTTACATGGTGTGTGTGTTCAAGTAAGCCAGAAATGCACCGATTCTGCAATACACTGTATTAAGGCGAGACACAGTAGGTTTTTTTTCACTGGTCAATTTTGGGATATTTTTGTCTTCAATAACATGTCTTCTTTCAGACTTGTGGTGAAAAAAAGTCTGAGATACACATTTAGGTCTTTATTTTATTACACTTTGTCAGTTTGCATCTGTGCATTTCTCATAAATTCTTCAAAAGTTGTCGTTATAAATCATCCTGCTGCTCAGCGATCGCGTTAGAAAGCTCTCTTTCTCCTGTACAACGCTGTCGGTTCCAAATATGGTCATTTCCTTTTCATCAGCAACCAATCGTGAAAGTAAAAGGGGGATTTAACTCTAAATGTGCGATCTCATTGGCTGATGCTAAATCTTTAAAAAGCCAGTTTTCTCAAAATGACTATTCTCTCAAACTCCAAGTCCGAAATCTCCACTTCAGTAGCACCTATATACACCAAACTTTCCAGTCTTGTACCTAGTTATATTATGAAGACATTTACAGAGGGATTTGTAAATATATTATTCCTAGCCTGATTTATATAACATTTAATTCCAAAAAACATGACAAATCATTTTTTTTAAGGCAATGTATACTCTGATTTACAGGATAACAAAAGTAGATATCCATGAATCCCTCTGTATTTGTTTTCTCATCTAATATGTGAACACAATGAAAAAATAATTTTGAACGTGGCTTTAACCACTACTCAGATTTGCAAATTAGTGCATATTTAATTAGATGATGCCTCATTTGCATATTTAAACATTAAATCACACAGAACTTATATTTTTTTTCTCATCTCAATGTAGGTAATCAACTGGGAAAGTTTCATGGTGATATCTGCTAGTTAAAAAAAATGGCCCTATTCACCTGTAGTGTCTCGCCTATATATGCGTATTTGCGCTAAATCCGCTCAGATTTGCCTTACAAGAACTTCCCAGTAAAGCGAGTAAACATAGAAACACCAGATTGGCAGTGTTTCCCGCCAAAGTTAATTTTTACCCACATTTGGCGAGTCGAGTGTTAATCTCAATCCCTGAAAGTTGCGCTCCTGTTTGTCATTGTGCTGAAACTTCACCAATAAATCATCAGAAATATTGCGTCTGAAGTGCCTCGTTACGCTCGTCCTAACGCCTGTTCGGTGTCCGTGGATTTGGTGTTGAAAATGGAAACGTCTTTAGATTTTACAATCGATTCAATGAACACTTCTGACAGGATTTACTTATAAAAGTGACAGCCCTAGTGACTATAGGGTTAGGATTAGGATGAGTTGCATGTAATTTACTGTTATTACCATGATAAGTACATGTAACAAGGACACTGTAAAATAAGTGTGACCAGATATTGCGCCACTGACGTCCTCAGATTAGAGCCCGACCGATAACGGATTTTGAAGGCCGGTACCGATACAAATATTTTTGGGTTTTAAAATCCGATATATCGGCCGATTTTTTTTATTTATTTATTTTTTTTATTACATATTGTTGGATTTCTGCACAAGATACGTTTGATACTTTTTCTCTATGTCTAAATGTTCACTCCTCGCAAGTATAACTTACATTTTACAATGCAGGGACTGTAACTAGAGATACGCTAGTTATAAATACAGTAATCATTACTTTATTTAGGCAGAAAAAGTTCATTGTGGTTTCCAAGCTCATTAATGTTAACGTTAGCGGTCTTCCACTGATGATAGTGGCATTAGCTAGTCTATGATGAGCAATGGATAACATCATACTGCAAATTGTAAAACATACATTTTCAATATAACAGGCCGAGGAGAGATGATTAAAGCGTGTTTCGTCGGTTTTTATTTCATTTTTGAAATATTCATTTATTGGCCATTATAACTGCCGATACCGATATTATGGAAAATGCCTAATATCGGTCTGGCTCTACCTCAGATAATGTTCCTCTCATAATGCTCTTTGGATAACCATGTCCTGTGCTTTTGTTGTGAAGGTCCTGCATGAACCGGACTGATTATGTGCCGTTCCTTGTGTCTGCATAAATAAAGCATGCGTGTCTTTTGTTCCACCAGGGAAAGGGGGTCGAGGCTGGTCCTGACCAGGTAGTATGAAGACTTGTTGTATGGGGTTACACCGGATGCTACCAGTGTTCATAAGGTTAAAGCAAACTCCCTGATATTCCAGCCTGTATTGAAGCATATCTCCAGTACTGCCAGTCCCAACAAAAAATCCTTTTTCACATTCGGAGCCCGTCTAAGTAAACGCCCCTCCCCGGTCCCGTAGTCGACGCGTAAGCATGCCACATCTTGGGACTGAAGTTCAGACTCTCAAGGATACCGAATACGTCAGATGTGTTTTGCACTTTTTTTTCTTTTCTACTCCTGCGTTTGAAGTGGCTCGAAGGAGCTTGATGCTGATGTATATTTTTGTGCTAACTACAACTTTCTTTGTGGGAATGTCCATGTTAACCTAAAACGTCTGGTAGAGAACATCTGCGGGGGGGGGTTCGGTGTAACCACCTCTCACGGACGAGTCAGGCATTCCAGGAACGTGGTTCTTTTCAGAACTTGTCTTTTTAAGGGTCGGTTAACTACCTCAGTAGAGAGGATTCGACTACCCTGCCTGTACTGTAAATAGGGACACTTAAAAACAAACAAAAAAAAAGCATAGGAGCAGGGCTTGTTCCTTATGAAATATGCACAAGAGCGGCGGCTCAGAAGATATTCTTAATGTAATATAGTCAATCCGCCGCCGCTCTGACATTGCGAACAGTAAAACTGGGCATGCAAATGAATCTCATGTGATGAGCTGGAACAAGCCCTGCTTTTATCCTCCTTTCAACTGAATTAGCTGCCTTGCTTCTTCAGATTATGTAGTTACTGGGTGTATGATTGTATGATAGTTTGGAATAAAATGTTACTTTTGTACCGGCTTAAACATCACAAATGCACCCGCTGCGTTTGCTAAGCCCTGCGGTGTCCCTTTTTCGTCCGGGGCGGTTCACGCGAATGAATTATGTAGGTTTTATAATCAATCATGCGATCAATATTTTCAGTGGGCATGAGATGAACTGGTTTCTGAAGGAAAGGGGACACCGCAGCTTCAGTTTATATTCCATATATAGCAAGCAGGTGACCGAACCATTCAACCGGTTTTGTACACAGTTAACTCCCTCTCGATAAAGCTGTAACATTGCAACCTTTTGAAAAGATGTGAGCAGTTTTAAACTATTGTTGGTGGCCAACAATGTTTTTGCATTCCAGCAAATAAATTGTTTTATACTGTAAAATGAGGTGAGTGTAACTTATTTTTGTAATAAAGGTTTTGAATTCTATCTTAAAACCTGTTCACTGTCGTCATCTTGTTGTCTGGAAAGATCTTTTCATGCAGTTTCGTGTGTAGTTTGGTCATGCAGAGTGAAGCTTACCTCCGTTCATCTTCAGAGCACCTATCATGGATTTTTGAAAATGACTGTTCATGTGGTGTGGAATATACTGTAGGTCTAAGAGGAATGAAAACATTCTGCAAAGATTTATATCTGAAAGTGCACCGTATATAAAGTTATTGCCCCCCGTCGATTTTGACCGGTACGATTTGAGTCCCTCTGACCTTTTTAAGTGTATTTTACCTATTGGGTCACCAAAATCTATTATTAAAAGCTTTTTGTGTCAGTTGAAATGTCTCCTTTAATAGAGTTTAAAAACAATGACAAAAATTTTATCTTTATATTATAAATTATCTTGTTTTTTCAGTTGACACCACCTATTTTGTCATGTCCCTCATGGCCTTCTATGAAAGTGTACTTGGAATATGAATAATAAAATTAGAAAAAAAGTCCATACATTTTGCTATTCCCATGAATATCTATCTGTGCTTTTTTGTTGGTAATATTTAAAAAAAAAAAAATTCATGATTAATCATTAAAATCACATTATTTAGTTCCGTACCTCAGTAATCCCTCAACCCCGTTACACACATCATTCTCCCCCATAAAAATAATGAACAGATCCTTATGTAACATCAACAACAGGAAGTAACATCACAGAAGTCTTCTGAACAACATTGTGTGCAGACACAGGCAAGTTACCAACTACTTTTATAACTATAACTTATTTAGAATTGTGATATTGTGGTTGTCAAGCTTAACGGCTCAACCCCGTTACATCAAATAAAGATAGAATTCTATTACTTGTGAAAATGATTTTTGTTATTTCAAAAGCATACATGATTTCTTAATATCATGCATTCCATTTGCTCTCCTGTTATTCACTACATATAGAGCAGTGGCCATTTTTAGCAAAAAATCACAACCCTGTCACACTCAACCCCGTTACTTCTTTGCCACGAAGCATGCACACATGTAAAAAAAAACCACACAAACACGTTCACTCACACACACACCCACACATACATCAAAAAAGCACACAAGTTATAGGTTTTATTTTGATGACCTATTTCAGTCATTTTATAATGTTCTAATGTATACTACGTTATTGTTGTTTTTCCTGCAGTCGGGTTAATAAAACTGAGTTGCAATTGCAATTTATATCTGTTGTTTTTCTTGGTAACATAATAAAATACAGTGCTTATAGAAAATATTACAGTGAATTTGAGTAAAAAAACAACTACTCATATGTGAAGCTGTATTTGTCTCTTCAACCCCGTTTCCATCTTCAACCCTGTTACCCTAGTCTCAACCCCGTCACACCTACATTTTTATGAATTTTTTTTTTACGATTATGAAAAAGTAAATTATTGTTTGTTGAACTCAGTCTAAAATCTTCAGAGCTATCATAAGAATACTGAATACATAAGAATACTTCAAATTCTGAAGTTAAGCCACATCTTTGATCAAAAATGATGAGGTTGCTGTCACAAAAAGTGCCCATTTCAGGCTTTAGTATAGCATAAGTGTGAAATGATATGTACATTTTACATTTGCAATAATTGAATTAGAGTGAGGGACATCTGACTAATAGGAAAATGTTGATTTCATTACAAATATATTTTATAATTATATTCAGAGAGCTTCCATATTGTCCATAACGGGGTTGAAGACTAATAGCGCTCATATCTTAAAATAATTGCCAATAATAAAAAGTATTTAATGCCTGAGGTGGGAAAATATGTTTTTCTGGAAGTTAAATATGTCATTAATGTTGTGGGGTGTTCAGAAAAGTAATACATGTTGGTAAAAAATCCAAAAATGTGTAAGTCCAAATCGTACCGGTTTCGTGGAATGACTCTAAAACGCATAAAACTTTAGTTTACAAAGACGTGAAACTCACTGAGTGGTCTGGGGTGTTCACTGATATGCTCAAACAAAAATCGCTGCAAAAGATGCTTTCCAACAGGTTTTATCGTAGTTTTTGTCCGACTTCTTTTTCTTCCTGTTTTCGGTAGAAGAATCATTGGTAGATAACTAGATAACTAAGGATCGCGCACGTGAACTCGATAATCGACTACTGTGGACTTCGACCAAAAACAGGAAGCAAATGGACTTGGACAAAAACTACGATAAAACCTGTTGGAAAGCATATTTTGCAGTGATTTTTGTGTGAGCATATCAGTGAACACCCCAGACCACTCGGTGAGTTTCACGTCTTTGTAAACTAAAGTTTTATGTGTTTTAATGAATGATTGTTGGGGGGGTGCTAACACAGAATCCAAAAATTCTCGCGACAGGAGCATCTGTCTAAAAAACAATCTTAACTATTCTATTTCATCAGGGACGATCTTAAAACAGCTTTAATTGTAAAATACCGAACTTGTCCTTTAAAGGGGGGTTGATTGCGATTTCACTTTTTTCATTTTAAAGGGTTAGTTCACCCAAAAATGAAAATTCTGTCAGTATTTACTCACCCTCATGTTGTTCTAAACCTCTATGTGTTTATTTGTTCTGCTGAACACAAAGGAAGATATTTGGAAGAATGTTTTAATCAAACACATCCATATGGTAGTCTATGGGGATTGAGATCTGTTTTTCGAATGCCAGCGCTGGCTTTATAGCCACTAGGCTACTAGTTATGCTATTTTGTGTCTACGACAAACGCCTTCAAACATTATGGATCTGAATTTTGTATGACGTTATTTTCGATTTGATCTAGAACGTAAACTTGCCAACACTGTTTGTGTTTAACTTTAGTAGCCAAACAGTTGCTATTGTGTAAAACACAACGTGTAATAAGTTAAAAAATGTAGCTAATTATCATTAAGAAGCGTTTATTAAGAGCCGTGTGTGGTGAGGTTCTGTTTGACTCTCTTCATCACAGCTTTCTCGGTCTGATTCTGCCTGATACTGCAGTTCGACGCATAATTTACATCTGGACAGGAGCTCATGACGTGCCCGTAAAGGTAATGGGCGTTAACCTTCCGGACAACGTGAGTGACAGTTTAGCCAATCACAACACACCGGCCCAAACTAACCAATCTGAGCCCACTACGTGTTTCTGAGGGAGTGGTTTCATAGAATCAGGAAGTGAATCGCTCGTTCGAGGACAGAGGAGAGCGCGGCTGACAATAAAGGTGTTCATGAAAAATAAGATAAACCACAAATACATGTTATATTGCACCCCATAAACACAATCATGCAAAGAAAAAAAGTAGTCAACCCCCCTTTAATAAATAAATAAAATGCAAGTTTTTTTTAAATTGATTTATTAGTGGTAGTCAAAGCACACATTAACACATCTTTCATTGAAGAAATAATTAATAATTCCAACAATCTGATAACCCTAGAAATGATGTAAAAAAAATCCTTTACATTTCCCTTTGGAATGGGAACACGCACTGCGCCCGTAGACACTGATCGCTCATCTGAGCTCCAGCGAGACCGTGAAGGGCTTGTTTACACCGGGACATTTCATGTGTTTTTACTGATCGGATTGATCTGATTTACACTTGCCCACGTTACAGAGATAATAATCCGATCTTCAATTCCTGTACTCAGATTTACATCAACAAAAGCAACAGATATGAGCTGCATTATATTTATCAGCTAATTTCAAGATCAGAGAGCGCAACAGCCCTGGAAGACCATTTAAGCCTTGTTCACACTACATGATTTTAAAACGCCGGCCTGAACTGTGCGGTTCACACCCTTTCTCTGTGAAATCAGGAGTGTTCAAGTTGTTGAGCTGTTCACACACACGACACAACGTGATTGATCTGCAACTGGAGCTAACGCACTCTGTCACCCAACGATTCTATCTCTACAAACCACGTTTTGTCACGAAAAATCACGCGATAAAACGAACCGGAAATGACGAAAAACATCACGCGTGTCAATACCCAGCGAAGAACACAACATGCGAATTTGGACGTCAGACAGAAACTAGTACTGCAACATGACATCATGACTTTTTGCGTAAACATATACGGCACTTTCGAGTCAGGTACGTGTTATCTCTACGCATTTTGAGCTATCCGCGTGTATGCGTATATGTCTACGCCATTAACGTCCGCGTCCTTCCGTGTGTCTGAACCCGCAGTCAAATCTCCACTCATAAATGCCATTAACCCCAGTGACGGTTAAGTTTAGGGATGGGGTTGAGGTAAGTCATATCTTTTTTTTACCTAGGATGGTAAGGGAACAGTCATAAATGCCATTAACCCCAGTGACGGTTAGGTTTAGGGACGGGGTTGAGGTAAGTCATATATTTATATAACGTTAAGTCAACGGCGTTCATAAACGCGCTGAAAGGCCAGTGTGGGGTAAGCTACTCTAAAACTGTAGTTTGACAAGCTACAAGCTACTCGTAAGTTAAAGTAGTTAAACTACAGTCAAGCTACTCTTTTGGAAAAGTAGTTAGCTACACTACAAGTTACTATCAAAAAGTAGCTAGCTACATTGAAACTACTTTTGCTTTTTTGAACAACGTATATTATTAATAACTGAATAAGTGTCTGAGGACAGAAGGGGACAACAATACTTTTTGAAATCATAATTTTATTGCATTGTTTTAAATACTAAACGTTTAAACATTTAGTGTTTAAAACAATGCAATAAAATTATGATTTCAAAAAGTATTGTTTTATTACACACAACACCCAAATATCTCAGAATGTTTGTCAAAAGTGCAAAATTGTAACAAATAGGCTACAACATTGCAAGAAAAAAATATACATCCAACGTAAATTGCATGTAGAACATTTTCTCCAAAAAAAACGATTGAACTTGGACAAATAAGGCCATGGGTAATTAACTTTAGTTGTTTCTCCATCCTCCAAATCTGCCGTCACATCTTGCTCCATCATCATGTGTGTGTCAACACACTTCTGTACGTCAGTGAACCGTTAGCCGGATGCGTGATTAAACAACAGGTGGCGGTAATGGCAAAAAAATGAGTTTGTAATCTAACAAGAAGAATATCCTTGCATCGCGCCGATTCGCGCAGGCTCGACAAACGCAATGTAGCTTTTGCTCGCGCTACACCGCTACTTGCTGCATAAAGTAGTTAGCTACTGGAAAAGCTACACTGTTTAAAAAGCAACTGATCTACTGCCAAGCTACTCAAAAATGTAGTTAAGTTAGTAGCTTCGCTACTTGTAGTTAACTACTCCCCAACACTGTGAAAGGCGATTATGCGTCTTGATAGCACGCCAAAAATGGAAATACGAATTGGTGTGTCACACACGCTACTTCATGAGATCAGTCTGAGTACTGAAAACTGTTTGCATGATGATTTGCTCTGAGAAAAAAAAAAAAAGATTTACCCGGTGACCTCAACCCATGCCTTGCTTTGATTGGCTGGAGCTCATGATATCACTGAGGTTAAAGCGCGACCGCTCTGGATATCTAGCATGCTAGATATTTTTCTGTCTGCGAGCGTCTTTGATGCGTTGTTGGCTCTTTCATACTAACAGACTGGTGTTCATCGTCCGCTTATCCCCCGCGATAACACCCTGACCTGTCAGCGAGCGTGACGATTTGCAAATTGGGCTTAAAATCCTGTAGTGTGAACTAGGCTTTAGTCTCACTGCTTTTAATGAAGATAATTGTGTTTTGAGCGGCCACGACTTGCTGTTGATGCAGATATTCATCTACGGCGATGCATGCTGCAGTAATCCCGTGATGTCTGGTTTTATTATGTCATATAGCCTATAACGCTCTCGCGCGTTTATTTTTCAGCATTGTTGGGAGGAGTGAAATTTACAAATGTGGTTTCAACAACCAGATGCATTTACACCTTTTCTCCCGAAGAGGTTTAAGCGATGGCATTTACACCTGGTCTCTTCACGAACGGACATCTATCAGATCTGAGAAACACATGAAGTGCCCAGGTGTAAACAGGCCTGAAGTGTTTGGCCCTCTGTGAGGCCGCCTTGGTAAACCGTCTTTGATTAGACCCGTCTCGGGCCCTGTAGTTTATATTTGCTCAGAGATGCTGACTTGGAGTCAGGCAGGGTTGAGCATGCCTTTTCAGCTCCCCTGGGGTCCTCGGGTTGAACCAGATCCCAGATCTCTGCCAATATTCCCTCAAAGCTAATGCCTTTCAGAGAACCTACTCTGTCCACACGCCGGTAAGGCTTCTTCCTTGCATTGGGCTTTGAGCGTTGTGGCCTTAGGGAAAAGAGACACTGAATTCATTCCGATTGACGAATCTGAATGTAGTGTTTACATGAGCTCTAAACGTGATCGAGTTGATGTGTGTGTTTATATAGCCCCTTTCGAACAGCGCGTTGATCCTGGGAAATTGCCAGAACGCCTTCTGTGTGAACGCAAACACGACCCAGGATTGATACCGGCATCGATGCCGGGTTGGGGACCTAGTAACATTGCCGGAATCAGTCCCGGAACGCGCGCTGTGTGAACAAAAGCCAGGACCAATGCCGTAAGGGCTATGTCATAGTGAGGACATGCGTGTTATCGCGCGACTCTTAGAAGAAAGTTTGTTCGTCATCAACAAAGAAAGGACGAACAAATGTCTGGGAACTGGAACGAAGCAGAGACAGGAGCTCCTCTCTATCCGCGCTGAAGCTGAGATCGTTCACCAGCTTTGTGGAACGGTATGCGCGTGTACATGTTTTCGACGTGTACGTTACACGTCTCATCCTGACGTCATGTGTCTTTCCGGGATCTTTACGGGTTGTGTGTGAAAAATCGCACAGGAAAAATGCCCCAAACCAGTCGCCTGCGGATGAGAGTCTGAATCGAGGACTGGAGGGCCGTTGTCCTGCTCCACTTCACACACACAGTGAAAGGAGAATTATAGGATGACCGAACACTCACTTTATTCAACAGCTCGTTCCACGCGTCATACGTCATTACGCTATTTCAGCCCGTTCTCATCCCAAGGCGTCATATACGCTTTTGACATTTTCGTCTACATCCAACGCACATGGCACCCTTTGGCGTCAATATGAGACGCAGATATATATGGGCCAGAAGGCGCCTCCTAGTGGTCAAACCCTAACCCTACCCCAGAACTAAACCTACCCACAACCGAACAAAGCTCTGTGCGTGTTATATTGACGCTAAAGGCTGCCATGTGCGTTGGATTTAGACGAAATTTCACTATATGACGCCCTAGGATGAGAACGCGTTGGCTATTTCTACATCGTTGCACATGCGCAGTCCTTTCAGTTTCGGTTTTCAATCTGATCAAGTGTTTACATGTTCTCTCGATCGGATTAGAAAACGACCACGTCCAATCTGATCGAAATCCCACTCGGATCGAGCTCAGTCGGGTTGATGAATGTGTTTACATGAAGGCTTTTCAGTCCAATTGAGCCGTCAATCTGATTACTAACGGGTTTTTTGGTTGCATGTATCCGTAGCCAGTTCTGTTTGACCTGAGTGAAGTCCGGCATCGAAGTCCGTTGAGCCGTCTTGTGCTTGTCGCTGCTCAGTATAGCGGAGTGGGAACTGATTCCCCAAAGTGTCTTTGGACGCATTGCGAGTTTCCATTTGAAAGGGAACCTCTCAGGTTACGACTGTAATCATGGTTCCCTGAGAAGGGGAACGATACACTGCTTCTCGCTGCTATGCTTTAGGCACACCTGCTCACGTCTCTTCAGTCAGAGAAGCCGTTGACGTACTCATGTACTCTGTCACACACTGTTGCCAGCCAATCACATTGTTGCGTTTGAATCACATGCTTCACGCTCGAGGCGTTCCCCCAAAGTCTCGTTCTTTTCTCAGTGAACCATTGTTGCGTGCGTAATCTGAAATGGTGTTTAGATTTTGTATGTTTTCTAAAACACAAACAACGAACAAACTATGGTTGGAAAGCAACACTTACAATTTGAAAAGCCAAAACTGCAAATGCTTTTATATCGTTTCTCAAAACTATGTTCTCAGTTGGGTTTTGCCCATTAAACCAGTAACTATTTTGAATAAAGTAGGCATATGACTTCAACAAACAAATACATCATTCCAAGTGCAATAACACTGAAGGAATATGAAATATTGCAGGTATTGAGAAAGCGTTTCATGCACCTAGAAGCTTTTTCACCATGTAGCCAGGCATACTGTACAGAAAAATGCCCAGCATTGCTATGATCAACAGAAGAAGCACAATTTTGATGACCAGCCACCTGTATTGGTTGCAGATGAGATGGCGGATGGCCTTTAGCGGGCTAAGGAACCACAGCATTGTAATGTCAGGGCGGCTGGTGGGACAAAACCAATGAACAAGCTTTTAAAAATTGTGAACATAGACAATTTTTTACATGATTGTCTTATTGATTACATGCACTTTTGGCAGATTCAAAGCAATAATTAAAATGCTTTCATGTGTAATGTTCCTCATGCATGGACTGGAAGTGTGCAAGAGTTGAGTCTCTAAGGGAGAACAGAGCATGCTTCCAATGGATTTTAAATGTGCCTGTTTAATGCAAAATGTTGAATAAACCGTAATTGCGCTTACAAATAATTCATGATTGGATTGGTTTGGGTAAAGGTGCATAATATAAAATGTATAGCATGAAAAGATTCGCCAACTGTTAATAAATAAAATGCACGTTTAGGTTTTTTAAATTGTCTATTTATTAGGAGCAGCCAAAGCACACAACAACACATCTTTCAGTGAAGAAATAACTTCCAACAATCTGATAACCCCAGAAACGAACCAATTGATATATATATAAAAAAACATTTGATATGCAGAGAAAAGACTACAAGTTTTTAGATGTTGTATGTTTTCTGAAACTCAAACAGCTAACACAATGGATGGAAAGCAACACTTAAAATGTGATAAGCCCAAACTGCAAAGGCTTCTATAGTGTTTCCAAAGAAAAAAGTATGAACTTTGTTTTTTAAATTGGGCTTTTCCCATTAAACCAACAAAAAATACGACTTCAACAAACACATACATCATTCCAAATGAAAAAAACATTAAAGTAATATCAAATATTGCAGGCAAGGTGAACGCTTTTCAAGCGCCTAGAAGCTTTTTCACCAAGTAACCTGGCATATTGTACAGAAACAAGCCCAGCATTGCTATTATCAACAGAACCAGCACAATTTTGATGACCAGCCACTTGTATTGGTTGCAGATGAGATGGCGGATGGCCTTAAACGGGCTAAGGAACCACAGCATTGTAATGTCAGGGCGGCTGGTGGGAGAAAACCATTGAACAAGCTTTTAAAAATTGTAAACATAGACAATTTTTACATGTTTGTCTCATTGGTGACATGCACTTTTGGCAGGTTCAAAGCAATAATTAAAATGCCTTCATGTGTAATGGTCCACATTAGTGCTCATGCGTGGACTCGTGTGCAAGAGTAGCTGTTCAACAAAACCTGAGTGTTGAACCCCTAATGGAGAACAAAGATGGCTGTTCATTTAATGTTTATGAATGGATTTTAAACGGGCCTGTTTATTGCTAGTTATTGAGTGTACAGGAATTGTGTTCAAATATAATTCACCATTGGATTGGTTCTCGAGTATAGGAGCAGAAAAGATTCGCCAACTGTTAATAAATAAAATGCATGTTTAGTTTTTTTTATATATATTATCATTATTATTGACTTATTTAAAGCACACAATAACATCCTTCAGTCAAGAAATATAACTTCAAACAATCTGATAACCCCAGAAACGAATGAATTGATTTAAAAAAAGATTTTACATCAGAATTGGATGTCCAGAGAAATTCTACATTTGTTTAGGTTTTGTACGTTTTCTGAAACACAAACAGCTAACACTCAAAATCTGAAAAGCCAAAACTGCAAATACTTTGATAGCATTTCCCCCAAAAAATGTGCATTGGTCTCCTGTCAGGATTTGATGAACTTTAAGTTCTCATTTGGGCTTTGTCTATTAAAACAGTAATGATTTTTTAACAAAATAAATGACTTCAACAAACAAAAACATCATCCAGGCGAGATCGTGTTGAAGTAATATCAAATATTGCCGGCATTGAAAAAGCTTTTCAAGCACCTAGAAGCTTTTTCACCATGTAGCCAGGCATACTGTACAGAAACAAGCCCAGCATTGCTATTATCAACAGCGCCAACACAATTTTGATGACCAGCCACTTGTATTGGTTGCAGACGAGATGGCGGATTGCCTTTAGCGGGCTAAGGAACCACAGGAAGGTTGTGTCAGGACGGCTGGTGGGACAAAGAAAAACTCATGATAAAATCTGCGGCACAGCAGAGGGTGAACGTTAGCTGTCAGAATTATTACGGATTTATTCTCAGTTTATTCAGACGTGCGTAACGAGGATATATAGCGTTTATGGTTTAGGTTAGGTTCACTTACCGTGATTTAAGCACATCAAGGCCTGGTTTCACTGACAAGGAATTAGGCTTTAGTTTAATTAGGACATATAAGTAGCTTTTATAAAGGTGCCTTAGAAAAAAAACATTACTGGTGGGAATCTTGAGATGAAACAATGGCACTGATATATTTTAAAGGGGACATATCATGCAAAATCCACTTTTTTTAGCCCTTAAATGCATTTTGTTGTATATTTGGAGTGTTTATAAGTACAGAAAAGATGAAATTATTCTCTTCAGGTGCTTCGTTTATATCCTTATATTCTGTTTTGGCCATATTTTTCAACCTGTTCAGATTTTTCTGTTGTCTATGACGTTTTTTTGAACTACAACGTCGCTGTATTTGCATAGGAACTGACAAATAAGGATATTGACTACCGGTCCAACACTTCGAGCAATCCGCCATTATTATTTCTCGCTCCGATTTTGTAGTCAGAGCTCAATGATGCAGAAGTTACGAGAGGGCAAGTCAAAATGTTCGGTTGTTGGATGTAGTGACCTGAAGCCGCCAGTAACGTTATACAGAAGGGTTTGCCGATCGACTTCGTCTGTATGAGAGGTACAGTAAATTCCTTCTATCTTTGGAGACGACGAACAGAGCATTTCGATAAGCTGTAAATATCGTTAATAAAAATAAAGTACTTTACTTTCTTAAAACACATGGTGGTCATGGTTTAGCAGTAGCTTTGTCTTTCTTTGTTTTTGTTTTGAAGTAACGTTACACGTCTGCAGTATTATTGTTCTTGAGTTTCATCAATGGTCATTTAGCTGCTTTTCTAAAAGTATCATAATATCAATACAGATTTTTTGTGGTCAGATTCGACCGTAGTCATTTATCTCGTCAGTGTGCTTGTTTTAACAAGAGAAATAGTCGACTTTCACTAATAACACAAAACAGTTAACTCACATACCAATACATAAAGAGGTGGTTCTGCAGGTTCATCTTCGTCTTTATCAACTCGCTCGCTCTGGCTCGAATATGTAAGGCTTGATGGACAAGTCTTCTGTTGTTGACATTTTATTAACGTGTGAATAAAAATGTTCTTTGAAGTTATCGTATATAATGGTAAATGGTAATGGTAAATGGACTGCATTTACATAGCGCCTTCATAGACCTAATGGCCACCAAAGCGCTTTACTTTTGCCTCACATTCAGCCATGCAAGGCGCCAGCCAGCTCGTCGGGAGCAGCTGGGGTTAGGTGTCTTGCTCATGGACACCTCGACACTTGGTCAGGTGGAACCGAGGATTGAACCACCAACCTTTCGGTTCGTAGACAACCCACATGAACCACTGAGCCACTGCCGCCCCAATGCAATAATCGTATATCTCTAATCAAACTACAATAATGGTCGAACATGGGGAGTTGAACCGACCGTAAACTCATCGACCTGGAGAGCGGGCGGGGTGTGACGCATCTCCTTTTTATTTAAAGGGGCCGCTTTGAAACGGGTCGCTCACAGACGCACATCAGAAAAGGGGCCTGTGGAGCTATAATAATGAGGAATTCAGACCCAAGCATTTTATATAGACCACAACGGTATGATTTATATGTAAAAATGAATGATTTAAAAGCATGATATGTACCCTTTAAGATATGTCAATGCAACAGCTCAAACATTATAATATTTTAGTCTGAGACTAGGTTTAAACCTTGTCTGTGAAACCGGGGGCCAATGTTTCTTTGGAAGATTCTTATTTATAATTTCTTACTGTTGGAAAAACCACTCAATGTTTATTATGCACAGATTATTAACATTGTCCACACATTTAGTGTCATGGGAGAAATAATCAGATATTTGGTTTATAATTAATTTTATGTATGGTATTTATGACAGGAGAGATTCCTTTTAAATCAGGATATGCAAAGCAAATTATTTATTTATTAAAAATATATTCTTCAATCAATCCTGCAAGGAGGAAAACATGAATCTAACATATACACCAATGAGCCAAAACATTATGACCACCTGTCTAACATGACATGTTGGCTACCAAGACAGCGCCGACCCGCGAGACGTGGACTCTCCAAGAGCCGTGAAGGAGTCCTGTGGTCTCTGGCTGCAGATCCCTCTAGTCCTTTAGGGGTCGAGGTGGAGATGCCGTGGGTCGAACTTGAAGGTCCAGCACGTCCCACTGATGCTCGGTTGGATTGAGATTTGGGGAGTTTGGAGGCCTGGGAAACACCTTGAACTCTTCATCATGTTCCTCAATCCATTCCCGATCAATGTGTGCTGTGTTACGGTGCATTATCCTGCTGAGAGATTATTCCCACCTCCACCAGGAACACCAGTGTCGTGAAGGGCTGGACCTGCTCTGCGGTAATTTACGTCCACGTGACCCAGAGTTTCCCAGCAGAACATCACGCTCCCTCCAGCGGCTCGTCATTATCCCTCAGTGATCCTGGTGCCGTCATTTACCCAGGGAAATGGCACACACGTCCACATGATGTAAAAGCAAACGGGACTCGTCGGACCAGACGACCTTCTTCCGCTGCTCACAGGTCCGGCTCTGACGCTCTCGTGCCCACTGTAGACGCTTCGATGGTGGACGGCCTCATCATTGGCATTCTGATCCTCCCATAACCATCCTTAAAATCGTGTGTGACTTGTGTCGCAGTAGACCTTCAGTTTGCTCGGACCAGACGTTGCCCTTCGAGTTGACACTCAACATGATGATGATGATGATTTGCGTTCGTCCCTCCTCGGACACTGCTGGTACACTCTCACCACTGCAGACCGGGATCAACACACACACCTCGCCGTTTCAGAGATACTCTGACACAGTCGCCTCGCCATAACAATTTGGTCCTTGTCGAAGTCGCTCAGATCTTTATTCGTGCCCATTTATCCTCCATCCAACACGTTGATTACGAGAACCGATTGTCTGCTGACCATCTAATCTAACCAGACCTTAATATATGACCTTGTTAGGAGATGCTCTGCGATACTCGCTTCAACTGTGATGGGTCATAATGTGTTGGCTCAATATAGCAAAATAAGTCAAAACTCATCAAACCTTTGCAATTGCAAACTCTTAAGGACTGTTTTTTGGGCTGTTTTAAAAAGTATTTATTTTAAATATTGTATGATGGAGTGTTTTCAGTATTATAAATAAATGTTTGAAAGTAATGTATAATGGGTAGTGAAAGTGAAAAATTGTCAGTAGCAAATGACAGCAATATTGAAGGTAGAGGTAAAAGTTGGTGTAAATGCTGCTCTTACTTTGGTTTCTCTAGAGGCTCTGGTTCATTGCGTCCTTCACCAACAGGACTCTTCTCGGCCTCCTCACCTGTCAGCAGGTGAAGCTCTGCTTCTACTTTTCCCTTAAAAGATAAAAAAAAAACCCCATTAAACTAAACACCTGAGCTGAGTAAAAAAATGCAAGTGTACACTGGTAGTTTAGGAGTAGGATTTTATCATTCACAGGGTTAAATCATGCAAAAAAATAATTTACTCTCTGTTATGTGTTTACAATGTGTATGATTTTCTTTCTTTCACTGAACACAAAGCAAGATATTCTGAAGGATGTTCAAAGCACAGTTGGAAGACGATTTTTACTTCCAAGCTAAAATGTCCAAAGCACCATGAAAGTACCATTACAGAAGTCCATATGATTTGCATTTTTGTTTAGAATTTTGTGCACCATGTAAATGAGTTTGAATATGCAGAAGAGGAATATTGCACACACACTCACCTAAAGGATTATTAGGAACACCTGTTCAATTTCTCATGAATGCAATTATCTAATCAACCAATCACATGGCAGTTGCTTCAATGCATTTAGGGGTGTGGTCCTGGTCAAGACAATCTCCTGAACTACAAACTGAATGTCAGAATGGGAAAGAAAGTTGATTTAAGCAATTTTGAGCGAGGCATGGTTGTTGGCCAGACGGGCCGGTTTGAGTATTTCACAATCTGCTCAGATACTGGGATTTTCACGCACAACCATTTCTAGTGTTTACAAAGAATGGTGTGAAAAGGGAAAAACATCCAGTATGGGTCAGTCCTGTGGGCCAAAATGCCTTGTTGATGCAAGAGGTCAGAGGAGAATGGGCCGACTGATTCAAGCTGATAGAAGAGCAACTTTGACTGAAATAACCACTCGTTACAACCGAGGTATGCAGCAAAGCATTTGTGAAGAAGACACAACACACACAACCTTGAGGCGGATGGGCTACAACAGCAGAAGACCCCACCGGGTACCACTCATCTCCACTACAAATAGGAAAAAGAGACTACAATTTACAAGAGCTCACCAAAATTGGGAACGGTCTCGATTTCTGTTGAGACATTCAGATGGTAGAGTCAAAATTTGGCGTAAACAGAATGAGAACATAGATCCATCATGCCTTGTTACCACTGTGCAGGCTGGTGGTGGTGATGTAACGGTGTGGGGGATGTTTTCTTGGCACACTTTAGGCCCCCTTAGTGCCAATTGGGCATCGTTTAAATGCCACGGCCTACCTGAGCATTGTTTCTGACCATGTCCATCCCTTTATGGCCACCATGTCACAAAGCTCGAATCATTTCAAATTGGTTTCTTGAACATGACAATGAGTTGACTGTACTAAAATGGCCCCCACAGTCACCAGATCTCAACCCAATAGAGCATCTTTGGGATGTGGTGGAACGGGAGCTTCATCCCACAAATCTCCATCAACTGCAAGATGCTATCCTATCAATATGGGCCAACATTTCTAAAGAATGCTTTCAGCACCTTGTTGTATCAATGCCACGGAGAATTAAGGCAGTTCTGAAGGTGAAAGGGGGTCAAACACAGTATTACTATGGTGTTCCTAATAATCTTTTAGGTGAGTGTATAGTAGTCATACTTAATGTGTAATCTACCAGCCAGCCACCTTGTGTACAGCATGGCATGAACTGATGGGTCCTGAAGTGTAATCCTTCAGCCAATGAACTTGCCTGCATTAAAATAGTCTAGTGCCAGTGAGTGTCACTGTAAGTTCACTGTTTTCACATCACTTTGACCCTCCTCCTCCCCAGCACCACCTGTCTATATCTGTTTATGGGGATTGATGCATGTCCGTTTGTGGAGCTGCATCTTCACTGACACATGTTTGTGTATGTCTTGGTGTAACAGACGCATGTCAGTAAAAGGTGTTCAAGTAAACCACTCCCCTGGCTTCAAGAGGCACGCTGGCGACTGATGGATGATAGAGGACTTTAGCGTCCTTGTTAGCCTGGAAACGCCTCGAGTAAGACCAGTTACATTGGAAGTATGATGCTGAAAATTCAGTGTGTATGCCAGTCTTCAGTTTCAATCGATCCTTTAGAAATCATTCTAATGTGGTATAATACTTGACGCTCAATTGATTTGCAAAGTTTAAACCAGCAGGCGCAACCCGTGCAAGCACTTTGGAAAAGTGACTCATTTTGCGAAGCAACTGGTTCAATTGACTCAAAAGTTTCGAAAAGCTTTGTTTCTCTCATCACATTATTTTGCAGGTCACTTACCGTAATTTCCAACTCATCATTTTCATCACGGGCCACAAACGGCCACCAGCCTTTAATTCTCTTCTGTTTGAAGAGGTTGACCATGGGCATATCTTGCTCATTTATCACCATGTCAATGGAGCACTGCTTCGCTGTCTTTGCACCTCGAGGAAATCGATTCAGGTCAAGTTCGATTGCACCTGAAACAAAACGCAAGCACACATGTGACTGCATGAATGAAGGCCTTTAAGACTGAGCCTGAATCTAAAATGACTTTACAAAGTAAGACACAACAGCACACCCAAGAAGTCGTCTGCAGAGAAATGATCCGCGTCCCACACTTGCAAATTCAGTCGGGCAGGAATTTTATACTCAGTCTCATCCCAAGAAAACATGGACTCTTTCTTTGAAATTACGATCTTTTCTTCGGCCTGTAGGTAGTCGAAGGGATAAACAAAGCGCCAGTTGAAATTGCCCTCTCCGGTCAGCGAGTGATAGTGGACATCTGTGTCTTGCTTGTCTTCTTGTTGGCCTTTCAGCCATCTGTTGGTTACAAGTTGTATAGTGTTGGTACAGTTAGTTGGTACCCTTGTGATCACTTGAGAGATATGATCCTTCAGATATATACAGTACATATATACAGTATGTATATGAAGAGTTCAGATGCAAAAGCCTCTAAATGCCATTTGAAATTTTCTTCTTTAATGATGATTTTTATCAAACTTGTATATTTAAGTTCAGTAATTTCACTTAAATAACAATTAATAGGTAATTATCATTGCCATTTAAGTGAAATCACTGAACTTAAATATACAAGCTTGATAAAAATCATTATTCTAGAAGAAAATTTTAAATGGTACTTAGAGGCTTTTGCATCTGAACTCTTCATATATATATACATATACATAGATACATACATAAATATATACATATCTGATATGTAAGTACATACCTTTTTTCTTGCAATTCCAAGAGTATATCTTACAATGCTGAGACTGAAACATGGAATTGCGAGCAATAAAATCAGAATTGCAGAATATAAACGCGCAATTACGAGAAAAATGAATCGTTAGTATAAACTCTTTTTTAAATTGTTTTTTCATTCCGAGTTTATACATTGCAATTCAGGGTTTTTTTCTTAAAATTGACAAATTAAAAATTAGAATAGCATGAAATGAAGTAAAAAAAAACAAAAGTTAGAATTGTGAGAGGAGGGAACGGAGATGCACGTCAGAGGTGATCCGACGAATGGGGATCTCGCTTCAGAGACAAAATCCACTTTGAGTGTAAACTAAACAAGTCCCTGTGTTCCAAATTGCTGCTCGACCCTCGGTACGTCTGTGGTCCCTCTTGCAAGATATCTGGGAGCCTGGCTAGCGCTCCCCAGCCCGTCTCGCCAACACAGTCTCATCCCAAAAAATCATATAACTGACGTTTTGGGACGTCTTTTGACCATACGTCAATATCCGCCTTTTTAGGGCCCCCTTAAACGTCGGTAGATGGCGATCCCGGGCCGTCATACAACTGACGCTTTACCTTTAACGTCAGTTAGGTGACGGGTTAGGTGACGGGTTAGGTTTAGGTATGGGGTAGAGTTCCCATAACCTCATCTACCGACGTTTGAGGGGGCCCTAAAAAGGCGAATATTGACGTATGGTCAAAAGACGTCCCAAAACGTCAGTTATATGACGTCTTGGGATGAGACCGGGTTGGTCTCGCAGGCTCATCCGTACCATCAGACTCGGCTGTGCGATTCAGTTCACCCTATGCCCTCCCAAGTTCAGGGGCATCCACTCCATCTCCGTGAGGAGCGAGGATGCTCCTGTCTTGCGGGCAGGGACTTGCACATTGGCAAGCGATGATTGCATCAGCTGCTCTGCCTCTCAACACAAGCATATAATGAGCAGAAGGTGCGTCACATCTTTGTTTTTACGCTGAGGAGCCGGACCTTGTGACTCGGCCTTACAGCGGAGGTTCGGCAACTGTGGCGACGGGACGTACTTCTCTGTTCCTTCCTTCGGGGAATAAGGGTTACCATACATAACGATCCATTCCTCTTCAGTTGGTCACTTCCAACGTATGTCAGATGTGATCCGACGAATGGGGATATCTACCAACACGCCACTGTTGTTGGCCCTTCCACGAGCTGCTAGAGTCTCTTGGTCTGCCCCTAGAAATGGTGCGAAAGTTAGGAGCTCTTAGCAGAGAAGGTCAGTCACTGCTGTTCCACAAGGCCCACTCAGTGTGACTAATTGGATGACGTTGGGAAAGTCCTTGAAGGAAAGGGGACGCTGCGGAAGCCACCTCCAGCCCGAAGGAAGGTAATGCGGTTACACATATGGACTAGCCAAGCAGGATAGTACAACATATGGCAGTCTCTGGGGTGGCTCCAGCTTAACTCTATGGGGGAATGAACACCAGCAGAGGTGACAGAGCGGACTCTGTTGAGGGAAAGACACGGGCTTGTCCGCAGAGGAGCTGAACCGTGGATGAATACACATATGGGGTTGCCGCAGGGACACCCAGCCTAACAAAGATAACACAAGCATACGAGTATAGGCCTGGCATCAGACGCTCTGCAACATCTGAGCAAGGCACGTAATAGAGGTAGAGGTCCGTCGCTGTACGCAGTTCCTGCATAACCTCTGGGTGGTAACTACCCTCATACAATTTCTTGACCGCTTTGGCATGGTAGACTTGCAGGAGTGCCATGGCATTCAGGGCGGAGGCAACTTCTTCGCAGGCAGAGTAAGCCTTGCTCGCTAGAGCGGACAAGAACTTACACGCTTTATACTGCAACTCTTTAGAGAAATCGCGACCACCACTGCTCGCACTGTCACACTGACACCAACTGGTAGAGGCTTCTTCCACAAAGAGATTCGTCCAGCAGACACTCAGAAACGGATCCTTTGCAGAGCAGGAACAGCATTCACTGTCTGGCTCTGAAGCCAAAGACAAAGATGCGACGCACCTGCTGCTCATTATATGCTCACACTGTGAGGCAGAGCAGCTGATGCAATTACCTCATGCCAATGTGCATTGGCTCATTTAGTTTACACTCGAAGTGGATTGGTCTCTTGAGCGAGATCCCTATTCGTCAGATCACCTCTGGCGTACACAGAGAGTGACCAACTCAAATGGAACTGCGTTAAAAATGTTTGAATTGTTATGTATAAACTCACAACTAGTTTATATCTCACAATTCTGACCTTATTTTTCACAATTTACTTTTTCCTCACTGACTTTTTTCTCGCAATTCTGACCTTATTTTTCACAATTTACTTTTTCCTCACTGACTTTTTTCTCGCAATTCTGACCTTATTTTTCACAATTTACTTTTTTCATACCGAGTTTTTTTGCAATTTGCAAATTTTCTCGCAATTCTGACTTTATTTTTCGCAATAAATAAAAGTCAGAATAGCAACAAATAATGTCAGAATTATGAGCTAAAAAGTCACAGTTAGTTATTTTTTATTCTATGGTGGAAACAAGAGTTCATAATATACACGTACATAGGAACAAGTGATTTCAGGGAAAAATATCCCGTACCCTCTAACAAATATGTCACTTGATTTTTCTCCTGTGAAAATGTCATCGTCCTCCAGAACGACTTCATCTGTGTTCCACACGATCACCCTGAGCTCGAATCTGTCAATGACAAAAAGGTATTTTGAGTATGCAATGTTCATCTGCATTTGGTCAAAAGCTTTCAACCAAGTGGTTCCTACTTTTTTGGCTTCCTAGGTGAAATATCAATAGCGGGTCCGGGTGCTGGCATATCTTTCGGGAACATGTCCACCCACATCTCAATTCTCCCCTACATCACAAGCACTCATATTCACTAACAGCTTATTATCGCCATTTTGTTATCTGACAGTGGTGCTTTTGGGACATTATTCCTGACCTGCTCAATCCCAGGTTTATCAGGATTCAGGAGAGGCCTCGTCTCCACATGCTCTGGAACCAGCTTGCAGCCTATTCGTGGAATATCTTCCCAGTGTTTTAGTACAGCAAGAGCCAGGTGCTCATCCGTCTGTTTCTTCAGTCCTGCCGTAGAAAAGTATGTGCATTTTTTCTGATGTGCTGCTCTCCGATGGGAGCTCAGCAATTTAGAAGACCACCCCTATACTTGTTCCCTTTCGAAATGCTTTGTGAAAATGTACATACCATTTTCATCCTCAATTTCAGTTGGGCCCGTGTAAACTCTGTTTGCCACTTTCACTCTTCCTCCCGGGCCGAACTGGGGTGGATCCATTTTTCCATCTTTGCAGAGTTTGGCAAGGATTTGCGTTGGCTTCAGTGGGTCCCTCCACACATTATAGCCATGACTAAAAGAAACAATTGGAAAAGTTTTATCCATCCATCCTTTTTGAAGTAATATTTAGGGGCAATATTTTAAATACAATTTTATTTTATTAAAATTTAAATTAATTTAAGATTTTTAGATGTAATTTCAAGTAATAAAAATGTTACATGCAGTTAATTTATACACTGAAAAACAGGGTTATTATCAATATCTAAAACTATTTAAAAAAACATTACTTGAAATAAACGTTATCTGAAATGTGAGAGAATATAAAAAAGTAACTTATTTAATTTCAGCTGATTGCAACATTTCTCATTTTCATTTAGTTTAACGTAAAGTAAAAAAATTATGTTTGAGTAATTAAGGAAACGTCTCAGAGACATTTCCGTCGGATGACGACGAATGGGTTTTTCGCATAGAAAGCCTATCAGCTTCAATCAATACAAAACGAGCCAATGGCAAAGAAATACCTTGGGTCTGCGGCTTTTACATAACTCCGCCTCTCCTCGTGTGTGTTTATTGTTTCTGTTTTTTCAGCAAAGTTTTGGTCATATTGATCATTTACAGGCCCTATTATTAAGATGTGCATATTAAATATGATACACAAGGCTAATATATTCATAAAGGTAATAATTGTATTAAATAAAATAAGCATTATGCTGCTTGTTTAACAAAATTTTACCAAGAATGTTTATTTTAAGTTAAGATAGAATAAATGTTTTACAAATTCGGCTAAAATGTTGTAAAAATGCATTGCCAAACAAGCATTGTTTTTCAAATTAAATTTATACCATAAATACAAAGATTATTAAAATTACAAAATAAAAGTAATGTTACAAAATACAAACATTAAAATGCAAAATAAAGGTAATGTGTGTAACTGTTGTAGCTGATCCATGTTGTGTGCACAAAACAGATGGAAAAAAAAAACTATGATTGTATATCAATGATACTAAAGTAACACCGCTGAACACAAACCCCATCAGTAAGTCACAAAGTTTCGATGCATTTAAAACAAGAACTGCATACATTGCATATTTGGAGCTGATTCCACATGTTGCTCTGTGTTTGCTGTAGTAACGGTTCTCCAAGTCAATCTTCGTCTCCCCAATCAGGTCATCGGTTCCCACCAAATCCCAGTCATAGATGGACACAGTGAGGGTAGAATCCATTGGGAGCGTCGCTTCAATATCAAAAAACCTGCGAGTTAGAAGGCAGTTGATGTTAACATTAATATTATCGGTAACACTTTACAATAAGGTTTATTAGTTAACATTAGTAAATGCATTAACTAACATGAACTAACGATGAGCAATGCATTAGTTACAGTGTTTATTAGTCTTTGTTAATGTTAGTTAACACAAATACAGCTGTTCATTGTGCGTTCATGTTAGTTCACAGTCCATTAACTAATGTTAACTAATACAACCTTTGATTTTAATAATGTATTAGTAAATGTTGGAATTAATATTAACTAAGATTAATAAATGCTGAAGAAGTATTGTTCACATATTGTACATGTTAACTAATGTAGTTTACTAATGTTAACTAATGAACCTTATTGTAAAGTGTTACCATTAGTTTACATTAGTTAATGCATTGTTTAACATGAACTAAGCATGGACAACATCTCAGTTCATTAACAGCACAATTAGTTAAAGGGACACTCCACCCATTTGCATTAAGATTTTCATTGTTAGAAATCCAGTCATACTATTGAATGGTCGTGCAACACTCTCTCATTTTCCCCTGAGACGAGAGAAATCCGCTATTTACCTTTTTCACTTCCTCCTAAAATCATGCAAATATCGTCATTTTACGTCATTGTAGGAGGAAGTGTAAGAGGGAGGGATTACTTTAAAGACTACAAGCACTAGATCCCACCCTTTCAAACCCGCCCATAGGGGGTCGGACCTAATGCGCCAACAGACCAATCACAGATCAGTGCTAGTGCGTCTGATTTCACTGGCAGAAACTTTTTGAAAATAAGGACGAAGGTACTGAATATGCAGACGGATGCGTTATGGATAGGGTTGGGTACTGAAACGCGGTAGGGAACCGGTTCCGACGTAAACGGTAATAACCAGACCGAATAAGAACGAAAATTTCGGTGCCTGAGTCTCTGTGTCATGAGGCGCACACACTCAAAGTCTCTCGCTCTCTCCCTCATGCGCGCACTATACGGTGTGGAGCACAGTCTGATCTGTCTCACATGCACGCTCTTGCTCACTCGCTCTAGATCCGAGAGATTTTAACTAATTTGCGGGCATCAGGGAGCCGTTATCAATATGCGGGAGACTCCCGGAACGTCTGATAGCGAGGGGATTAAAGGGTTACTTCAGCAAAAAATGAAAATTCTGTCAGTATTTACTCACCCTCATGTTGTTCCAACCCCGTAAGACCTTCGTTCATCTTCGGAGCACAAATTAAGATATTTAAGATATTAAGGTCGCTCCTGCATACTAGTCCATAGGCTCTGACTCTTGCTGGCATCGAAAAGTCATTAAAGACATCGTTAAAATAGTCCAAGTGACTACAGGGGCTCAATCTTAACTTTATCAAACGACGAGAACACTTTTTGAGTGCAAAAAACAACAAAAATAACGACTTTATTTCAACTATTCACTTCCTTCTCCATGGGCCTGTAGTCAGTTAACGTAGTGTAATTGCGTAGAGCTACGTCACACGTAGACTCACTATTGGCCGACGCTGGTCATGTGTGCGATGCGGGTGACGTACAATAACAGAAGCTTACGCTAGTAAACTAGTAACCTGACTCGCGCAGAGGGAGAAATAACGAATATTTAAAATAAAGTTGTTATTTTTGTTGTTTTTTTTGCGCACAAAAGTGTTCTCGTCGTTTGATAAAGTTAAGATTGAGCCCCTGTAGTCACTTGGACTATTTTAACGATGTCTTTAATGACTTGTCGATGCCAGCAAGAGTCATTCCCTCAAGAAGCCTATGGACTAGTATGCAGGAGCGATCTTAATATCTTAAATATCTTAATTTGTGTTCCGAAGACGAACGAAGGTCTTACGGGGTTGGAACAACATGAGGGTGAGTAAATACTGACAGAATTTTCATTTTTGGGTGAACTAACCCTTTAATGAAGATGCCGAAGACAAAACGCTCCACGGTTTAGCTGCATTTCACGTGTAAAATTACGCGTCAGAGTAAGTGTGGCGATTGTCTGAAGCCCTATAGAATCACGCCAATCCATTGGCTGATGGCGCGGGCGCCGCCTTGACGCTCTAACATCGTCATATTATATTAGCGCATTATCTGATTTCATTGTGTGAAATGATTTCCAGGCGGTAGCATATAGTGGAGCTCAACTCTAGTCTACAGTGATGGGCGGAGTAGTGGGAGTGGCCTGTGGAGCTAAGCATTGCAATGCACTATGGGGATTGTTAACGTTAACAAATATTAACTAATGCTGAACATAGATGTTGGGTAACACTTTAGAATACGGTTCCTTCGTTAACTAGTTAGTTCCAATGATCTTCACTTTATAATACGGATCCAAATAATTAGTAAGTAATAGCTCACAGATGAAAGTGTTACTAGATACTTCTGTGGGAGTTACTAATTATTTGGATTCGTATTATAAAGTGAAGATCATTGGAACTAACTAGTAATGACTCAAGTGTTACTACATGATCTAGTCATGATTTGTGCAACCGTTTGAGATTTTTGGTGAACTTTAGTATACTTTTAGAAAATGTCTTTAGTAACACTTGAGTAATTACTAGTTAGTTCCAATGATCTTCACTTTATAATACGAATCCAAATAATTAGTAATTCCCACAGAAGTATCTAGTAACACTTTCTTCTGTGAGCTATTACTTACTAATTCGTTAATAAGAGTTTCTTTTAGTTAATAGTAGTTACTAGATTGTTAATAAACTTTTTCAGTAGTTCTCTGGGAAGTATTAAAAAATAGCAGTTATTGATTAGTTAATAGTGAACTACCACTTTCGTCTGTGCGCTATTACTTACTAGTTCATTAATCAGAGTTTCTTGTTAGTTAATAATAGTTACTAGATTGTTAATATTGTGTTACTCATTAGTTCTTGTGTAGTTATTCATTCACGAAGGAACCGTATTCTAAAGTGTTACCAGATGTTGTTCATGGTTAGTTCATGTTAACTAATGTGTTAACTAATGTTAACTAACCGTGCTGTTAATGTGAACTGATGCATTACTAGTATATGTGTGTTAATGTTAACAAATATTAACTAATGCTAAACTGAGGTGTTGTCCATGTTTAGTTCATGTTAACTAATGCATTAACTACTGTAAACTAACTGTGCTGTAAATGTGAATCGATGCATTAGTACATGTGTGAGTTAAAGTTAACAAATATTAACGAATGCTGAACAGAGGTGTTGTTCATAACTAATACATTGACTGAGAAGTCTTTAATCAACAGTACTAACTTTCCAAACACAGGGTTGAGTTGCTTAGAGATATAGTTCTCCTTGTCCTTGATGTCTGAATTTCCAAGCTTGATGGCGATATATGGGTCGGCCTTCCCATTGATGTCTGCGGGATGCAGATCTGTGGCCTGAGACAAAGAGCAACAATTGTGCAAAAAAATGCCCAAACACAAAAAGACTCAATGCACTGCTCTCAGGTCTGCGGTACTACTACATACCCTGATGACATAGACCCGGACGAGGATGTTAATCGGATCGTTGTGTGGGATGTTCTGGAACATGCCCATGTTGGAATCAAATCCCGTTTCTCTGTAAGCCTCATCCGATACAGGGACTTTGTAGATACACAAGGAACCCTACAGTAAACACAGCACACACACTCAGAGATGAGCTTCACAATGTGTTTAATACATTTACAGATCAGTCTTTGGTTCACATTATTTGTATGGTAGAATGTTTACGAAGTACAAATCGCACAAAAAATTCCTGTCTCTATACACCTGTTTCATAGATCCATGAATACTGTTTCATGTTGCTGATTTAAACAACTCCACAAAATTGAACTCATCAGATTAACAAAGATCCTCTTAAGAAGGAAGTTTAGAAAATATTAACTCATTTTTGTAGTTGGTACTCGAATTCAGCAAAAAAGTCATTGGTAACATTAGTTACCTACATCCGTTTAAATGAACTAGCAGTGAACAGCGTTTATTAATAGTTAAAGTTAATCTCAACATTTACTAACACATGTTTGTGCTCTGTGAACTAACTTTCCCAGACAGCAAACTGACATTGAATCAACGTGGAAACGACGTCTCTCATGACATTGAAACAACGTTGATTTGCTCATCGAATTAACGTTGAACCAACGTCAGACGCGGCATTCTTCAAAGCTAAATGAAATCGAAAATTGGTTTGCTTTCATAACGTTGAAACAACGCGTTGATTTCAAGTTGATTTTCCGTTAGTTTTGAAAGAATGACGCATCTGACGTTGGTTCAACGTTAATTCGATGAGCAAAACAATATCAGATCAATGTTGTTTCGATGTCATATTTCCACGTTGATTCAATGTCAGTTTGCTATCTGGGTTAACAAAGGTTAATAAATGCAGAAAGAACTGCTTATTGTTGGTTCATATTAGTTATGTTAGTAATGCTAACTAATGAGATTTTAAAGTGTTACAACTAAGTTTTTTGTTGTTTACGAAAGTTGGTGTGAGAACTGTGATCTGTTCTAGAGCAGCTACTTTGATGAAGCTCAAATAAAACATTTCTTAAACATTAGATTTGGTCACTACATAATTCCATTCTGTGTTATTTAATAGTTTTGATGACACAACTATTAATCTAACATGAAGAAAACTTAAAGAGCACCTATCATGGATTTTTGAAAATGACTGTTCATATGGTGTGGACTATAGCTCTAAGGGAATGAAAACATCCTGCAAAGATTTAAATCTGAAAGTGCACCGTATATAAAGTTATTGTCTTTCAAAAGTGAGAGTCGACTCTTGAGTCTATGAAATTAATTGTTTTTGAAACGAGTCATTAGATGTTTCGTCGTGACATAGATAAAAACATTAGCTCATTGGCCGCGCCCAACAACTGCGCGCGCAGACGGAAGTGTAAACTTGAAGTCTACACATTGAAATACTTCAGCTGAATCGCATCATGTCGAGAAGACGCTGTGTCCTACATTGCAAAGACAGTTCAGCCACTTGTTTCCATTGTCCAGGGTCGAGCATGTGAAGAATCAGTGGTCAGAGTTCATATTTGCAACGATACCACAACAGTATAGCCTGATTGTGTTCTCATCATTTTAATGACGAATCATTCAAAAACATAAATTAATTCAAATGTGGATTCGCAAGCCGGTTGTTCCCGAGGGACGGCTCAGTGTCCAGTGTATGGATCAGGTTCGTCCTCCTCCGAATTACAGTCTGTAAGTATTATTAATAATGTTTGCTGAACAGCATTGTGTTTTCTGTAGCATGCACACTATAGTTATATTGTGTTGTGGGTGTTGTGTACACTCCGCGCAGCTTCTAAGCGACATAAAGTTAGTTTTGTTTTTGATATTGACCAGACATTCATTGAAAAAATGGCAATTACCTCCTAAACGACTTATCCGAATATGACTTTGCTCGATATAATAAGCACTGCCCCTCAAAAGCCGCCTCAATGTGAGTTTCGCGAGGAAAGCTCGCTCTTGACGGAGACGCGAGTAAGGGACCGTGTGGAAAGTGCACTTTTTCTGACACGTTTGTTCAAACACCATATACAATTTTCAACACTTGACAAGCTATAATCCTGGTTATGGGCGTTCTGTTGCCGACAGTCTCTGCCTACGGTTTACCAATAACTAATGACTGGGTCATTTGACCAATCGCCGCAGATTCGCGTCACTCAAAGGAGCTGTTTGGGAAAATGAATCGTCGAACGAATCATTTGGGAGTCGTTGAGCAAATCAGTTAAAATAAATGCATATTATAAGACAAATAAAGTGTTTTTTATCCTTGCATGCACGTTAAACTGTTTTTGGGAACTCCCAAAACAAAAATAGGAACATTTCAAATGCTACGATAGGGGCTCTTTAATGGTTTTTCGAATATTCCCTTTCATGCAGTGTGTGAACATTCTGCAAAGTTGTAAATTCGAAAGTGCACGATATATAAAGTTACTGTCTCCGAAAAGACAGAATCGACTCTGAACGACTAATCCGAGTCATTTTTAATTAGTATTTTACTGCATGACAGATCTACGTCACCAGAAAATACATTTGCATAATGCCCGCCTATGTTGTCCGATGTCCGCCCGCGAACAACTTCTCCTCCCTTCAAACACAGAATTTTACTGACGACTGCTTCTCAAATCTCAGAATTCAATGCGGTATTAGCAAAACACTTGTTTGTATTGGAGAGAAATATAGGTCAGTACTCAGTTTATTTGGACCAACTTGCTCCTCAGATTCACAACTTTTAACTATGATTAAATATAGAGGGTTTTCACCGACGTCACGTTCTGGGCGATAACCCGGATGAGCGGCCATTATGGAGGCACTCGGCTGTAAACAACAGCATGGATTGCACTGTTTATGTACTACTGAACACATTGTTACAATAAAAAAACATGGAAAAAACACATGGTAGGTGCAAAATCATCATCAAGCCAATCAGAGCAGAGTAGGCTCGCGGAAAGGAGGGATTTGGAGTGACTGATTTATCCGACCGATAAGTCATTTGAGAATCATTGAACAATGTGGTGATGCGCAATGTATAATATGAGAAAATGAAAGTGTTTTTTGACATTTGAGGAATTTAAACTTGTTGTAGGAGACCTCCAAAGCAAAACCAGGACCCTTTGAAATAGCATAATAGGGGGCACTTTAATAATAATAATATAGCTGCGAGCAGCGATGGCGGGCCCAAGCCGGTGGCACCGCAACCCCGGCTCCTTTAGTTACCTAAAGGCACCGGGGTGGCGGTGCCGAAGGCTTTGGCCCTTTCATGATTAAATGTTAAAACGGCTTGCCATAGTCTGTCATTTTGACTAGTCACAATTATGTTACAGATATCTTAAATGATATTACAAACTATCCAAAATGTAATTACGACTAGACAGAAAGACATTGTTGATATCTACAATGTTAATTTCCGGATAGGCAAACTTAGCTTTTAAATGTTAAAAGGCTTGCCATACACGGACGTAGGCTCAGAGAGAGTCTCACCATATTCAAACCAAAATATCTGACTTCCTCTTGGTCTGAGCTAATGACTATGAATTAGAAAGTTGTCTGGCTTGAGGAGTACAATGTATATAACGATTTTTGTAACTGTAGATAAAAATAACAACCCCACTTTTGTCAAAAATTATTTAGTCCTATTTAGTCCCTATTTAGTCCCTGCACCACGCCCGTTTCTGAAACTTTGCACATGTCTACTGGCTAATAAATGTGATGTGTCTGTTGAGTTTCATGCAATTTCAAGCATGCTAAGAGTCTCAAAAGCATCCTAAAATAATTTCAAAGTTTGAAGCTTTGCCACGGCAACAGTTTAAAAGATATCAAGAATCCATTCACAGGTCTACATCTACCGTATGTTTACATTATACAGATGAAGTTTTTCATCTGTTTTTCATCATTATACAGATTAAGTTTTTCATTTGTTTACATTATACAGATTAAGTTTTTCATTCATATTATTACATGCAAGCGTGTTTGATTTATGGACCAAGTTTTCGGACCCCGTTCCAGGGGGCGCTGTCTAGCCCCCCTGCCACGCCTAGGTACCATCTTCAGCCGGGCCTGATGGCTGTGGGATATGACCTGTGTGCAAAGTTTCAAGAGTTTTCACCCGTTAAGGGCCTCAAAGCCATTAAGAGTCTCAAAATCATCAAAAAAAAGAATTTTAAAGTTTGATGCGTTGCCACGGCAACAGTATCAAAGATATCAAGAATCCATTCACAGGTCTTCATCTCCATGTATTTACATTATACAGATGAAGTTTGAAGCAAATCGGGTAAAAATAAGAGGTTGATTTCAAAGCATTTTGAAAGTGACACACTTCCTGCTGCCAGTTGGTGGCGCTATAACTTTGACTCGAAATAGTGACATCCATGTGATCGTCCTCTTACAGCGAACACACTGATGAAGTTTCATCAAGATATGTTAATGTATGCTGAAGTTATAACACACTTCCTGTTTCACGTTTCTCGCCATATAATTTCGTTTCCTCGCCACGGCCAAACCATTTGAGATATCAAAAATCCCCTCACAAACTTTCATCCTCAATGTCTTGACTTCTTGCACACCGAGTTTGGTTGTGATTGGTAAACACATGCGTTGTAATTTGATGTATTTCTCCTAGGACAACTATTCAAACAACCCATAATTCTCAACTTCCATTTTAATTGTCGTAAAACTTAGAGCACGAAAGTTGTTTGGCCTGATGTGATCTATAATTGTACCGAGTTTCATATTAATTCACGCAAGTGTGTTTGATTTATGGACAAATGTTCGAATCCCAGTCCAGGGGGCGCTGT